GGGCTCATTCCCGAGTTAAATTCATCACAAGGCTTTCCCTTTGCCCATCGCCAGCCCAATTACAGTATGCCACCACCAGGTATAACACAAGGGAACATACGACTCTCTTATTTTTGGCCTCTGGATAAAAAGATGTTGTGAGTACTTGAGTATGCTGTTCTAGGGACCCTGGTATTAGTATCAGACGATGCAGGGACCAGTTCACTGAGTCTGCTCACTTTTCTTGGGTTTTCAGGTACTCAAGTCAGCAGAGGAGAACATCCAGCTTCACTGCAGGCACTCTTGGGGATTCAGCAGAGGATGGACCCATCCAAGCAGATACCGACAGTGGGTCAAGCCGGTGGTCCTAATCGTCAAGGCTCTGTGGGTCATGAACTCGACCTTGGGTTTGGCTACAGGTAAGGCTGCTCTGTCCACAGTCCTCTTAACACCCTAAGAGGTTTGTCTACCTAACAGTGAGTTGCTATGTGATGTGCTAGTAATCAAAATTACCATTTGTGATTTTTTAAGAAAAAAAAAAAGAAAATATATACCGTCTCTATGAACTCTCGTTGCTCTTGTTGCTTGTGATATGAAGATGCTTTTTAACTAACAGTGGTAGAATTTGATAACGTCCATGTTTTTGGAATATTCTATTTTAGATCTTTTTCTTTTTAAACCGTTTTGGTTCTTTTCGTTAGATAATCAAAAACAGAGATTAAATTATAAATATTAAGACGATAGCTGAATAACTTTGAAGTCACATTCAACACAGAAGTAAGAAACACGTATCTCCTTTTATAAAAAATAATCTCTGATTTCACAAACTACCGACCAGAAGTACAGATAAAAAACAAAGGCACTGAATAAATAAAAAACAGAAGCGAAACAAACTACGACACAAGGGGAGCTGCATTAATGAGACAGAAGCTGTTAGGTCATGAATGAGTGGAGACAAAGCCTAATAAGGTAATGGAGAAAAAAAAGGAACAAAGAATTCACATTCTTGGGAAGGTAACACGACAAGTGATGGGTTGTGAAACATGAGAACTATCATTTGGGTGGGTGATTGAGGGAGATCGGATTTAGTAGATTTACGTAGCACGGAATGTGTGTAGATCCCAAGCGGCCAAATAGTGACTTCCCTGAGTCGTCATATAAAAGTTTCGGTGTCTACTGGAGTAGACAATACTACTACTAGAGGTGTTGTACTGGTTCTGACGTATATGGACAAAGGTCCATTTGGCTTGCTCCCCAAGAGTAGGCCTGCAGAAACTGAAACGAGGTCCAAGAAACTTCACAGCCAAGATGCAGTCGTCATCGTCCTCGGGGGAGGAAGAAGAGAGAGACACATTCACGATACTCTGAGAGGCAGGATTGGGACAAGACAAGGAAGCGAGGCGCGTGTAGGGGATACAGTATCGTCTGTTTGTCTGATCTTGGTGATAGAAATGTGGAGCGTTCGACGTCTGGTCCGTATGAAGGAGCTAGCCAATAGCCATCCACGGGAGGATCCTATGGGATCTGCTGACACGAGTTCGCCGGATTGTATCTGGTTTGGGAACGTGATGGACGTTTCCTTCCTCGGGTCGACCACTCTACCAGCCAATTCCCACTCTGAATCCCCATAAATATGTGACACAACCTCCTCCTTAAAGACATATATACGTGGTAGTCGTTTAGAGTTTTGGACAATTAATAAAAGAGACTGAAAAAGTGTTCAACGCCAAGAGTCTTTGGAAGCAAAAGTAAATGAGATCAAAGCCACTGTGAAGTTTCAATTGAAGAAAGTTCTATGTATGGGTATTGTTGTTGGTAACCTTCCCGTGAAAGAGAAGTTGCTTTCCGAGAATGTACATATGAGCGTTAATTTCCTTGTATCACTCTTGAAGAAGAATTGGCAAAAGCGCATCTTATTCCTATGATTGAGCTTAATCTCCCTTTAATTATCTGTATAATCTCCTCGACTCAGAAAAAAATATTGATGGGGGCGAATTGTCATGAAGAGGATTTGAACCCTTGCTTGTATAAAGTTATTTTGGGTTAGAACCACTTTGCCGCTTAACAACTTTGGTATAGTTTAGTTTTGTTTCTTATTTAACAGTTACTGGTGGCAGGTGCCACCACAAAGCCCAACGTAGATCCGCCACTGATTGCATGTAAGGTGTTTGTACTTAAGAGCACCATGTGTTTGTTTAATTAGAATCTACTGTTCACTGTTCATTTGTTATTGGGTACTGTTCATAATGTTACTGCCGGTCCAAAGACCAAGTCCATAAGCATGAGCTTGCGGCCTTCCATAATATAATCATATTTTCAGCTTTATTTTCTTGTTGTAGTCCTTTAGCCAAAAGAGTATAAATAGGTTTAAAAGTGCTTTTGGTCAACATTTCGATTCCATGCGTTAGCAATATTTATTTATTTTTATATTTTTCTTAAGCAAAACATTTTTTTTTTAAAGCAACCTTTTTCTTTAATTTTTTTTTGTAGCCTTCGAAAATATAGAGACTGCTCTTCACTGTTGGGAGATACAAACAGTGACGACAAGTCTTCTTTGAACACTTGATATTGATAGCGGCCGGTGACTTCAGAATTGGTTGACCAAAATTACTGACACTGAAGTCATGGCTCTTCCTCCTCCTTCCAATTTGCATATTCTTCCTTACATTGAAAAGTCATGGCTCCTCCTCCTCCTCCCATTTTGCCTCCTCTTTGACTAGTTATAACTAATTACAACAATTAGTTTGATACATGGAATAGTAGCATTCATTAGCCAAAATGAAGAAAAACAAAGTGGTACACGCTTTTAGTAGAGATTTAGCCCAACTCAACATTTCATCCCGTGATAAAACTTTGCTTTAATAGCCTAATTGAAGGCTATATTTACATGGAGACATTTAAAAATAAAATAGCATATTATTATATATACATATATTAAGAAGATGTTACTTCCTTCAGAAAGAAGAAGCAAGCCTAGTGATGTAGAGAGTTGTTTCCTTTGAAGCACATAGGAGAAGAAGGCCTCAAAACTAAAACAAACAAACAAAAATAAAAGTCTGAACAGAGTAGGAAGTTGAAATCCGAACAGAGTCGGCAGTTATAAAACAAACAAAAAGATTCGGCTTAGTCGAAATTTTGTTATTTTGTTGAAACAATAATCTTCTTAATAATTATGTTACTTTATTTTTAAGTCTCCATGTAAATATATTTATTCACTAGATTGAAAAAGTATTTTTTTAATATTGAATGATGTTTTTAAAATTTATATTAAGGGAAAACTGTCAGGGATGACCAAAAAATAAATTAAAATTAAATAATTAACCCAAACTCCTCCTATTCACTCTCTTGTTCTTCCTCTCTCTCTCTCATCTCTTTCTAAAAAATTAATTTTCCTTTTTTTTTTTTGGTTATTTAGCGATTCCCCCTTTTTAAAATTAAAAAAATATTATTCCATCTATCATATTAAGAAGATTACTGCATCAACAAGATTTCGTCTAAGCCAAATCTTTGTGTTTGTTATATAACTTGCTACTCTTTTCGGATTTATTTTGTTTGTTTGTTTTAAGTTTTCAGGCTTTCTTTTCAAAGTTCAAACGATATCTCTACATCAGTATTGTTATTGTTATTGCCCATTTGGCTTCTACTAAAAGTAGATGCTTAAATTAGTTTTTTCATGTTCTAGGTAAAAACAATTGTTGCATCAATTTTAGAAATTTCAGGGATCATTTGTTTCTGCATTTTTCCTATCCCAAGTTTTAATTTCACTCTTATTTTAATAATAAGTTAACATGACTGGTAATCAGAACCAAAAAGAACAAACATGTAAATGCAATCCATGAACGTAGAAAACATATCAAATCGGTGGTGTATGCAATCTTCGACTCCTAGATGTTAATATAATAGACAAAGGCAATTTGCTATTGACAAGGATATTCGGACTCCTCCACCACTGGTTTGAGATAAGAACGATTGGATGACTTCTAAAATTCAGATTTTGAAGTTGTGCTTTGAATGTTACCTATATCTGAACTGTTATTATATAGATTAGAATTAATTTTTGTTTTTGTTTTAATGAGGTGGGACACTTTAGATGAGGGTAAAAGTGAATTACCATTTAAATTTAAATGGTAATGGGACATTAACTTGATAGCTAAATTATATTAGGACATTGTATCCTTAAATTGGTCTCTTTTTGGCAAACCTTTCTTGAATATATGACTTCAACTGGAATTAAAAGGTGTTCTCTAACGCATGTATATGTCCTTATTGACAACATTTCCCCGACAATTCCCAGAAAGAGGGAGAGAGAGATACCCCAACTGGAGTAGACTGACAAGTCTTCTTTCAACAGGGGAGTGGACTAAGCACATTCCTTCAACCTTTGCTTACTTTTCTACGGTAATACGATAAACAAAACAAGATTTAAGCTAAAAGCACTATTATCAATGGTATCTTATATAAGAGCTTATATAAAATTTTAGAACTAAGATTTGTTAAGATATCATTGATAATGGTGCTCTAAGTATACAAAATAAAAATAAAATGTTCCCAATTTCTATAGAATTACAAGTCTCTCTAGTCATAGAAAACGATATATGTGAAAGAGATATATTTTTTAATTTAATTTTGTCGCTGTTCAAAAAAGACTTGTCGTCACTACTGTTTGAAACTCTCTTTATGGGAACGCGTACGCTCAAACTATAAATTGGGGAGTGTCTCCAGACTCTCTCTGGATACTTAGCGAGAAGACATCAGAAAAGAAAAGGTATACATGTCTGGTTTTCTAACTATTTCTTAATCTTTTTTCATGCCTATCGATATCAGTTACTCTTCCATGAAAAATATTAACAAACAAATGGTGTACTAAGAATATATGTGAAGATTGTTGCTGTGAAGATGATGTACATATTTTTGTAGTACAATTTTGCATTTTGTTCTTCACCGTTTAACTTAATATACTAGTTTTGCTTTGTAATTGGCAATGTAACAAATAGGAAGGAAGAAGAAGAAGAAGAAGAAAAATGGGAGGAGGAGGGAAGGATAGCGATGATTTTAGGAAATTTGGCCCCTACCATATCATTTCTGTTGATTGGTAAATTTGTTTTTGTTTTTGTGTGTAAATAGGAAGTTAAAACTTTGGGATCACTTAACAAATTGATACTTATCTAGTGATCAGAATCTAAATGTATAGTGTTGCTTTGTTCTTATAATTAATAGGACCGACTCGTACCATCGAGCTGCAGTGGCAGCAAGTATGATAAATGGAGTCTATGTAATGCAACGCGATAAGGCAAAGAAACGGGAACCACTAGCCGACCTCTGGTGGGAATTCTTCGGTTTCTCTAGAGTCGAACGCTTGATCAACGATGCTGATGGCTCCATATACGGCGCCGTTTTCGAGAACAACAATTACCACAATACGTCAATGGCTCCGCGTTACGTGATTGCCTTTCGCGGCACGCTTCTACATTTCAAAACTGGGTTTTCTGACATGAAACAAAACCTTCGATGCATTTGGGCGAACCTCCGTGAGGGCGAAAGGCTTCAACATGCCATACAAGCAATCAAAACTGTGCTGGACCGACCCACTTGCAAGCCAACATCTGTCTGGCTCGCTGGACACTCTTTGGGAGCAGGTATAGCGCTGATGGCCGGGAAGCAAATGGCGAGATCAGGAGTCCTTCTCGAGACTTACGCATTCAACCCGCCCCACACGTCTGTTCCTGTAGAGCAAGTACTTGAAAATGAAGTGGTTAAAGGCGGGTTTCGATTCGCCAACACTTTATTCAGAGGCACCCTTAGCACCGTAGCCTCGCTCTTTGATTCCCAGGTAAATAATATAATCTCACTATGCACGAAACTGAAAATTTTGCTCTACTAAGGATTAATGGTTCATTTAACCATGCATGGTGATCTCTCGGTGTTGAGGATGCACTTTAGTTTTTAGGCCTATATATATTAGAGTAATATTCTTTTTCTTTTTTCCAAACCACATTGAGGATTAACTAAAACAACTGAATTGGATCATCTTTTGAGGACTTGCTTTTTTTTTTCTTGTACCTTTCACTATTACAGATTAGAGACGACGATCCAATAGTAGCAGAGTGGAGACCTCAGTTATATGTGAACTCAGCAGATATAATATGTTCGGAATACATTGCTGATTTCAAACACAAAAACCGCATGGCTCGTTTCCTATTAGAGGGAATAGTGAGAGCCCGTGATAGAATCTCATTTAGGAGTCTAGTTTTCGGAGAAGGAACATTATCATCACTTTCAGCGGAACCTGTTCAACTCCTGTCATCAGCCGATATGATAATAAACAAGAACGACTCGACTAGGCTTGTGCAGTTGTTGAAGCATCCCTGGAAACCTCATAAGCTTAAGCAATGGTGGGAGCCAGATCCAGCCCTTCGTGCAAATTGGAAAATCAGAAGTATAACAAAATCTTAAGTTAAGAAAATCTTCGAACCAGATAGAACATGATTATCAAGGGGCTTTTAACAAAATCTTAAGTTAAGAAAAAAAAAAAAACTAAGAAAAGTGATTAAATATCTCTTATACAAGAGACATAAACTAACTTTTCTTAGCTTTTCTTAATTTTTTTTAGCTTAAGATCTATTTAAGAACTCTTTGTTAATGATGGTCTTCTAGTATTGGTTTCGTTCAATGGCGTTTTTATATGTTCAGAATACTTTGTATTTTCCATGTGCTTCTTTTTGAACTTTTGATTTGAATGTTTGTTGTGAACCTTCTTGATGAAATGCTTTTTTGTAAGACATTTACTTAAGTAAATAAAAAAAAAAGTAAACTTAATATCATTTATAAATGCCAATCTAAATTACAATTGATCAAAATAATATGCAAAATACAAATTGGTATGTAAATATATGTAATCACTAGATTGAAAAATCAACACACTAATTTGTTCTATAGGTAAAACTTCTCTTCTCAAAATAATCACTCAGGCCATATTGATATTGCTGGACGTTTGATTATTTGAAAATAATTCATACAATTACTTAAGGAAATAGAAATTTCCCGGAAAAGAAACTTGCGGAAGAAAAATACTCACTTGTTTTTAATGGGACTTTCTTTTAGTAATAAAGAGTTAAAATCTAGCTTTTTAACATTTGTGGTTGCGATGTTAAGGGGTGACAAATCTACGTTCATGTTTTATTTTATATTATGTAAATCATCCCTTTTGTGTATACAATTTGTTCAAAACGAAAATTTAAACCTTGGCTTCTCTTTAACTGTGTCGATCTGCACTTAAAGAAAACATCTTTTGCTGATTGCCGACTGCCAAACCAATATTACACAAAGTCTCTTCAGACTTAAGATTGATCCCAAACTCACTTTTAGCTAACTCTGCAAAACCATCTATTTATCTTTACACACATACACAAGACAGGACAGACAAAAGTGTGCTCCTCCACCGCGACTTCCAGAGACATGCAAACCACAACTCAGTAGCCATCTTAGAGTCTTTGCTATTTGTTCTGCTCGGGTAGTGAATCCAAGGATTGCATACCTTGGATGAATGTCTCTTGCTTTCACATAAGGTACATTACTGTTATTCCTATCTCTATTTCAAAGCTTTAGCGCTGTATGATGATATCAACCTCCTCTACAGATCAAAGCATCAAATTAATAAATACGAAATTACTTTGGAGTACCCACCGAGAAAGTATTAATTAAGAGTGGCAGTGAGTTTACTACTTACTTGCTCTGCAAACTCGGGACTTGTCAGATTTACAGACAGGTTTCTCATTAGTAAAAGAACCTGACGTACCAAAAAGAATCATATAAGTTTCTGTACTTAAAAGTTTTTAACAAAGGGTGCATTGAGTCTGATTAAACGTGTCTCATACCGTTTCCATATTTATTGGATCCATCTGCTTTAATCTCTGGAGGTGGCCTGAGGTGTTAGGATCAAAGACACTTCCTATGAAGCTGTAAACTTCAGCAAAATTCGGCATCACTGCATTGAATCCGCGTCCAAACAACTCATTGTCAGCATAAATCTCAAAGACATAAAAAAGTAAAACACATAATGTAACACGATGACAAGTTCTACCTAGATGTGGCTTTTCATAACTTTCTTCTTTACTAGGGTTTGTCAATACTCGTACCCTCCCTGTTGTATCTTCCTTACTGCAAATATTCTTAGGGAGAGCTGTGGCCGAGACTCCTGGTTCCTCTACTATCACAAATTCATTATACAACATTGTTAACACCGTTAACAGACACAGCTAAAATCAAACAGGCATCAATTCGAAAGAAAAAACCACTCATAGATATACCTTCAATCACCGGTTTAGTTAGATTGGTTGATTCATGATTCCACGAAGAAGAGCTAGATGCACAGACAGCCTGGTTTCCCAGCAATGACTGTGGATCAGAGCTGTACAAGTAACCAGGTTCAAGCAACGGTGTGGTCGAAGAAGACGGGAGGGATCCAATGACATGAGACGTAAAAGCAACTGCAGCATAACAAAAAAATCATCAGGAAAAAAAAAGGTGTGATAAAAATTAAGGAAAGAAGAAGGAGGATCAAAGTCTACCATTTTTAGGAGCCTTTTGAGGATAAGGATGAATAGCTTTCCTCTTTGGTCGAGGAGGTGGAAGGTGTTCATTAGCACCACTCTTCTGTACTTTGAGAAAATATTTCTGAGCATGACTTCGTATCTGCCAACATCAGCAACCATTGTCGTCAAAACAACGATACAGATAACATAACTACACAAGTAAGATTCATCTTCAAGTTACCTGTACCACAGTTTTTGATCCAACAAATGCTTCTATTTTCTTCCAATCTCGATCGAATCTGTAATCAAAAGACGAAATCTAATCAAATCTCAAACCTTGTAAACACACAATTTGACTGAGAGAAAACGATCGAAATTCGTACAAATGAAGAGCTTCAAGGAATTTATCGTGTTCTTGCTCTGTCCAATTCTCTCTCGACTTCTTGATTGTGTACGGCTTTCGAATCTTCGTCGCCGGGTCTTCGGAAAACGACACCGTCCGTCCAGTGACCGGAGCCGAACCAAATCCTTCGGAGGAAGCCGGTAAACTCATATCGACGGGATCAACAAATGGAAAACCCTTAGGTCGAGGGTTTACAGACACCATAGAGCTCTCGAAAATCGCGATTCGCTTTGCGTTTTCAGATTCGCTTTGTGATAAAAATTTGGGTACAGCTTTTTTTGCGTTTCACATCACACAAAAAGATTTGACTTGGACAGTTTTATTTTAGTGGAGATGAATACAAGGATACAACCGTAATTGTCACTGTATAATGCGTTTGTCTCCTTACACGTGTTACGAGCTTGTTGCTCTTGTATGTATTGATTGACGCCGTTAAAAAGGTGTTTTTTCAACTTTAACAAATCAAACGGCTAAAAAGGTATCGTGTTAAGGCCGTTAAATTCTTCTAGCGTCATCACGATTTGTCCAATTACGCACCAACGTGTAACATACACACATATTACGTACCCCAATTTTTAAATAGAAAACTGAAAATTTAGGAGCAATGGATGCTTAATCCACTAGTATCTAACATGATGACTATTGTAATCCTTGCAACAAAATGTATTTCTTAAACTTTAATCAAACCCATTATTACTTCAACTAATGTAACTGTTAACATTTTAATCAAACTCATCACTTCAAGTTTATAATTTAATTTAACTGAAAGACTAATATCTACCGTTCGGCTATAATTACAACGCTTAAGGTCCCAAGTGGATTCATTAGCCACAACAAAAAGTTACATCCGACACCAATGTTAATTGTACATGATCTATGCAAAGCATATCGAGATGTTAAGTTTCTCTCATACAGGTGTCGACTAATTAGCGATTAGGTTTTCCAAAATAGTGTTCAATCTGCAGACAACCTTGAGAGGACGAACCACTTGTTTTAGTTCCAAGCTTGAATCTCTTACCACTTCCTGAGCTCGCATTGGCGCTCTATCAAATCCAACAGGAGATCAACAACACATTAGGCAAGTTAAGGGAAAACGTAGAAATTGATTTTAGTGTTGTAGAGATTGCAATAAGGGTGTAACCGTGTAACATAATTAAAGGAGAATCTTAACAAGAATGCGTAACTCACAGAAATTTGGGGTTTAGATCTCAGCACTTTGACTCTTCCACCTTTACCATCAGGTCCAATAGCGATCAGATCATCTTTGCTTGGAACAGAACCTCCTAGTGTTGTAGTTGCTTCGTTTCTCTCTCCATGTTTGCTCCAACGACCAAGGTTTCGATTTGTTCCACTTGATGACCAAATGTTTCCAGCACCTGCATTTAGTTTTTCACAATCTTCAAATCCATTACATTCCACAACTTGTAATGATGACATCGACAATTAAGTACCATTGCTGCCAGGTGAGACTGCTGATGTCGAGTCTTTTCTGATGTTGAACTTCACATCCCTCACAATGGGATTATCACATTTCTCTTCAACATTAGTATCTGAGTGTCTGATGCCACAAATGTTGTTTTCAGGAACATCATCATCTAAATCGATAACAGAGTCCGTACTTCTACTAATGAAGAAGCCTTCTCTTCCGCTTAAGCATGATCCGTGATTCGTGAAGCCATCATTCTTCTCTAATTTACTTAATGGTGGAGAGATGTTCTCAACCATGTTGTCAGATGGACGCATTCTGAAAGAAGCCAAGCTCTCAGTTGGAGGCTCGTAAACTTCTCTCTCACTGCAATTCATTGAAGCTTTTATACTCCTTAGAGCTCTGTTCTCTCGCTCTTCAGTAATCATCTCAAGTTCCCTCATTCGCTTCTGCTCATAGAATAAAGATTATAAGAGACAGATATAGAAGAACCAAACAAGCTCGAGTGCAACACCAAAAGACACCTTACAACAAGATGTTTGACATTTATAATTCCAAAAGACACACCTTTAATTTCTCTATCTTTTCCAGAGCTTTTTCTAGTTTCTCAGAAGATCGAGCTTCGCCTCTGCCCAGCTGATTGCACTTTGCTAACAATTCCTTATAACTCCTGTCGGAGGATATACATAGAAGAATGTTTTGAATTATACACTTGATAAAAGAATAATAGAAGAATCTAAGAGATAAGAAACGCAATGTACAATCCCGTTTCCTCAACTTCTTCACCATATCTACTTGCTTATGATATTTTCGTAATTTCAAATATTAACAAGCTGCTGTAAGAGACTATTAACCAAACAAAGTACTATACTCAGCAGGAATAAACGGATGAACTAAGAGGTAAACCACCATCTTCATAGGTCACCGAATGTCATATTCTTTTTGAAACTGCTGCAGACAAGACTAATAGGAAACAACGAACCAAGTTCACAAAGTAAATGACCAAAATAAGACGATGGAAACAATGACAAACTACATGCAATGTAACCTACCTATTTCGGATAACCAAGGACTTGACTAGTGTGTCTATTGTATCTTTTGTCTTAGCGGTATTCCCCAACAAGGCTAACTTCAGGACATCATCTTCCTCCAAGCTTAGATCAGAAACCCTGCACCCAATACAAGTATATAGACTCAGAAAGGTTTTACCAAAAGAATGAACGAATATATCAGAGTCTGACTACATTAAAAAGAGCAACTATCAAAGATTTTTCGCACAATTTAAGTGCTGCGAGCTCCTTGGCAAGAGCCATAGTTCTCTCCTGTAGCTTAGCACACTGTGAAGTAAGCTGGATGCATTCCTGTAACAAACATTTAATATAAAAAAAAAACTCAACACCAAATGCTACTGTGAAGGATAAGTAGAAACAAAAGCATCTAAAAGGAAGTTGAGTATAATCAAAAACCTCAGATTTCAACTTAAGCAAGTGTTGAGTCGTTGATATTTCTTGCAGAGCCTCCCACCTTTTTACTTTATCCTCTTTCAATTGCTCATTGCATTGATGCAACTGAGAAGCAAAACAAAAAAATATATATATATAAACCAAAATTTGCACATAACCTTTTAACTTTTGAACAATTTCGAAATCCACAAATTACCTTATCAGAGACTTGAGCATTGTCCTTTTTCTGCTTCTCCAGAACAGAAGTAAGATTATGAACCTTCCCTTCGAGACGCTTCACTTCACCTCTCAATAACACCGGATCTTCCTCGATTTCGACTGTCTTCTTAGAGGCAATCGAATCCATTTGATCCCCAGAAGACTGAAAATAAAGTCGACATGGATCCTTTAGAGAGCACCTCTGCTTACAAATCGGACAATTTCGCTTGTTCGTACTCGGGCAGTACTCGAACCATTGCTGCAAACTAGGGTTTCCCAACTAAAATCGATTAGCAAAAGAATAAAAATTTCGGAGATTAAAAATTCAAAAAGATGTTAGATTGGGTCCGTATACAAACCAAAGTTCGTGAAAGACGTGGCCACAAGCGGAGATCGATTGAAGATTCTCAACAACCGGTTTGAGATCTTCGTAGCAGATTGAACAAATAGCATTACCCGCCGCGTTTTCTTCGGCCATGGCTATCTCTCCCGCCAATCCCGTCGCCACCCAGTCAGTTCCGACACCCTTCAGTCACCATTTTATCTCGAGAAAAATCAGAAGCAGAGAAAACATGTGGGCGCGGGGAGAAAAAAGTTGAAATTTTCTGAATGACCGCGAAAATGCTAAGGAACGCATGAGTAAGTCACGCGAGCATAATAAAATAACAAAACAACCAAAGTGGGCTTGTATAGGCCTTTAAACTAAAAAAAATTAACCTTTAAAGCCCAATTAAAATATAGACCAGTGGAGTACTAATTTTATGACCCGTGAAAGCCCAATTAAAATATATATGCACAATTTAATAATAATGGGATTCTTCTTCCCAATAATTGGGGGTTTACCGACTGATATGTATCAGTTGAGTGTGCGAGTTGTCCGAACAATCAAAGTGACTACCAAACAACAACAACAAGAAGAAGTAATTAAAACACAATAACTTGATTTTAAAGATAAAAGATTTTAAAATTGTAGTAGTCAAAACAAAATGTTTAAATTAATATTGACTTTACTCGATTTTAATATTATTTTAATGTGTATATCTTTATAATTACACTAGTAGTATATAAAATAAAAGAAAAGTGGGTCCACGCGCTTTGATAGTATGCTTCCTCGTGCAGCCCACTTGTAGCAATATTTTTCTTTTTGTTTGGTTAATTAAAAAAGAAAGGAAAAAAAAAAAACTCGTCCTCGAAGGTTTCACGTGGCTCATGCACCCCTGACTGGGTCAGGACAATATCCACCGTCGGATGAGTGTTGAAGCAATAAAGAATGAGATATGACCGTAGGATGATGAATGACTGAAGAAAAAGAAAGAAAGATTGGTGATATCGTTTGTAAACCGTACGATTGACTCACAAAGGAGAGGAATCAAGATCACGAGGAGGCGAGTGAGAGAGAGAGAGAGAGATAAAAGCATATTTAGGGACAGCTGTAGCAACTCCACCTCATCTCTCCTTATCTTGCACTGTGTGTAACCCAACACACTCCGCTCTCGCCGTGTTTGTGTGTGAACCGTTTTGAGATTGTCAACCTTTTTAACTCGCGGAGATCACGCGCTCTCCTCTTTTATTTGCCACGTGTCCCTCACTCTTTTCCTACACTTCCCGGTGAATTTCAAGATTTCCGTATTTCGGTTTTGTTACATTTTCGCAACAAATTACTTCTGCAGTTAAATTTTTATAAATTGTAGTTTTATTATTGGATTTTTAAAACACACCTCTCATATTTTATTTTTCTATATAAAGAAAGTAAAAAACTATTTTACATGTGCTTTGTTGTTGTTGTTATTTAAAAGAAAAAAAAAGGTACAATGCATGGAATAAAAGAAACAGTAACCCATGTTTTAGAGTATGTGACTTGGAAGAGAATGGTGCTAAGTGACAATCACTATCTTTTCTATCTACTTACTTCTATAAAATTTATTTATACACAATGATGCTTATTTTTCCATATATAAATGGAATACATATGTTATCCATGAATGTTCTCTTTTTAATAAAACATCATCAGTTGTTGTTGGATTTGACTATTTGAATATGTCGAAAGCTCTCACAAATGATCTGGAAAGCTAATTTACATTAATCCAATTCCATAATCTTAGGTCTGTGTAAATAAAAGTATTTTTTTAACATGTTGTTGTGCGCATCGATCAGAAAAAAAAGTAGGGATAGCCACCACTACTACTACTTGGAAAAGTATGGTTTCCCACTAATTTATACTATTGAATTGGAATTCAATCAAAGCAGCTAAGCTTTTCCGAGAAAGCGCGTGTGAGAGACGCGTGGAAAAAGAGCTGTGAGGTTGACAAAAAAAAACAAAGATTATTCAAAGCCTTTGACAATTCATCAAAGTCAACCAAATACAAGAAACCTGAAACCACTTCTGGTTTTTCTCTCTCTAATTCGACACTAGGCGACAAAGACAGGATAAGCATCGAGATACCATCTCCTTCCTCCGAAGCACATTTTATACTTTCTCCTTTTTTCTAGATTTGATATATATATATTTTTTTTAAAAGCCAAAGAGACAATTCCTCTCTCTCTCTCTGTACACATATTACAAAATGCGTATTATATACACTCAATATGATTCCGACACTGTACATCTTTTTAAGTGTGTTCATTACTTATATCTTTTTGAGCAAAACAAGTGTGTAATTTAGTTAACTTTAATCACAATATGTCCTGACCATATGTTTTTAGCCAATAAACCCAAAAGAAAGAAATGGGAAATTTGGAAAGAGATGTTTGCACAAAAATGGAATTGGGTTTTAGTGGATTCCTAATTGCTGTTAGAATCCAAAGATGTTTTGCTAATTACAACAACAACATCTCCAATTAGTTGAGTATGTTTTACAAAGTACCACCATCCGTACATCAATATTTCTTTTCTTAATTTATCTATCTTTTAAGTCACAATATTTTTTTTCAACTCAATTCTTTATGTATAATTTATAAAATCTAATTAGTTTGATATTTATCAACTAATACTATATGCAAGATACATATAAAAGGTTCACATGTGGAATAATTGCAATGTCAACAACAACAACAAAAAAAGAAGGAGAAGAAAACAAAATTGTATTTTACACTGTATTTTATCTCGAGAATTTAATAATAATATAATATCCACCATTTTTTTCAACCCATTTTTTAATTTTCAACCTCTCACTCTCTTTATAAACATCTCTCTCTAACCTTCAAAAGTCAGCGCTCTCTTTTGTCTCCTCTGGCTTCTCTCTTCTCTCCTCAGAGATTCGAAGCTTTTGTCTACCCCTGAGCTACCAAATTCAATGGCCGACGATTGGGATCTCCACGCCGTAGTTAGAGGCTGCTCAGCCGTAAGCTCATCAGCAACTACCTCCACAACCACCGTATTTTCCGGCGGCGTTTCATCTCACACGAACCCTACGTTCACCGTCGGAAGACAGAGTAATGCCGTCTCCTTCGGAGAGATTCGAGATCTCTACACGCCGTTCACACAAGAATCCGTCGTCTCTTCGTTTTCGTGTCTGAATTACCCAGAAGAACCAAGAAAGACACAGAACCAGAAACGTCCTCTTTCTCTCTCTGCTTCTTCCGGTAGCGTCACTAGCAAACCCACAGGCTCCACTACCTCTAGATCTAAAAGAAGGTTCGTTCTTTTTTTACACCAACCAATAAAGTTTCAAACTTTTCTCAAAACCCATCAAGGATTTTTAAATTTCTTGTCTTCAACCAATCAAAGTTTTCGAATTTTGCTGTGAAGATGTGGTTAAAAGTTTCAGTTATGTCGGATACTATCAAGAAAGAAATTAGCATATGAGAAAAATATTGGTTTTTTAATTTCGAAATTTCGAATATGATTGTACAATCAAGAAAGCTAAAAAAAGTCTGTGTGTGTTTTGTTTTGTGGTTGCTTGTTTCTTTGTTACAGAAAGATACAGCATAAGAAAGTGTGCCATGTAGCAGCAGAGGCTTTAAACTCCGATGTCTGGGCGTGGCGAAAGTACGGACAAAAACCCATCAAAGGTTCACCATATCCAAGGTAATACTATTTCAGTATTTCTACTTGTTACCTAAACAATAAAAAAATAAAAAGATTTATTTTTTTACCAAAAGTTCATTTATTGAGAGTTATAAATGTGTGTATTCTTTCAAGACAAAAGAAACTTGTCTGTTTTGGTGATTCTGTCTGCTTTTAGTTTGTTAAATCATCTCAGTTTCAATTTTGGTAATAATACAACCAAAAACATTCTAATTTTTTTTTTTTTTTTTTTTTTATAAAACAGAGGATATTACAGATGTAGTACATCAAAAGGTTGTTTAGCCCGTAAACAAGTGGAGCGAAATAGATCCGACCCGAAGATGTTCATCGTCACTTACACGGCGGAGCATAACCATCCAGCACCCACTCACCGTAACTCTCTCGCCGGAAGCACCCGTCAGAAACCATCTGATCAACCGATGACTACTAAATCTCCCACGACCACGATCGCCACGTATTCATCGTCTCCGGTGACGTCAGCAGACGAATTTGTTTTGCCGGTGGAGGATCTAGCGGTGGGGGAAGGTCTCGACGGAGATGAGGATCTGTTGTCTCTGTCCGATACGGTGGTGAGCGATGATTTCTTCGACGGGTTGGAGGAATTCGCAGCCGGAGATAGCTTTTCCGGGAACTCGGCTCCGGCGTGTTTTGATCTGTCTTGGGTGGTAAACAGTGCCGCCACGACGACCGGAGGAATATGAGTAGATTACGGCTTAGGATACTCTTTTTAGGGAAAGATATAGGATGAAGGAATTATTCTCGGATTATATGTAAAAATAGGAAAAAGTAAAAATGTTCTTTGTTACTTTTTTCGGTTTTAGTTTCTTTCTTCCTATTGTTTCTAAAATATCTTAGAAAGAAAATTTAATTTGTATATTCCTTAAGCCCCATATTCGTTACCGATTTTTTAAATTTGACTTCTATTTGAGATGACGAAGCATATTCTTGTCACACACAAAAAGAAAAGAAGATTAGTAAAATGTAAAATCAATTATTCTATAATATTCTACATAAAGTAAAAATAAATACACATGACGTGGTGCTAAATGATTTGCTAATCTAGTGGAATGGATTTAACCCAAACAAAAATTTAATTATCATTTACAAACTTTTCGAAAAAGTTGTGTTTTCATTAAATGCTAAACATAGCACATGAAATATTTAGGGGGAGAAAAGGTAATGGGCAAAACAGTTTCCATCGTTTTCACTTTTAATTAGTATGGGCTAAAAAAATGCTGGTTCTATGTTTTTAGCCCATGTTTATAAGAATCCTTTTGACGCATCAATCAACTTGGGAGATCCATTCAACGAGATGATTGCTCTGCGCGGTTTGATACCGTTGTATGAATTGGAGCTCCGAGGTTGATATGATTATTTCACACTATGAGCATGAGGTTTCTTGATAGATGGATCGAAGACACAAAAATATGAAATCACTCCTAATATAATATCTCGCTTTTAAATTGTTTTTTTTTCTTAATGGAATTATAGTTACCTTCAATCCTTGTTGTAGTACATACATATAATATACACTACCTAATTTAGTATTTTATAAAACGTTACAAACATACCGGCACGATATGACCTTTATTTAATCGTACGTGTATAAATGTGATTTAATATAAAATGTATTTAATCGTGTATATGTGATTTGATATAAAAAGTAGTATTAATTATAGAAGATAAGTCCTAATGGGTTTATGTCATTATCTATCTTTCTCTGCAAATCTCCAATCTTGTATAAATACCTCTTTACAGATTGATCGTTTAACAATCCCACTTTATTCTTGCTAAACCCTAACTTAAATTGGTAGCCACGACTACTGTTCTATTTGCATAGTAAAAAATGGCGTCAATAATATTTACTGATTGCCCCATGATGTTGCGTCCCTTCCATTTGAAGGGACGGAATGGCGCATTCCTCCCCCGATCATGTGTCGTCAAACTCAGCTTACCGACAACTGCGTCTGGCCGTGGCTGCACTCTCTCCATTCGCTCCTCTTCTCCTCCATCCGCGATTGTAATTGATGGAAAGGCTGAGGCAAAAAAGATTAGAGATGAGATCAAAACCGAAGTTTCAAGAATGAAGGAATCGATCGGTGTGGTTCCTGGTTTAGCAGTAATCCTTGTTGGGGAGAATGAGGAATCGGCAACTTACGTGAGGAACAAGAAGAAAGCTTGTGACTCCGTTGGAATTCAATCATTTGAACTTCTTTTACCTGAATACTCATCAGAAGAGGAGGTTTTAAAATCTGTCTCAGGCTTCAACAATGATCCTTGTGTCCATGGAATCCTTGTTCAGTTGCCTCTGCCATCGGTAAACAAAGTCCTATTTATCATATTCTTTATTGGAAAATAAACTTTGATTTACAGAAGATTTGTGTTATATATTGCAGCATATGGATGAACAGAACATATTGAATGCGGTTAGAATAGAGAAAGACGTGGACGGATTTAACCCGCTAAATATTGGACGACTTGCCATGCGTGGAAGAGAACCCTTATTTGTTCCGTGTACTCCCAAAGGATGCATTGAGTTATTGCATAGATACAACATTGGAATCAAAGGGAAAAGAGCGGTTGTTATCGGAAGGAGTAATATTGTTGGTATGCCAGCTGCTCTGTTACTGCAGGTGATATATGCATGAGATGATGCCTTGTTAAAGACGCCTTTTACATTCGATTGTTAGGTACATGTTTTGTCTTTATTGATATGTTTTGTTAATGTAGAGGGAGGATGCAACTGTTAGCATTATCCATTCAAGAACAAATAACCCTGAAGAAATCACAAGGCAAGCTGATATCCTAATCTCAGCTGTTGGGAAGCCAAACATGGTCAGAGGAAGCTGGATCAAACCAGGTGCAGTCATCATCGATGTTGGGATCAAACGTGTTGAGGTGAGTGGGTGATTTTGACATATATATATATTGTAGTATAATGCATGATCAAATAAAATCCTATATGTGACATAATGTGAATTGCAGGATCCAAGTGCTCCCCATGGCTATCGATTGGTTGGAGACGTTTGCTATGAGGAGGCTTGCAGAGTTGCATCAGCCATCACGCCTGTTCCTGCTGGTGTTGGACCAATGACCATAGCCATGCTTCTATCTAACACTTTAACGTCAGCTAAGAGAATTCACAACTTCTTCCAGTGACCTTTCAAGAAGATTACTGGCCTTCTAATTTGAATAAACAAATCTTACCTTGGTTTGTGAACTCAATGATCGTTGAGCTTGTGTTTTCAAAAGTACATTTTCTTTTTATTGTACGAAACCAAGCACGATCATTTTATTATGTCATCCAATTTTTGTCAATTTCATCCAAAACTTATTTATTGGGAAAATATCATAGAAAACATCAAGCCTCGCTTAATGACTTAAGCTACACTATCTATTGATATTTTTACTCAGTCACATGTTCTTATACCGAAAAGATTGAAGGAAAAATAAACAACATCGCCGTTAAATCCAAGTTGTTGATAATAAAAGGTTCCGTTTATTGTATGTCTGTACTTGTTACTTGATACAGAACGATATATATACATTATTCAAAAGTTACCCACTGGTGTGTCCCATGTTACAGATTCTGAAACTCTTCTCCACAAAATAGCTTCGAGAAAGCAGTAATCATCACTGAAAAACAGGTTGGGAAGAGATTGATCCGGGCTTCTGAATATCTATTCCAGCCTTGCTCTGTGAATTCCACTTCTGAGTTAGAGTTCAATCCTTTCCATCTGAAAGTACATATTTTTATAGCTTGAGAAGAGGATAGATGAATTCGCCAGCATAGTAAGGCCCAATCAATGACCTCATCATAGTATAAGTTTATCTCTCTCTTCTTTCCAAGAATCAAAACCTGTTCAAGAGACCCAATGATTCAAAACTTATTTTCAAGTTTCACCATTGATGATGACAAGTTTTGCTTTGTGCATCTTAGAGGAAGGCCACACCTTTGACTTCCCATAATATCCCATACAAAACGACTGTGACGACTGTTGAGTAAGCAGCATTTAGTTCCGTCCTATCTCCAGGGACCTTTAGAGTAAAACCAGACCAATCAGAGTAAGTAAGATTCCAAACCAAAAGAAAGTAAAAAGCTGAGAAGGTTTCTCTAAAATTTGGACGTACAACAGTGGAAGCATCCGCCTGAACTACTAGAATTCCACCAGCAGTTTGTCTGCTGTCAGTGGGTACTATTTGCCTCCACCTCGGTGGGTACTATTTGCTCTTGAACCTCTTCATTGATTTCTTGCTCTCTCTGTACAGCCACTGTTTATATGGTTTGCTCTCTCTGTAAACCATCCCATACGCAATAGGACACAAAAAATCATCTTCAAGGAATAAAACAACCAGCTGATTGACGGTAAAGCAAAGGGAATATGGTTTGAGCTTCTGTGACAGTTTCAGGCAACAGAACATCTTTTGATTTGGCCCATCTTCGAGCTCCTGCGCCAACCAACAACCTGGAGAGGCAGATCATAATGATGAATGCTTGACAAAACAGATTAAAAGTTAAGTTGATATCTGAACAAAGAAGATTAATGTGTTACATAGGAGGCATACGGCCTAACAGAGTTGACAGTTGACCCACTGGCACTAATTCAGAAATCAGATGTTTGAAATATACATCACCAAACATCTTCAAGACATAACATGCTAAACAAGATTCTATTTTATTATCTTCCAATCTATGAAATTTAATATATATACAAAATGGTTATGAATTACTTCACCCGACATCATCAGATTAGCAGCGGGGGGATTTCTAGGCATTGAAGACAAATTAGGAGATTAGATATAAGTGAAATGAGTCAATAAGAAACCCAGACAGGAGATATGAGAACCACTTTTATTGATATTGATCTCAACTAGTCCATTTTTAGCCAAGAAAGATAGAGCAAACAATTTCTCTAAGGTCTGCAAATGACCGCTTGTTGAGCACAAAATTTTCAAGCCCCATGTGCTTCTTTTGCCGTAAGACATTAAAAAATATCGCCATATTCTTGCCTGTATCGCTTTTCTCTTCTGATTGTGTATCATCTACCTGGTGGTGACAGCAAGAACTCAAATAAATTTTGTTTTTTATCTATTTCTATACTAAATAATAATCAACAAGTTCCGGAACCGGAAGCATCACATCACATTTCACAGCCGTAACATTGCAAAAGAGATGAGAGTTTCAATTTCACTTTTTTTTTTGTACAATTAAACAATGCTCGCAGCATATACAACATTGCATACTATGCCATATGATTCTTCAATAAGGCAGAGATAAAAAAAATTCACTCAACAAATCTAGGTAAGGAGATGAAAGTTAAAGATGTGAAGACGCGACGGAGCATAGGACTACATATATTACACAAGTGGAATCAGTTCGCCAGTGCTCATAAACTCAAATACAATGGGGTCTACAAAACATTTCTTACCTCATCTGGATGGACACCTTCACCAAGCCTTGTACATTTTCTGTTGGCTGCACTCTTCCTTCGCTTCTGTTCAGTGTCCGTAGGTCCCAAGCTGGTCAATGCTGTAGAACAGACTTTTTAGTATCATGAAATGCACATTGTGGAACAAACACATTGATACTAAAACCTTGACGAAACAGATTATAAGTTGGGTTGATATCAGGACAAAGAAGAGTGATTCGTTACATAGGAGTTATACGACCTAAGAGAGTTGACCCGCAAAACTGTTCTTACACAGTCTAAAATCTTCTTCTGATAGAACCAATGGTTCTATCATTGAATCGTTCTAATTTTAACAAAGTTCACAAAGGAATAGTTAGAACAGTAAGCAGCCATTGCAGACACTAGACCAACAAGTACCTCCAGGACTTCGATGGCGGCTGAAACAGCATCTATACACTCACCAAAATCCTAAATTTCAACAGATAAAGTATATTTCAGACCTTAAAGTATGCAATTATTCAAATCGATTTGGGCTATGAATAGACACTGAAAGTGAAACTGAACCTGGCGACGAACGAACGATGTGGCTAGGCAATCTCAGGACGGAACTAGGAGGATTTTCACTAGCCGCCGCATGATTTCCGGCACCGATCGTAAACCGCTATGAAAAAGCGCCGATCTGCTCCGTCGCAAGCCACCGATCCCCGGCGAAACCCAGGATTCGGGAGTTAACTGTGAACACGAAAAATATACTCACCCTTACGCAAACGTTGTGTCGTTTTTGTAGTCTACATGCGAACATCCTACTGTTTTAATGTTTAATTTATTATTGTAATCAAAGTTGAAAAAAGCGGTTTAACTCTTCTTCAATTCCTCCGGTTTAAAACCAAACCTGAAAACTGTATAATCAATAACCACAACGCTTGGTTTACATCCGGTTTAGGCTCTTATAAATAGTTGGACGCTCCTGAAATTAGCGTCATTATAACAAATTTTTCCGATCTTCTTCTCCGGCGAACTTTGCCGGCGAAACGGTTTCCCTCTGAATTCGTTTTCAAAATCGCTTGCTCTCTTGTCCATTTTTCTTCCTCATCGCTCGCTTCCATTTTTACGGTGAGTATCTAGTTTTCTTCCCAAGACTTTCCCGATTATCTTTGATTCTTTGATTTTTTCACGATTCATCTGAAATCAACATTGTTATCTGATTCTTGAGATCTGAAAGCTTAATAAATGTACGCTCTAGGTTTACATTTCATGGATTCTTGAACAAATTAGAAGTTCTTTGATCTTTTATGTTAAAGATCGAGTTTTTTTGGTTATCTCCAGGTACACAGTTTTCGTTGTGAGGTATGGGTTTTGCGAGTCGGGTTCAGTTTTGTGGTGCGGATTTTGTGAATAGTTTTGGACGCGGCAGTAATCTTTGGGATCATAGGGCTGATTCTCACCTTTATTTGGCTAATAGATTGAGTGCTGCGGGTATAGTTTCCAAAACTGGTGGGAGTTTAACGCTAACTACTGGTCTTACTAGAAAGTCCGAAAGTGTATCATTGTTGGGATATAGGTTTCGTAGTCAAGGTGATGATTCTGTTGGAGCAGGCAGCGAAGGAGATATAACTGGGTATGACCCAAACACTTTGGAGTCTCGTTTTGATCCGCAAATCCAACCAACCCAAGAACAGTTGTTGGATGGGAACACTACTGTTCGGAATGTCTTGAGTTGCATAGTTGCTGGAGTGTCATCAGAAAGTAGCTTGGAGGAACGCTGGGACAGACTTCATAATGCAATAAAAGCATTGAAAGCTGTTAGGTTCAGGAATAGCATGTTTCAGAGAGTCGTAAACGAATCGATTGCACTGCAGGATAAATCAGCCTGTGCTTCAAATGAACTAAGCCAAACCCCTGTCGCGGTTCAAGGGATGATTGATGAAATACGCGTAACTAGGGAAGATGTTGAGAAGGCTACTTCTGAAGCAGTGGGATACAATGCTTCAGAGGTTGAGGATGAAGTCTTAGAGACTATGATTTGGGGAGAAAGGGCTGTGGAATTGGAGCGTGAGGCGAATCAAGATGTGAAGGATGCACAGGCTGCTTTCCAGAGAGCACTGAAGTCTCATTTTGATTATCAAATCCAAAAACCAACCCAAGGGACTGTCTGGAATGTCTTGAGTGACATAGTTGCTGGAGTCTCATCAGAGACCAATTTGGAGGAATTCTGGGACAGACTTCATAATGCAATAAAAGCATTGAAAGCGGTTAAGTTCAGGAATAACACGTTTCAGAGAATCGTAAACGAATCGAATGCACTACAGGATAAAGCAGCAAGTGCGTCAAATGAACTAAGCCAAACACCTGTCGCGGTTCAAGAGATGATTGTGGAAGTATGCAAAGCTAGGGAAGCTGTTGAGAAGGCTTCTTTGGCACTATCTTTGGCTGAAGCGAGGCTGCAGATTCTAATGAAATCACTAGAAGCAATGAGGTACGATGCTTCAGAAGTTGAGGATGAAGTCGTAGAGATTATGATTTGGGGCGAAAGAGCTGTGGAGTTGGAGCGTGAGGCAAATCAAGATGTGAAGGATGCAGAGGCTGCTTTCCAGAAAGCACTGAAGTCTCATTTTGATTCTCATGCTGGAGGACAGGCTTTGGATGTAGAAACTACAGCTGTAGATGATGATGAAATTCTGACTCAGGGCTGAAAAAGAGTTCGCAGTAGATGAGGTCTACACTTGTGAGGTATGCTTTTTTTTTGTCTATGAATATGAATAAACCCATAATTTTTCTTATTATATTGTTTATGATGTTTGTCTCCTGACCTGTTTTAGATTTGCACCCTTTGAATCTCTCAAGCACTCCAAGCCATGTTGTTTCCCATCACCAAGTTACTATGTTGTTTGATCTTTGTTCTTCTGCAAAACCGTTTGAAGGGAATTCACTCGAATATGTAATTCGAGATTGAACTCTGATCTTTTGAAGCTCCTGCAACTTAATGATTTGGATGAAAATGATTGAGGACGCTCGTTGCTTCTATTCTGCAAAGCCTAATGCTTGATTGAGTCCTTTGTGGCATAAATCCAGCGCCTAATTTTGTTTTTGTTTTTCTTTTTATCTCTATTGCTACTCCGCAGTTTCCACTTTCTTGTTTGATGATTAAAACTTGTGCTTTGATTTCAGGACACACCAGACATGCCTAGACGCCCAACTCCTTGACTGATCTTGTGCAAGACTTTGGAACAAATGACACTAAAGTTTGTTCTTCTTGATCTGTCTTTTTCAGTTTCATAGTACAGTAATGTGTGACTATTTTTTTCAACTTCATGTACAAATGGAATATTCTCAAAAAAAGGAAGATATATTTTTTTACAAAATCAAATTCTATCAGTTTTTTTCTTTATTTATATTATTATGATTATGTGATTCAAATGTTTTGAGATCCATAGGAATCGGCTTTCTCATTACTTGCTTCTAAATCTTCGGCTTAGTTTATTCATTCTTTTTCCTTAGGTTCTGCAACTTTTCTAGGGGTTTTGTCTTCTACCATAGTGGGATTTCCTTAAAAACTTCAGAAAACTCCATGTGCATTCGAAGCTTTGTGCTTTAAGTATGTTGAATATACTCCTATAAGATAATTAAATTAGTTTCACCAATCCCTAGGTAAACTTGAAGATACATAAGAGATGAAGTTAAAGTTCACAATTTCACCTCTGCAACCAGATTTTAAGTATTCTGCATCTCATCTTATAATTTTGTTAATTTGGAAAGATAAAAGAAGATGGTGTTAGTCCTTGTTCGTGTTGTATCCAGTTGAAATGGGAAGATTATTTGCTGGATATTTTTCTTTTTCTTTCAAGATTTGTTGATTTTGTTTGTACACAGAGATGGGGAAGACGAATATGTTATCCAAGATTAAAGTTTTCAATGGTATCAATAGACCCATCTATGTGTTGGCTGGCTTGGCATTTCTTATCTCAGTTGCTACATTAGCTAAGTTCAACTACATCACACCCCTACGCTTCTCTGATCGGTTCTGTAACTCTCACGGAAGCTTTGATGGCGACTATTATAATATCGGCAGCCAGATGAGGAAGACAATCGAAACTGCCATTTTTAAAATCCACCAAGAAATGGATGATCTCAAGGCTTTAGAAGCTAATTCTTCTTCTGTTCCATCTTCGGATTCATCAGCTTCCGGATCTATGTTCAGGCATGTAGCGTTTCTTGCGGATGTTCTTTCACTGGTTCAGTCAGTTCATATGGAACTGCCTTCGTTTGAAGAGAGATTCGTAGACCATCCTTTGAAGCAGCGGAATGGTGACCCGGGAGAGCATTTTATGAGAGAAGAGATAAAGAAGTACATAAAGATCAAACCAAACCGGCTTGGGAAGCAGAATTTTATGGGAGCTAACGGAACATTCACTTCGATCGGGCACGCATGTTTTGCAATGAAGAACGATCTAGAAGAGTATATGGACTACGATGTTGGGGAAATCTGCAACGACGACTGGAGGTTAGCTCAGAAGCTTATGGTTCACGGATGCGATCCGCTGCCTAGAAGACGGTGTTTCTCCCGTGCACCGCAGTTATATCACAAACCGTTTCCGATCAACGAGTCTCTATGGAAGCTGCCGGATAATCGGAATGTGAGATGGGGACAGTATAAGTGCAAGAACTTCGCTTGTCTCGCTAGCAACACAACAGCGCGAAAAGGGTTCTTCAAATGCACTGACTGCTTCAACCTCACGCACCACGAATCGCCAAGATGGCTTAACCGAGGCGAAATCGATCCTGAGACTAACCAAACTGCAGATTTCTCGATAACGGAAGTACTCGAAATCAAACCGGGAGAGATGAGAATCGGACTAGATTTCAGCATTGGCACAGGAACTTTCGCAGCGAGGATGAGAGAGCAGAACGTCACGATTGTATCAGCAACAATCAACCTCGGAGCTCCATTTAACGAGATGATCGCTCTGCGCGGTTTGGTCCCTTTGTATCTAACCGTGAACCAACGTTTACCTTTCTTTGACAGCACGCTTGACATGATTCACACGACGAGGTTTCTCGATGGATGGATCGACCTGATACTACTTGATTTTGTGCTGTTCGATTGGGACAGGGTTTTAAGACCAGGTGGATTGTTGTGGATCGATGGCTTCTTTTGTCTGAAAGAGGATTTGAATGATTATGTTGAAGCGTTTAAAGCGTTGAGGTATAGGAAACATAAGTGGGTTGTGGTGCCTAAGAAAGACAAAGATGATAAAGAAGTTTTCTTCTCTGCTCTGTTAGAGAAACCTCCAAGACCCTTTAGATGATTGACCCCATTATTCATTTCATAGTCTCTGTGTTTTAGAATATCATCTTTGTAATATTCTTACAAAAAGAAAACAGAAAATGTTAAAACAAAATTGAGATATAACATTCGTAATAATATGTTTTGTAACGAAAGATATACAGTAGAAGATTCCATTATGAATATCAAAACCATATGATAGGATACGACGTCGTTGTTCAACATTTTGCTTTTCACCATTATGTTCGGACTCAACGAACCAATAGGCTAAGACCGAGGAAGGCGCGATATATAAAACAACTTTTTGCCTCTTTGGTTCCGTTACATCGGCAGGGTGAAGTTTTGGGAATCGGAGAATGGAGGAGGAAAAGCTAGAGATCGTCGGACCAATGGAAGAGCCGTTGATGGGGAACATCGTACCAGAGGAGATCAACGGCTCCTCGTCAGATACTGATAGCGAGAAACCAGGATCCCCTGTTCCCATCCATGCTCCGATCTACCGTATGTTTGGTAGAGAACGACCGATTCACATGGTTCTCGGCGGAGGTAAACGTACGAAACACTCTCTACACTCTGTCAATGTTCTGTTTTCACATATTGGTTATGTCTCATTGATATTGCGTTTAGGGTACTTTTTGATGATGATGATGATTATAATATGTCTTCCATTAGATAGCGTTCGAATGTGTAGAAATAGAGATTAATGGCGATTGATTGATTATGTGACCTAATCACCTAGTGGTTGGGGTAATGTTTTGAAGCTGCTGATGTGTTGCTATGGAGAGACAAGAAGGTCACGGCAGGTTTACTCAGTGCAGTGACTTTGATTTGGCTTTTGTTTGGATTTGGTGGTTGTCGTCTTCTCACGTTTATATGTCGTGGCTCTATTCTCTTTCTGCTTCTCTCATTCCTCTGGTCCAATGCACTCAACAAGTAAAAGATCCTTTTCCAGCTGGCTACACGCCCCTCCTTGATATATGTTAAGTAAAAGCTGATTTCTTGTTTGCTAATCCATCATTTTGTGTAGATCTCCAGAGAACATAGTGGAGATTTACATCCCTGAGAAGCCATTACTTCAAGCTGCTTCTGCATTGACCTTTGAGCTTAACTGTGCTTTGGCAACTTTGAGGAGCATTGCCTTAGAGAGAGACATCAAGAACTTTTTAGTGGTAACTTGTTTTGTTTCTCAAGTCCTTGATTTAGAGAAGTCTCTGAAACAGTGAAATGAACTTACGGACTTGATTGTTTTTCTTTTCTGGTTGTTAAACAAAGGCGATCATTGGACTTTGGCTCGTATCGATCATCGGAAATTGGTTCAACTTCTTGTCATTGCTCTACATCTGTAAGTTCACTACTCGTTTTTTACTCTTAATCTTGAATTATCTATCTAGGTACTACTATGTCTTGAACTAATTGAAACCACACAGGTTTTGTTCTGATTCACACGGTGCCAATGCTTTATGAGAAGTACGAAGATGAAATTGATCCAATTGCAGAGAAGGCTGTGATTGAGATGAAGAAGCAATACCAACTTTTTGAAGCCAAGTTTTTTAGTAAGACCCATCATTAGCCAAACAACAACTCAGATATCGAGATTGAATTAGATTCGATTAATTTACAGTAGTTAGTACAATTATATTTATTTATCTGTTTATGTGGTTTTGGTTACTTATTACTCAAGTCATCTAAACTATTGTGGATATATAATGGGCTGGGCCTTTAAAATAATATCTAAAAAGTTGCTCCCCCATCTTTTATAATGGAAATCTAAAGCTGATTGCTGAGTGTATAAACACAAGTCACACCAAAGAGAAAAAGACCAATTGATACTTGCAGATGTTTGGGCCTAAGTTAAATACCTAAGGCCCATGTAACACCGACAGATCCAACAACTTCAACCCGCTATGTAAAATGGATTAAATAAATAAAATTGAGAAAATGATAAATTGTAGTAAATGTACACTCTTCACAAATCGCCATTGTTTCTGTTTTGAGATCTCTCCCTCCACGCTGTGTCATCATCATCAGATCTACAGTTGCCACTAAGAAGCTTCTCTGTATAGTTCCCTCTCTCACTCTCGAAATTTCAACACAGTTCTCGATTTCGAATTCTTCTAAAATCGCAATTTTGTTAGCTACAAAAAAAAAATGGCGCAGCAACAGTTCCTTCACCAGCGTCCAATCCAAAACCCATTCACAAACCCATTCTCTTCTTCTCATCTTTCTAATTCCTCAATCTCAAACCGTCCGATCTCTCTCCTCAGCCGCAACGGTCTCCTCCTCTTACTCGCACTCCTCGTTATCCTCGGCGTCTTCTTACCCTGGGCAGGATCCCCTCTATTCCCGTTTCCAAACAGGCTCTCTTCTTCTCAATCCAAATGGCGCGATTATTCCCTCGCCCAAGCCGCCAAATTCGTTGCTAAGAACGGGACTGTGATCGTCTGCGCAGTGAGCTACCCATACTTGCCTTTTCTCAACAACTGGTTGATTAGTGTTTCTAGGCAGAAGCATCAGGACCAAGTCCTCGTGATCGCTGAGGATTACGCTACCCTCTATAAGGTTAACGAGAAGTGGCCTGGTCACGCCGTTCTCATTCCTCCGGTCCTTGATTCTCAGACGGCACACAAGTTCGGTTCCCAGGTATAACATCTGCACTGAGTTTTCAATCTTTTCGATCCAATTTCATCTCTAGCTTGAGATATTCGTAGCTTCCAGTTCATGAAATCTAGCTGAAAATGACTTTGAAATTAGGATTTTGCGGATGTGTCTTTGCGAATTTTGGTAATCTGAGATTGGTTACTTGTTTTGGTTTCCCTCATACTGATGTATTATGTCACAGATTACTCGGATCATAAGTTAAACTTATTAAGTTTGTCTAGTGTTCCTGAGGTTTTGGATTTTTACATTCATGGCTGATCCTATGAATATAACAAAAGATGGTCAGCTTGTGAATGCCATATATTCTTTCTGATTTTGATTGATTATGTATCCTCTGTTTCTTTATGTGATAACCTATGCTAAGAGCTTGTATTGCAATGGAATCGATCGTTTTAACTGACTTCTCATATCCAATTAGGGTTTCTTCAATTTCACAGCTAGAAGACCGCAACATCTCTTGCAAATTTTGGAGTTAGGTTACAATGTCATGTACAACGATGTTGATATGGTCTGGTTGAAAGATCCGTTTCAGTATTTTGTGGGAAAGCACGAAGCATACTTCATGGATGATATGACCGCAGTATGTATATTCTTACATCTCCTTCATTGATGGTATTGACTTAGTTTATTTATTATCTTCTTGATTATGGTTCCAGATCAAGCCTTTGGATCACTCTCACGGTTTACCACCTCCTGGTAAAAAGGGAAGGCCTTATATATGTAGCTGTATGATTTTCTTGCGTCCCACTAATGGTGCAAAACTTCTCATGAAGAAATGGATCGAGGAACTTCAAACCGAACCTTGGTCCAGAGCAAAGAAAGCAAATGATCAACCTGGTTTTAACTGGGCACTTAACAAAACAGCTCATCAGGTATGTTACTTCTTCCTAGTTCCGCAACAAAACAGTGACTTTAGGTATATTGGTCTCAAGCTTTTTTATACACAGTTGTTGGGTTCATAACAATTGAAGCTTAAAAGAGTGAACGTTTTACTACTCTGAGATTCCACTTTATTTAACCTTAGCTTTTCCATTACGATTTTTTAGCTTTTTCTCAACTCCTCTAATCTACTTAGGAATGTTTAATTGCGATAGGCTTTTTATTACTCAGGGTTTAATGATGATATCAAAGCTTAACAAAAACTCAAAAGATTGTGGACCTTTTAGTACTCCTAGGAATGTTCAGTTACAATGTTGCTTGAATCTCAAAGGTAAAAATCAGTTTGTTTGGATACATTGTCAACTCTGTTTGTGAACTCTGTTGTTGCAGGTGGATCTCTACTTGCTTTCTCAGGCAGCATTCCCGACAGGAGGATTGTATTTCAAGAACTCGACATGGGTTAAAGAGACAAAGGGAAAACATGTGATAATCCACAATAACTACATTGTGGGTTTCGAGAAGAAGATAAAACGTTTCCGTGACTTTGGTCTATGGCTAGTAGATGAACATGCTTCAGAGTCTCCATTAGGGAAATTAGAGTAGTAGATTCGAATGGGCAGAAAAAAAATTGTTTGTCTCTGTCTCTCTCTATAGATCTCTTTTCTTGTTGTTATTGACATATTCAGGCTGCGCAAGAGAAGAAAAGATCCAGTGAGTAAATTCTTTTACATATATGGGGGTCTTTAAAGTCATGTGAAGAGGTGTTGTTATAAGGCTAATCTTGATACCACTTGAGCTGAGTTTGGTAATGTAGACTGCCGAAAATGGCATCTGAGTCAGACAATTCTATGATTCTTTCATTCAAAGACATATTGCAATCAGCATTTACACTCACCCATGGCATCTGTATCAACCCTTTTGGATGGATTTTGTCATACAGAGAAGAAATTAATATTACTCTTTGTTGGGATCATTTTACAAAATTGATTTTTTTTTTTCTGAAAAATGATTCGACACAAAATGATTTTTTTTTTTTGGTTGCCTACTAATGAATTATTCTTGTAACGAGTTGTGCAAATTTGTAAAATAAAAATACAAAACAATACTGACAGCTAGCATATATGATACGAGGGTCCACATTGATTAATAAACAAAATTAATTTGAAATATAGTTGGGGGATATGTTTATTTCCATATACTACTTTACAACATGTGACTGATAGTAATACGCAACAATTTTTATAGACTTTTTGGAGGATGCTGCTTATGTAAGATTTACCTTAAATAAAGACATAATAAATTAGATTGGAAAACAAATACTACAAGTTTTTTCATTCGTGTGTTACTTACTAAATCTATTTATTCCTCCTAAGATCTGATACATATTTATTGCATAATTTATTTATTTAATATAGTCAAGTCCGGTTTTGATAAATAACAATTCCTATCTCTGTAACTCGACAAATTCAAATTATGCGTGTAACATAAGAAGAACATCATTTTTGTAAATTAATTTATCTTTGGTTAGGCAGTTAATTAAAAATTAAATTAAATCCCATACTCTTATTCAAAGGATAATATATATTTTTTCAGTCGCACCAAAATGATTATTTATAATGTGTGATAAGAAAGAAAAAAAAAAGAGAAAAGAGTGAGAAAATTAGAAAGACAGAGAAGCAAAGATTCTTGCTCCCTTCGAATCCGCAGCTTCCAAGCTCTAATCCGATATGTATGTGAATTTCGCTTCTCTGATATTTCTCGATCGAGAGTGAAGAAGAGTCTCCTTACTTTTTTCTTTTCTTAAATTCTGCCATTGACGCTACAACATAGAGCTTCTTCTCTCTCTCTCTTAATCTCTCTCTCCATTTTTTTAGCTTTTACTGAGCTTACAAGAATCTACGCATCTGTGTACTGCTGTGCTGATGCTCTCTGTACTGAATTAGAGAATATCACCACCACACGCACTTCGAGTTGCTTCTCTCTCTCTCTTGAGTCGCTTTTTGATTCAGATTTCTGGAATTTTCTGTCGGATGCGTTTTGAGATTCGTCGAATCTAATCGAACTGGTTTATATAGATTGGAAGTTTAGGTGGGGATTTGATTTTCGTAGCTTGTGGTAGGTAACATTTTCTTGTTTGAGATTCCGTAATCTCGCCGGAGTTGCATGTAAGAAGTCTAGTATTCAAAAATGGGTTCTCTGGAATCTGGGATTCCGGCGAAGAGAGATAACGGCGGCGGGAGAGGCGGACGACAACAACTTCTACAGCACCAGTTCTCGCAGAGAAACAGATCGAGGCTCTCCAGATTCATTCTATTGAAGAGACTCAATTATCTCCAATTGGTTTCTTCAATTTGTATCTTCTTCTTCTTCGCTGTGCTGTTCCAGATGTTTTTACCTGGTCTCGTCATTGATAAATCTGATAAACCATGGATTAGGATTATTAAGGACAATTTGCCTCCTGATTTGGCTGTGTTTAGGGATAAAGGTTTTTTTGATTTCGGTAATGAAGTTAGAATTGAGCCCACCAAGCTTCTGATGAAATTCCAGAGAGAAGCTAATGCTTTGAATTTCACTTCATCTTCTCTCAATACGACTCTGCAGCGTTTTAATTTCAGAAAGCCGAAGCTAGCTCTGGTCAGTTGTTATGCTTGGAAATGAATTCTTCTTATGCATTCTCTTTTTGTCTTCTCGAGATCTGATCACTGCATTGCCGGCTTTCTCTTCTTTAGGTTTTTGGCGATTTGTTAGCTGATCCAGAGCAGGTGTTGATGGTATCTCTCTCCAGGGTACTGCTAGAGATTGGATATTCAATTGAGGTATAGATTTGTTGCTTCTTTTTGGGTTTCCATGCTGTTCTTTTGTTTACCAGTAACATGAAGTGTAATGCCACGAAACCTCAAACTTGTCTTGGTAGGTTTACTCGCTTAAAGACGGTCCAGTGAATGGTATTTGGCAGACGATGGGAGTTCCAGTCACAATACTCGAGACTAACCATGAATCAAGTTGTGTTATCGATTGGCTGTCGTATGTTCCACATTTCTTGTGCTATATAGACTGCATTGCTTCAAAACTGTAGGAACACTAGTGAACCATGTCTTGATTAATTCATAGCTTGGAGTTAATCACGAACCTATGGTTAATTTAATATATCTATGTGATGTTCAATTTGATAATGTGGATCTGAGGTTGATCAAATGCATTGTGGGTTCTTTTCTTGTGTAATACGTGCATTGCTTTAAATCTGTAGGAAAATTAGTGAAGCATGTCTTGATTAAATCAGAGCGTTGGAATTAATCTTGAGGCTATGATTAATTTAATATATATCCATGTGATGAATGTGGATCTGAGGTTGATCAAATGCATTATGGTTCTTTTCTTCTGTTATTATAGGTGCAAACTTAGTTGACTTGGTCAATGCAATGATTTCTGATCATTGATAATTTTCTTTGTTTTTATCTTGAAGCTATGATGGTGTAATTGTAAACTCTCTCCAAGCTAGGAGTGCATTTACTTGGTAAGATTTTCGGTTCTGTGGCATGAGTGTATATCATAGAGTTCTTGTTTTGGTTTTTGATCATCGTACACTGAAATGAGAATTTATATAAACTGTATACACATATGTATGATACCTATGTGGATATTTCCCAAAGTCCTTGATAGTTTAAACTATTGTTATTCTTTGACAGCTTCCTGCAAGAACCTTTCAAATCTTTGCCTCTTGTGTGGGTAATCAATGAAGAAACTCTCGCTGTTCGGTCCAGACAGTACAACGCAACAGGTCAGACTGAACTCCTCACGGATTGGAAAAAGATTTTCAGCCGGGCTTCGGTTGTAGTGTTCCATAATTATCTCCTTCCGGTACGGTTTACGATTAGAACCCCAGAATTATTATTTAGGATTCTGCTTTAAAATAGGTTTTCTAGAGTACTTTTTTTATAATTACCTTGTTTCACATTCTCTTCATGCAGATTCTCTACTCCGAGTTTGATGCTGGCAACTTTTATGTTATTCCCGGATCACCTGAAGAAGTATGGGAACCAAATAATCTGGAGTTTCCACAGAAAGATGATGTGGTCATTTCCATTGTGGGAAGCCAGTTCTTGTACAAGGGTCAATGGTTGGAACATGCCCTGCTTCTGCAAGCTCTACGGCCTTTATTTCCAGGCTATTACGATGAAAGTTATGATCCTCATCTGAAGATCATAGTTTTAGGTGGAGAATCAGCTTCCAACTACAGTGCAGCTATTGAGGTATTTGAAGGTCCGCCTTGCTATTGGTTAAATGGTTTGTAGCTTTTTAAGACAGAGATTCAAAATCACTTACCTTGTTCCTTGCTTTGTTTTGAACTTCTTAGACAATTTCCCAGAACTTGACATATCCAAGAGATACTGTGAAGCATGTAAGCATTCCGGGGAATGTTGATAAGATACTTGAAAGTTCTGATCTTGTTATATACGGATCATTTCTTGAGGAGCAGTCTTTTCCAGAAATTTTGATGAAGGCCATGTCCTTGGGAAAGCCTGTAGTTGCACCAGACCTTTTCAACATTAAAAAACATGTATGCTCCTTCTTCCTTTGCTCGTGTTCGTCATGGACATGTGTTGTGGCATGTTCTCTGTCCATCTGGCTGCTTACTGACTATATTGGCAAATATTAAATAGGTTGATGACAGGGTTACCGGGTATCTTTTCCCCAAGCAAGATCTTAAGGTTCTATCACAGATTGTGCTTGAAGTGATAACAGAAGGGAAAATATCTCCATTGGCTCAGAAGATTGCCTCGATGGGAAAAACAACTGTTAAAAATATGATGGCTCGGGAATCAATAGAAAGTTATGCGGCTCTACTAGAGAATGTTCTCAAGTTTTCTTCAGAAGTTGCTTCTCCTAAGGATGTACAAAAGGCTCCTCTAGAACTGAGAGAAGAGTGGAATTGGCATCCATTTGAAGCTTTTCTGGATACATCGCCTAATAATAGAACAATAAGAAGTTATGAGTTTTTAGCTAAGGTTGAGGGGCATTGGAACCATACCCCAGGAGAAGCTATGAAATTTGGAGTTGTCAATGATGATTCGTTTGTGTATGAAATTTGGGAAGGTGAGAGATATCTTCTAATGATGAATAGTAAAAAAAGGCGAGAAGATGAGGAGGTAAGCGTCAGATGAGAGTTCTTGAAATAACGTTCTCATCTCCATTTCCTATGTGCCATTTTAATATTGTTTTTGTGTTGTATTGTTATGCAGCTGAAAAGCAGAGCCTTACAGTATCGTGGGACATGGGAGGACGTATATAAAAGTGCCAAGAGGGCAGACCGAAGTAAGAATGAGTTGCATGAAAGGGATGAAGGGGAGCTGCTAAGAACCGGTCAACTTTTATGCATATATGAACCATATTTTGGTGAAGGAACCTGGCCGTTTCTACATCAATATCCCCTCTATCGTGGGGTTGGCTTGGTGAGTTTTTCATGTACGATATATTGTTTCTGGCAACCATAAGGTGGTCTGAAAGAGGAAAATTGTTCTCAGCTGATTTGAATGCATCACATTGCAGTCAGTTAAAGGACGGAGACCTAGGATGGATGATGTCGATGCATCATCACGTCTTCAGCTTTTAAACAATCCATACTATCGCGATGCTCTTGGTGACTTTGGAGCATTTTTTGCAATTTCAAACAAGATTGATCGTTTACACAAGAATTCGTGGATTGGGTTTCAATCCTGGAGAGCGACTGCCAGGAAGGTACACATCTCTTCTTTGTTTAGCTTAGAAATCCTTCATTCTTTCTACTATAGAATGCTATGTGCAGTACTTGTGCTGAAATTGGGATCTCAATACAGGAATCTTTATCCAAGATTGCTGAGGATGCATTACTTAATGCTATACAAACACGGAAACACGGCGATGCCCTATATTTTTGGGTTCGCATGGACAAAGATCCGAGAAATCCTCTGCAGAAACCCTTTTGGTCGTTTTGTGATGCCATAAATGCTGGGAACTGCAGGTAAAACATTACAGAATCGTAAATCATAGTTTTATAACAATGTTTGAGACATTGTTCATTTACCTGACTCTGTGCAACTTATGGGCTTGGATCAAGGTTTGCTTACAACGAAACTCTGAAGAAAATGTACAGTATCAAGAACTTGAGCTCACTGCCACCAATGCCCGAGGATGGAGATACATGGTCTGTGATGCAGAGCTGGGCCCTGCCAACAAGATCCTTCTTAGAGTTTGTCATGTTCTCAAGGTACTTGATCTACCATTACCCAGTGACTGTCGCAATCTTGGCTCTTTGGAAAAGAAAGAAAGTAATTAGAGAGTGTTTTCTCTCTTGTTTGTAGGATGTTTGTGGATTCACTGGATGCACAGATATATGAAGAGCATCATCGAACAAACCGTTGCTATCTGAGTTTAACCAAAGTAAGAAACTCATTTCTTCTTCTGCCAAAGTTAATGTGTTTTAGATATAATTCAGATGAATCCACTTGGGTTTGCATTTAAGTAAAATGTGTTCAATTTCTCACAGGACAAGCATTGCTATTCGCGGGTACTAGAGCTTCTGGTGAACGTATGGGCTTACCACAGCGCAAGGCGCATTATCTACGTAGATCCTAAGACTGGTTTGATGCAGGAGCAACACAAACAGAAGAACCGGCTAGGAAAAATGTGGGTGAAGTGGTTTGATTACACAATTCTGAAAACAATGGACGAAGATCTTGCTGAAGAAGCGGACTCAGACAGGCGTGTGGGTCACTGGCTATGGCCATGGACTGGTGAGATCGTGTGGCGTGGTACATTAGAGAGAGAGAAGCATAAGAAGAATTTAGAGAAAGAGGAGAAGAAGAAGAAAAGTCGAGATAAGCTGACTAGAATGAGAAGTCGAAATGGTCGCCAGAAAGTGATCGGAAAATATGTAAAACCGCCTCCGGAGAACGAGACTGTAACCGGAAACTCCACTTTGCTAACCGTAGACGCATAAAAAACAAATTACATTTGTGCTTTTGTTTCTTTTCATATATATTTTTTTTGGTTAGGTCGTAAAATTTGTTTCATTCTTTTTTTTTTTTGGAAAGACTACTGTATAAAAGTTCTCAAGTCTCAATCATTCACTCTCCCTCTCTCTCTCTCTCTCCCACCTCTCTTAGATTTAACCGACGGCTTTAACTCTCCGGCGGTGGAGCTTCACTGTTCACAACAAAAAGAAAGGGAGAAGATGGAGGAGACGCAGGTTCTTGAGATCAATCTCATCTCTGCGCAAGGTATTAAAGAACCGACGGGAAAGCTCCGGCGATTGCAGACCTACGCATCTGTCTGGGTTGATTCTTCAAACAAGCTCCGGACTCGGATCGATCGGATCGGTGCTGAGAATCCGATTTGGAACGACAAATTCGTTTTCCAGGTTTCGCCGGAGTTCCTATCTAGCGAAACATCAGGCGTTTCTATCGAGATCTATGCCGTTGGTTACCTCCGGGATCATCTGATCGGAACCGTACGCTTCCTCGTAAGTAACTTCCTCCCAACCGCCGCCGTGAAAGTTCCGTCGCTCGTCGCGCTTCAGATCCGCCGTCCTTCTGGAAAGTTCCATGGCGTTCTCAACATCGCGGCTATGGTGATGGATGCTTCCGAACTCCCCGCTGATTACTTCAAGTCCGTTCAAGAGATCCGTCGGAGCCGAAAAATGAGAAAGTCTAGATCTGCGGTAAGCTCGTCGGAGAACGGTTTCGCCGAAGACGCTGAGAGTTCGAAAGAGAACTCGGTTTGCGGATCTGTAAATTTCTCCGACGACGGTACGGACTCGACGGCGTCGTCTCCGATGCCTTCACCTCTCAGAGACTGGAACGTAGTTCGAAATATGGCGGGAAAGAATCACGTGAGAGCGTCATCGGACGGCGGAGGATTGATGTGCTGTTTCTTGATGAAATCGTCGGGTTACGAGGAAGAGAAATGATGGACGGCTGAGATCTATTTCTCAGATTACCAACGGTTCGGATGTTCTTTTGGTTTCGAAACCATAGATCTTCGCCACGTGCATCTCTATCCACGGCTTAGATCTCCGCTATCCATACGTCGTCGTGTAAGAAGTTTTGGCGGTTATGAGATTTTTAACAAATCCTATAGCTTTATGAAAAAACATAAAATTCATCAAAAAAATTTGTCAACGATATAAAATTCTTTTTGATATGAATATATGTACCATATAATATCAATTTTACATAGGTCATATTAATAATTTTCATATCACAAAATAAAAGCATTTGGGTACTAAAAGAAAAAAGAAAAAAGAAAAAAAAGAGAAAAAAGCAAAAGTGAAACAAAAACGCGGGAAGTCGTTAAAATGAAAAAAGAGGAGGAGATAATGGTTGGTTTAACGGCCAGGGTTAGTTAAAACAATCGATTAGTCCTACCAGAAATAACTAAATCATCTTTTTAATACAAATTCCACTCTCTCTCTCTCTCTCTCTCGTCTTCTTCAATCTTCTCTGTGTTGTGTGCCTTGTTTCTCCCCTTCATTACCAGATAAATAATATTGCAGCTATTGAATCAGGTACAAATCTCATCTCTCATCTCATATCTCATCTCATACTATATAGAGCAATGAAATGTTACAAAGTTCATAACTTGATTTGTTTTTGCTATGATCGGTTTTAGGGTTTAATAAATAGTTATGGCAAGGTTAACAAGGGAGATAACAGCCGTGGAGGTGAGAGCCACCGAGCAAAATCGAATTCGATACTCTTCTAATCACATTAAACACTTGCCACCTGCCACAGTTACCGAGTTTGATTGGAAGAATTATTCTCCCTTGGGTTTCAGGTAATCTTATTTTTATATATCTTCTTTCTCTTAATATTTTTTTTTCTTTCTAGGTAATGAATTTGTTAGTTTAATTATGTTAATTTTGTTGTAACGTAGACTTATTCAAGAACTTGAGGGCATCGATCATGATGATTACATGCATTCCATTTGCACTGATGAGACTCTTGAGAAGCTTTCTTCTGGAAAAGTTGGAAAGCTTTTTCATATTTCCAATGAAAACCGTTTTCTCATCAAGATTCTTCGTAAATCCGAAATCAAGGTACTCATCTTAAGAATTAATCCACTACTCTTTCTTGTGTCTTTGTGTGAATTCTAAAATATTGTGATTTGTTTCTATAGGTGACGCTAGAGATGCTTCCCGGTTACTATCGCCATATAAATAACCATAGATCTTCACTATTCTCAAGGATTTATGGAGCTCATGCCGTGAAGCCTCTTGGAGGTGTTAAGGTGATGCATTTCTCATATATATTCATGAATCTATGATTAATTAGATCTACTAGTTTTGAGTCACTGAACTTATATTGTTTTTGGGTATATACAGACATATTTTGCTGTGATGTCAAACATGCTACATTCAACGGTCTTCATGAACAAGCTCTATGATCTTAAAGGTTCTCCTAAAGGCCGTACTAGCAAGAAAATTGAAGTGAGAAACACCACTGTTTTGAAAGATATCGATCTCGATTTCTGTTTCTACGTCGATCCATTGGCTAGACAACGCATCATCAAGTATCACTCTTTCTCTCTGTACCATTATATCTTGAATGATCTTTAGCCAACAAAATTATGATTCAAATGCTTATACACAAAATGGTTATGTCGATACAGGCAAACAAAGCTAGATTGCGAGCTTTTGGAAGAAGAAGGTATAATGGATTATAGCTTATTGGTTGGTTTACAAGCTCAAGAGTCCTGTCAAGGTTTGGTTTCCTTTTCTTTTCATTTCTTTTCTCTGTTCTTATAAGTAGTGTTAATTAAACTATTTTGTAATATAAACTTCAAACTTTGCTAATCATAAGAAATCACTCTCTTAACAGGTTCACTTCATGGATTAAATCCAGTTTACGGTAGCTTCACACCTCCATGTAAACATCTTTACCAACATTTTCTATATCTGTTTTTTTTTTTGTTTCATAGCAAGAAGAGTAATACATAATTATATCGATTAAATTTGCACAGGCTCGTTCAAAAGCGATAGCACAAGGTCGATGAATACGGTTTCTAATTCTCCTGATAAATCTTCTGTAACATTAATGAATCCATGTTCCCCCGATCGAGGTAAAATCTTTTGATTATGTCTTATCAAATTAAGTACATAACTATATAGGAACAAAACTAAATATTCTTTATAATCTTAACAGATTCAGTCGAAAGCGAAAAGCCAAAGTCTATACAATCAGTAACAAGCTCATCAGAAACAATTCAGATCAACAGCAAAAGCATAATGGCAGCAACACTCAATAACCTCTTTCACAATAGGTAACGAGAATTAACTATCATATATATATATATAACATTAGTAGAAATTTCAAAATGAATTAGGAAGTAAAAACAAAAAAGAAGAAGAATCTAATTAACATATCTTGTTCCAGATCAAGTACCAATTTTGGGATGAAGATCCCGGCGAGGGCAAGGAGAGTGACGAGAGAGACGGGAGAAGAAGAATGGTACGATGTGGTGTTGTATATAGGGATCGTAGACACATTTCAAGACTATGGTATGAAGAAACGCATAGAACATTGTTACAAATCCATCCAACATAACTCAAACTCAATCTCAACCGTTCATCCTAAGATCTACTCTTCTAGATTCCAGGACTTCGTCTCCAACATTTTTCTACCTCACGACGTCGATCTTTAATTTCTCTCTATATCTTTGATTTTTTTTGTTATTGTATAATATTATTATACGGTTTAATCTTTGATTTTAGAGTGTTATTGTGCCTCTTCTTATCCAAGTTGGTATTTGTTGTTCAAAAATATATCATCTCTTTTCTTAAAAGATTTTGTATTAAATAAAAATCTCAAACACCTAGAAACAGTAAATTCGTATAGTAATATCTTAATTGATATAAATCGCTCAAAAATACAAAAAAAAAAAAATCCACTTATTTTGTATTAACTATTCTCTAACTATTTAGATGAATTATGATATTTTGTTGTAAAGAGTATATAAATATTGTTTTATTTAACGGCTAAATGCGAATGGGGAGATAACGGTGGGCACGCAACGTTGAATTGTTCAGTTCTAGCTTCTAGGCAATTAGCTCTGTTTTTATTTTTTTGTTTTCTTTTAATTTGAATCATTAAAACTTGCAACGTCGTCTTTGATAAATCTATAAATCTCTGGCACATCTGCTCTCTAGCTAGGTTTATTAAGATGGGTTCGGATCTCTCGCTCTCCGATGAGGATTTTGGCTTTGCTTTCAACAACGTTAATTTTTCCGACCGTCTTCTTCGGATCGAGATCACTTGTGCCGGTGGTGAGGTTAGCTGTTCCAGTAGTACCCTCGACTTGGTTAGGGATCGCAAACGCAGACGAGAAGATGTCAATGATGATCACACCAATGGTTTTTATTTAATTTGGTTATATATATATATATATATAGTAACTTAGTATATATTTGGATTTTGTCACTTTGTTGGTTGTCTAATGATATCTTCTTGATAGTTTCAGTTGCTACAAGTCACGTGGAGTATGATTTGAACAAGAACTCCAACAAACATGAAGAAGCATTGGTAATAATGTCTGAACAAAAACCACAATCAGGTATGTTCCATCTCCATCCTTGTGACCTTGTCATGTGATTACTTACCTTTTTTTTTTATAATTCTGATGGTCATTTGCAGGTTGTCAAGATGAGAATGAGTATAGTAATTGTGGACTCATTACTAACCCTTCTTCCATTGTAAGAGTTAGAGAGTTACATATAAGCTCTGCCATTTTGGCAGCTAAAAGCCCATTTTTCTACAAGGTATTACTATTATTATTAGTCTTTTATACAAAATGCTAATGAAATTAGAATATTAATACAAACTATATTATCTATCAATTATTTGAACTATGCATGCTTGAGACAGTTCAATCTTTTTCTTCAGCTATTCTCTAATGGAATGCTTGAGTCGGAGCAAAAACAGATGACCTTGAAAATAGACGCTTCTGGTATATATATTGTTATTCATCTATACTTAAAAGAAGACATGTTATCTATTTGTTGATGATATGTTTGATAATAATTTTGGAGTTTAATAATGCAAATTGCAGAAGAAACTGCTGTGATGGAGCTCTTGAACTTCATGTATAGCAATTCAATATCAGTCACGGCACCATCTGATTTGCTCGATGTGATAATAGTTGCCGATAAGTTTGAGGTTGCTTCGTGTATGACGCATTGCAGCAGATTGTTGCTCAGAACCCCTATGAGATTTGATACTGCACTGCGTCTTCTTGATCTTCCTCCGAGTTTGCTAATGGCTGATTCAGTAAAGCCTTTAATAACTGCTGCAAGGCAGTACGTCCCCTCTTGCTACAAGGCTATATTAAAGTTCGTCTCTTTGTCATCATCATCAAACTTTCAAAGCATAGACGAAACATGCTTTCATTTTAGGCGTTTGGAAGACGACATGGAGAGTTTTATGGCTTTACCGTTAGTAGGTATCGAGGCAATACTAGCGAGTACTGGTCTACAGGTCTCATCTGAAGACCTTTTATACGAACTTGTCTTGAGATGGGCAAAATCGCATTACTCAGTTCTAGAAGAACGACAAGAGATACTAGGCTCTCATCTCTCTCGCTACATCCGCTTCCCTCACATGACTTGCGGCAAACTCAAGAAAATATTGACCTCAGACGACTTTTCACCTTCTGTCGCATCAAAACTAGTCATTGAAGCTCTCTTTTTCAAAGCAGAATCGTTGGACCAGCGAAGTGTTCTAGCCCGTGAACAACCCGCCCCATTCAACCGCCGGTTTGCTGAACGAGCCTACATACATAGACCCGTCAAAATTGTGGAATTCGAGTTTCCTCGGCACCAATGCATCGTTTACTTGGACTTAAACCGCGAAGAATTCCGAAGCCTCTTTCCATTAGGCTGGCTATCATCTCAAACGTTTCCCTTACTAGGACAAGGCTTCTCTCTCACAGCTCACTGCAACTTGGACCAACTAAGTGGGGATTACTTTTTTGGAGTGTTTCTTGGGATGCAAGACACAGCGTCTGCGAGTCTGACTGTTGACTACGAATTTTCAGTGAGGTCAAAGCCAACCGAGGAATTTGAGAAGAAATTCAAAGGAAGCTATAAGTTCACCAGAGGTAAAGCTGTTGGATGCAAAAACTTGTTGAAGATATCTTTCACTGATCTCTTAATTAAGGATACTCCCTACTTCATCAATGATGTTCTTCATCTCCGAGCCGACCTCACCATCCGCCCTTAGAACCAACCATATTATTTCAATCTTTTTAATTACTGTAGCCTCTCTCTATTGGTTTCATGGCCTCTAAAAAACTTAAGTACTGTTTTAAGCTGGTGTATCTGAAGCAATCATGATATCAACAATTTCACCTGATGTATTTAGTATCCCTCATGCATGTTTTGATCATCTTTGTCTGCGATTAAGATCAGTTTGAAGTGTATACTGTGTGTGGCTCCTGATACTAATTGCTTTCTCGATGCTGTGGATCCAAGATAACAGTTTCAGATACAATGTTGAAACAGAGACATTGTATATATAAACGATATTACATGAAAACCTCCACAAAACAAAGCTGGTTTATTTTAAAAATGAATCTATTCGCTTCCTGCGATCTTCTTCTTCAAGGAATCAATATCCGCAGCCAATTCCTTTCTGCTTGACTGTAACAAGATGATCATTATCATGTCAGATCATTGATGCTTTTATAGATTATAAGAATTCAAAGAAGATATTTAAACGAGTATATTACCTTGAAGAGAAGGTATCTGTAGACAAACCAGCCAGTGTACCCGAGACCGACAAGTTCCATAACTTTGGGAAGCTACAAACACAAAAGCAAACGCCACTTTCATTCAAACACATTCCACTTTCACAAAGCTTTCAAAAGGGTTATATATTTTTAAAAATTGGTGTTACCAGAGGAACAGAGTTGATGGCACCAACAAGAATGGAAGATAACCAAACAGCAACAATGGCTCCTCCACCATAAAGAAGTACAGTCGACTTGTTCTCAAGACCATCCCACTGCACCAAACCAAAAAACAAAACCCACCAATCAAAACATAACACAAAAGGACAAAAGCCATGGCAACTCTGGTTTTTTCTTGGATAAAATGGCTCACCTTTTCCTTCAAGTCTGTGATGAGTTCGCTGGTGTCGATGGAGGTCTCGTCTGAAGAAGCTCTCGTCTTCATCAATTCAACCTTGTCCAAACCATTCCCTGCGATTGAACCGGAAAAACCAAATGATTCTGGTTTAGATTCGTGAATATATACATTTAACCTCCAATTCCGGTTTTTGAAGCTTGTAGTTGGAGTATATCTTCCACACTATCCAAACCGGATCTATTAAACCGGTAAAATCTACCTGAATTCATAATCAATATACCGAACCGCCGCATCGCAAAAAATTCAATTCAATTCCGGGCCGGAATGTTCTAATTTGAGGCAAATTTTGTGACAATTGCATCGCGATTACTCGGGATTGAACCTAGAAAGAGAGATTGTGAAGAATAAATCCGTCACCTGAAGCAAGCTTCAACGGAACGGCGAAAGAGGATCGGCCAAAGGAGCGAGGAGGAAGGTAAGGGACGGCGGAGCAGCGGGTGGAGACGGCGGGGACACGTGGAACAGTCACTGCCACAGAGGACGAAGCTGCTACTGATATCGCCATCGAAGCACGCCGATAACTTTAACTTCTTCTTTTATCTTCTGCCTGGTGCCTGCTTCTCTCTATCAGTCTTCTTCTCTATCACTCGATGTTTTTTTTTGTTCTTGGTGCTGCGCTTTTTTACTAAACAGGATTCGGTATCGACACGTGGATGCTTCTGGCGCTCTTATTGGTTGCTGCTCTTATCTTTAGAAATCCAACTCAGTGGTGTTTATTGTCTCTGTGGGGTTTTAAGGCCTTTTTAGGCCCATATACCATGTAGGCCTCTTAAAGCCTATCGTTTCGTTTTCTTTTCTTTTTTTTTATAGGTGTGGAAAACTTGAAAATTATGTAAAGAGTTAAAGTCTCTAAATTATAAGATGAGATACGAGATTAAATAAAAAAAAGGAATTCGAAACAAGGAACTTTAAAGATTATAAATTTAAAAATATTCTTCTTTTTTATTTTATAAATTAACCATTAATAAGAAAAAAAAATATTTTTAAAGAAGAAGAAAAAATAGTAAGAAATATGGCAAAAGAAATGAATAACAAACCCACTAAAAAAATGGTACGTACAGCTCTTCTCCACCCTTATACTTCACTGGCGCTTTCAACTACTAAACCATTACTCTATTTCTACTGTTATATAACCAAATAGTTTAAATTTATTTAATCGTATTTATATAGTTTTTTGTAAGATTTAATATACTCAAGATACGTGTGTATCAAGATGGAAAAAAAGAAGACAAAACCTATTGTTTTAAGAGATCAGAATCTAATAAAATGTGGGATGTGAATTTATTTTTGTTTTTGTTTCTGAGATATAATGATCATAACATGCAATATTATATAATGATTTTATCAGTGTTTCACCACTTAGATATTTAAAATATTTTTTGGATGACAAATTATGATTAAATTCTTCCCAATGACAAATCTATTTTTCTAATATATCAACAAAATAAATAATAAAAATAAGTTCTTAAGACAATAAATTAAACATAAGTAGCGGTAATAGTATTATTATTATTTTCTTTAAAATCTCAGAAAGGGTTGATCACAAAACTCAATAAGAATTTTGTAAGTTAACCGTAAGAACCAAAGAAACTGCATGATCGTTACGTCATCCGCAAATCATAGCCGACACATCTTTTTTATCATCTCAATTTTAAAAACTTTGGTTGATAAGGAAAAAAAAAACTCCAACTTCAATTTTATTTTGGGTCAAACCTTTTCTTTTTAAAAATAAAACATTTTCTTCTTTTTTATTAGGAAGAAAAAAAAACATTTTAAAAAAACATCCACCATTAATACAGCTCAAACCCAACTTTCTCTCCCCTTTTTTCTTTCAAGCTAGTTTTGAATATCTATGTTCGGTCTCTCTCTTTTATTTTCTTTAACAGTATTTTTTTTTTATCTTTATTATATGAGAAAGAACCATAATAACACATTTCATCAAATCCATATTCATGCAGCTGTTACATATTATTATATCCATCCATACTCACCTTTTGAGTGTGTATATGTGCGCTTAATTATATTCCCCTCGTCACAACCTCAACCTCAACCTCAATCTCAATCATGTTTCCAAATCTCAATCATGTTTCTTCCACTTTGATTCTTATCTACCTGGATCACAATCTTTAATCAAAAGTATCATCATTTATATACCTTCTAGTTATAATTTTCCATCTGATGAAGATCACCAATTATACTCACTTGGGTCGTCTTCTTCTTCTTCTTCATCGTCGTCGTTCTTGATTTTTTTTTTCTCTTGGCAATGGGATCTACGATCAACACAAATCTCCGTCTCATCGTCATCGTCTTCTGCGTCGTCATATCTAATTTATTACATTCGATGGTTCACTGCGGCAACAACAACATTGATGATTTGGATGATCTGATCCGTTCGTACGCGGCTCGTGACACTACTACAAGAAGACAAACAGGCTCGTTATACGCGATCTCACTTCCCTCGAATCTTTCCGACATCAAAGCATCGGTTGTTACGGTCCGAAACAGTATGTTCTGGAGGAAAGGGACAAACTTTAGTGGCGTTTTGATTCCTCCGATGGTTAAAACGACGCCGTACGCTAAGAGAATAGCTTTTGTCTACGAGAGTTTCGGTGATCACTCTTCCTCGGTTTACTTCCGGTTAACTGATAATCACTCCTTTGTTTCTCCGGTTATTGGATTCACCGGTTACGACGCGACCAACACGAACGATCTCAAAAAATTGAATCTTTCGATCAAGAGAGACGACCCAATCGTGATCAAATTCGATCCTTACGCTTCCCGTGACCGTAGAAGAATCAGATGCATAGCCTTTGGAGACAACGGTTTGTTTTCTAGTTTTAGCAATACGATACGAGACCACGAATGTGCCACTACGAATTCTCATGGGCATTACGCACTTGTTACTCTAAAACTGAAAACTAAAGCGAAACACGAACCGGAGTTGGTACGGAGGAATTGGTGGTGGTTTGTTTTAACCGGGATTGGAGTTTCGGTTATAGCTGTTGCGATGATCGTTGTTGTGGTGAAGTTAGTGAAAAAGAAGAGGTTAAGGAAGATGGAGAGAGAGTCGGAGAAGAGTGAGACTATCGGAAATGTTTGGATTGGTCGGAGTAGAATGCCGGCAGCGACGATGGTGAGAACTCAACCGTGTTTGGAATATCATGAAGATCTTCCTTCCTCTTCTAATATACCTTGAACTCTTTTTTTTTTTTTTTTTTTGACTTTTGTAGTTTCTGGCTTCTGTACAGTGAGGAGGTTACATTCAAGTTTGTTTATTTTGAACTTCTTCCCGTTTTTCTAATGCTTGAGTAAATTGTTCGTCGTTTTTGCACCCCATTGCTCTTTTACGGATGTAGGATATACATTGGATTGAGCCAATTAGTTATGTTAATTGGTTTGTCGTTCATTACGTATAGTACAAAAATACTTGTTCATATCAATATAATTTTTAAAATTTACGTACGTAATTAATAAACTAACAATGATGGAACTCATATTAAAATAGTAATTAACAAATGGATTAGTCAAACAAAAATAAACAGTAATATACTTGAGTGCTTAGTTATATATACAGTATGTGGTATTTGATTCAGTATTAATTAGTGTCCTTGATATAAAAATATGACACAACAGCAAGATAAAAGATCAGCCGTCACTTACACTTTAAAATATTTATAATTCAGTCGCACGAAAATGGTGACGAAGAAATGTCATTAGTTTAACTAATTTCTCAATCAAATGATTAGGAGAACAATCGATCTGTAAAGCATATTACACATTTTAAAAACATATTCATGTATTATCTTATATAACTTTGTTTGTCACAATATGCTTAGTTGGTGGATAAGCTTACAAAAACTCACAAGTCACATCTAAACAATCAACAACTAGTATAGCTGGTATACATCATCCTGCTTATATATCATTTATTAATTAAGGCGGACATAGGTTATTGAGTGTGAACGGAGGATATGATATCGAGCCGTCGAGAATGGCCATGGAAATGTGGTGGTTTGCGGCCTCCGTCGCATGGATTCCATCCCAACTCACGTAATTGTGTGGATCACGGCAAGCTTTGGCCGTCGCTGAAGAATTCCCGATCACTTTTGTGTTACCGCAAAATATCTTCTGATCGAAATTGTATGGACGTCCACCGTGTCCACAACAAGCTTTGATACCGTGTTTCATACCTTTTCGATATGATAACATAACAAAAGGATTTGATATCAAAAAATAAATATTACTGGGTTAAGTACAATTACTACAATTTTACCCCCAAAAAAAAAAAAAGTACAATTACTACAAAACAGGTTACGACATTACGTACCGTAGGATTTGGGGTGTTGAAAGAGGTCGAGCAATATCTTGTGAGTGTCTAAGTAAATTACGGTAGCGTCTTTCAGTTCGGTTCTGGTCTCTGATAATGTCTTATTCAGTAACGCGTTGTAATATTGGACGGCTTTGTTTACAGGAATGAGACATCCGAATTTGTCCAAATCAGCACTGGTATGAGTGTAACCGGTTAAAATCGCCGGGTAACATCCAACCGGTGCTAAGTTCAATACCAAAAATGTCCGACCACCTATTCCATATATCTCCTACATTCAAGAACAAATCTTTGTAAGCAAAAGAAAACAACTTAGCGATTATTAAAGAAAATCAGATATCAAAATGGAGAATTATATATATAAAACAATGCGTAGTACTGTAGCTAGTTTTATAAACCAATAACCATATGATGTTGGCATTAGTTGTACCTTGATCGTTCCAGCAATTTGGCCTATGACTTGTGGAAGATATTGTTTCACTCCATCAACTCCAATGCTCGCTAAATTGGATGTGAAATCGTTTTGACCAATATAAAACGTGTAGAGTGATTTCCCAAAAACATTCCTAGACGGTAGCATCTTCTTCGATTCTATAACATAAAGGGAAGTTACCGCATTTGCTTCATATATATATATATATAGATAGATTCCTCATTCTTTTCATTTATCGTTTAGAGACATCAACATACCTGGTTGGTCTGAAGAATGTGACTCGTCGACTTTAACCTTGAATTGTTTCATCTGATTCAACTGAATAGCGAGTGAGAAAGGGCTTATTCCAGTGACAAATAAAGACGTGTTTGGCAGGAGAACCGTGGATGCTAATGTCGCAAAGTTTGCACCGTGCCGAAAATCCGATCCAATAGATTGCAAATACGGGCTAAGGAAAGGCATTCCAAGAGATTTTGCTAAAATAAAATATAACATTACGTTTACTACTATAATGATCATTTCCTGGTAATAGTAGTAAACAAAATATTTATGATTTTGTTCAAATCGGAAACAATAGTCCTAATAATATATCTTATTTTTCTAAGTATGTAAATTACACACACTCTACGTATACATTACATAGTATCGGTCTTAAAAGTGCTATCATATCTGTATATATACATTAAAATCTTTGAAAGTATTTCGTTAGTCAGTTACCTAGAAAATCAATGATGAGACGACCGTCTGAAGCACGACCGGCCGGTTTCTTGAAATAAGTCATTCCCCATGGACCGGACTGAGCCGGAAAAGCAGCCCAAAACCCACCAGTGTCGGAATTCGAGTCTCCGAAGTTGAAAATTGCTTCAAAATCACATTTTGAATAAACTTTATTATGCCCATTAAGCATTGCAATGATCAAGACTAGAAAAGAGGAAGCTATTCTTCTGTTTAGATCAGAAGCCATGTCTCTCTCTATCTCTCTCTTTCTCTGTGAGCAAAAAGTGTGTTTGTATGTGAGAGTGTGGATGAGATATTTGGTGCTATATGAGTTTTGTAATCATCCGCTCCGTGACTCAATATGTGTATGTGTTATATGGTGAGTAAATTGGTGAGCATGAGTCCAAGTGTCCAACAATTCCCTTTAAGCCCAAAAAAAAGGGATAAAATAAAAGCCCATTCTATTATTTTTTGTTTGGGTTTATCAATCACTGAGAATACGATAGAAATGCATCCCCTGAGGACCCTGACTAAGTCCGTTCTTAGTTTACTAGTCAAGCACACATCGTCCAAATAGTTTCGAAATGTTTGCAAATTTGACATTTCTTTTGCATGCCTTAGGCCATGTACATTGGTAAGGACGATTTTTTGTCCCAATTTTTTTTTTTTTTTTTTTGTCAAGATTTACAAAAAAAAAAAATTTAATAAGGAACCAATCTTTTTTTTTGTTAAGATGGATTGCAAAGTTGTGTTTAGTTTTTTTTTTTAACGTTTTGCAAAGTACAAAGATGTAGTTGGGTCCGTCTAAATAATAGAAGAAAGGCCCAATAATAACCCAAGAAAGGAGGGCACTGACGTAAAAAGTGGATCGTCATCGGGTCTAAAAGTCTAAACTGTGTACGCGTCAAGTGGCTCCCGCGCCTAGAATTGTCCTCACGAACACGTCACCTTGTCGGATTTTGTCTGCAAATTAATCAAAGAAAAATACCATAAATCATTTTATAATATACTCAGTATAAAATTTTATTAATATGCAGATTTGACCTTTTTTTTAAGATACTCTTAAATTGGAATTAAATCATTCAGTTTGAAATTTGATGATTTACTACAAACTGTGTTATCTGTATCTTATAGTATTTTAATCTAGTCATAGATTAATCTCAACTAATCTTACAATATTGGGATTAAAAAAGATAAGATTGGGTGGATCCAACGTGGCGAAAATTCTTCTAAAGAAAAGATTTTGAGAGAGAAATAAAAAGGAAAAAATGAGCTGGCGTCGAATCCCACGTTGTCCGTAGGGACCACAACTGTATTCCTTATTCAGTGGGACACGTCAGCTTCAAAAACCACTAACGGCCGACACAACTCAGTAGATCCCTAGACTGGTCCCTACTCTCTGATCTCTTGGTAAAAAAACAGATTTTTACCCGTTGGATGAAAATGAATATTAGCCGTAGATCATGATCTAGATTAACTAATTGGGTAAAAAAACTAAAAAAGGTGTTAAAAAAAGATTCGTAATCCACGTTTCGTCATCCGTGGATCCCAAATGAATTATACATTCTAGTTTAATTTGGTATATATTTATATATAGTTTTTTAAAAGGAATAAAATCAGCTGCACGCAATGACTACGTAGACATCTCAAGATAAACGGTTGTGATTATATCTACGTGTACCAATCATTCTTTATTCTTAGTATTTGTTTTTAAAAAATGTCCAGCGCAGATCTAGGTTGGCCAGCTCAGCATATGCGTTCCCTTTTCAAACCTTTCAAGATGATGACACGTATACGATGACGTGTGCTTCAGCCTCTTGGCGCTCCATTCTCTCTCTCTTTCTTTTTTTTTTCTTCTGCTTCACCTTCCTCTCTCTCTCTCTCTCCTCTTTACCGAACTCTGGTTCTAGAGAGAGAGAAACCATTCTCTCCATTAAGAGAGAGAAGTTGCAAGGAGCAAATTGTTTTTTTTTTTTCTTTCTCTCTTAGAGCAATTCGAATTGAACTCCAGGTACGTTTTTTGGACTTTTGGTTTTGTTATCTTTGATGAATTTTACTATATAGTAGTTTCTAGAAATAAATTGTATCAGCTCTGTTGGTTTCTCGAGAAAATTTGTATAAGACGAAAAAATTCTAGTTTTTAACAGTTCTTTGATATCAGGAACATCTGAGAACCCCCGCGTAAAAAAAACTGAATTTTGAAATTTTACTTGTAGATACAGTAGTGTGATACTTAATAGTTGTTCGGATCTCTGTACTACTTGTTGTTTGTCTCATGCTAATCTATAGTTTTATGTCCAAAAACGCAAGATCTAAGTGTAATTTGAATACTGTTCCTTTTAGATTTATGCTTTACACATGAACCTACTCAAAAGATCTGGTTATATTCATGTTACTGTATTAGTTGGTTACACTACTCTGCATTGAGGGATAATGGGTAGCAACGAAGAAGGAAACACCAAGAACTCTGATAAGCCATCGCAAGCTGCTCTTGTAACTGTAAGTAAATGAATCAATGAAAACTGATTTGTGTATAATAAATTAATAATCATTGGTTTATCCAAAAAAGTTTTGATTGTTCTTGGTATATCTATCTACAGGAGCAGAGTAATGTTCATGTGTATCATCATGACTGGGCCGCTATGCAGGTGATTTGCTTTGACATTGGTTGTTTCTTTCTCCTGTATGAATTGTTTTCATTAGCCTGCCATGCTATATCTTGTTTTCTCATGATATTGTAGGCATACTATGGCCCTAGAGTTGCTATACCACAATATTACAACTCAAATGTGGCAAATGGTCATGCTCCACCTCCTTATATGTGGGCGTCTCCATCGGTACTTTTTTAAATTTTGTTGAATGGATATACCTAAAGTATATGCATCTGTAACTATTTTTTATTTGCGTCTGATTTTACTTAATTTTTTAGCCAATGATGGCTCCTTATGGGGCACCATATCCACCATTTTGCCCTCCTGGTGGTGTTTATGCTCACCCTGGTGTTCAAATGGTAAATACCCCTTCGTCTTTTGATTTGTTGCTTCATCAAACAATTGTTTTAATCAGACCATTTTTATGATTTGTGTTTTCTCTCTTGCCCAGGGCTCACAACCACAAGGTCCTGTTTCTCAAGCACCACCTGGTGTAAGTCATATTTTTTGAGTGAATGGTCGCTAAAAGTTGTGATTGATATGAATATGAGAATTTATAAATTTTCAGGTTACAACTCCTTTGGCCATGGATGCTCCAGCTAACTCTTCTGGAAACACGGACCATGGGTTCATGAAAAAACTGAAAGAGTTCGATGGACTTGCAATGTCAATAAGCAATAACAAAGTTGGGAGTGCTGAACATAGCAGCAGTGAACATAGGAGTTCTCAGAGGTTTGTCAAACTAGCTCAACGCTTCCTTGTTCAAAGAGACTTGGGGGTCATTATTATTCTTACTCTTAGATAGAATCTAACGTGGTTTTGATATTACTAGCTCCGAGAATGATGGTTCTAGCAATGGTAGTGATGGTAATACAACTGGGGTATGTATACCTTCTTTCTACTCTCAGCTAGGCTTTTAAATTTACCAATCTTTCTCTGTGGAGTTCTTAATTTATACCTTTCTATCTTACAATAGGGAGAACAATCTAAGAGGAAGCGAAGACGAGAAAGATCACCAAGCACCGGTACTTTTTTCCTTATAAAAACACAACACAAGTAATCGTATCTTTCAATGTCAACAACTATTTAAAGTTTAATGGCTTGTTTTTCTTGGTAGGTGAAAAACATTCATCTCAAACCACTCCTCCTCTTAGAGGTGAAAATGCGAAACCTGATATGACCATGGGGACTCCTGTTATTCCCACAGCAATGGATTTTCAAAACTCTGCTGGCATAAACGGTATCCCACAGACATGGGTATACTATTCTTGCACCACTCTCGCTGAATACATTTATTCGTGGTGGCATCCCGTTTTTGTTTGTTTATTGGTATTGGTGGTGTGTTTGTTTATCTGCAGAATGAAAAAGAGGTTAAACGAGAGAAGAGAAAGCAGTCAAATCGAGAATCTGCTCGAAGGTCGAGACTAAGGAAGCAGGTAATATTGCTACTTAACTTTGTAACTAAAGAGATGGAAGCTAAAAGAGTTTCATAATTACTTAAACGGGTTTGTGTGTCGTTCATATAGGCTGAAACTGAACAACTTGCGGTCAAAGTTGACGCACTAGTAGCTGAGAACATGACTCTGAGGTCAAAAGTAAGCCAGCTAAACGATGAGTCAGAGAAACTACGGCTGGAGAACGAGGCTTTACTGGTAACAGACTCATCCTACCACACATTTTGATCTTAGGTGTATTAGTCATGAATCATGATGTAACATAAGTTATACTACTTCTCTAGGATCAACTGAAAGCGCAAGCAACTGGGAAAACAGAGAACCTCATCTCTAGAGTTGATAAGAACAACTCCGTATCATCAGGTGGTAAAAATGTGCAGCATCAACTGATAAACGCAAGTCCAATATCCGATCCTGTCGCGGCTAGCTAGCTGATGGTGACACAAAAAACGAGAACCCGATATTTTCATCTTCCGGGTTGTGATTGTAACTTAAAAGGAGGCTTTTTGTTTTTTCTTAGATTTGTAGCTCTCTGCTATTGTGAGCAGACATTGATGTAATATAGTATCGTTTAAGAGGTTCTGTGTGGTCTAGTGTGCTGTGACCATGCACTTGATTGGGAAAGGTAGGTTTTAGTCATATAAGCGAATGGATTAGAGAGATAAGCGAAGACATATTTGATGGTCTTTCGTTTTGTGTATTCTTATTTATGAGATTCTATCATTACTCTTATCTATATCGACGTGCTTCCCTCAACTGGTGAACGTGAGTCTTTTAACTGGTTCATATGCCATTTTTTCAAAGATCTGTCGCTCTGTCTCGTCTACAAAAATTAAAAAAAAAAAACATTTGAGCAATTCAGATTACAGAGACCCAAACAGCTCGTCAGTTGAGGAAATATTATCAGTAAGTGGCCAAAGTGTCGGAAAAACTAAAATTATTAGTGTTTGTTGGTAGGACAAGATACAGACAAAAGACTTATATATTGTATCAAACACGAAATCGTAACAGTTTATAGTAATATTTTAAATAACAATGAAAGACTTGTCAATCTCCATTTTGTAATTACATACCTAAACATTATACATGGAGAAGAACAGAGAACATAATATTAAAAGTTCAACAACCACCATCGGTGACGAAGAAATGGCGGGGGAGACGCTGCTTAAACCGGTTCTTCAAAAACCACCTGGCTACCGTGAGTTAAACTCGCAACCGCCAACTCCAATGGGATCATCATCATCATCATTATCATCAACAACAGCGCTTCGTCGCCGGCCAAAACATACGATTCCGGCGTCATTTTATCCGAGGAAGAAGAAACAATGGAGTCGTTGCCGCGTATTTTGCTGCTGCGTCTGCATCACCGTCGCCATTTTCATCCTCCTCCTTACCCTCACCGTCTCCGTCTTCTTCCTTTACTACAGCCCGAGACTCCCCGTCGTACGTCTCGCCTCCTTCCGCGTAAGCAGTTTCAACTTCTCCGGTGGAAAATCCGGCGACGGTTTGTCGCAGTTGACGGCTGTAGCCACTGCGAAGCTGGATTTCAGGAACCCTAACGGGAAGCTACGGTACTATTACGGCGACGCTGACGTGGCGGTGAGTGTAGGAGATGGTGATTTCGAAACGAGCCTCGGGTCAACGAGAGTCAAAGGGTTTGTGGAGAAGCCGAGGAATCCGACGGTTGTGATCGTTCCGATCAAAGCGAAGAAACAACAGGTGGATGATCCGACGGTTAAGAGGCTTAGAGCGGAGATGAAGAGTAAGAAGTTGGTGGTGAGAGTAACGGCTGAGACGAAGGTGGGATTGGCTGTGGGAAGGCGTAAGATTGTTACGGTGAGGGTTAGTATCAGCTGCGGTGGCGTGAGATTACAGGCGCTTGATTCACAGATGAGTAAATGCACCATCAAAATGCTTAAATGGTACGTACCACCTTATCGAATTTAAAACTATACTAAATCGATTTTAATGATCATCTTGGAAACTAGAATATTAATGTTGTCTATATTTCAATGCAGGATTAAATTGCACTCATCATAAGAATAAAAGTCACATAAGTAAGTTTTGATGATTGATGGATGTGTCTTTTTCATCGGGGGATTCATACGTTATATATGTGGCAAAAGTTCAGCTTTACGAAAGAAAATGTAATTCTTTACCCTTTATTGTTTTCACTTTCATATAATTACGTTCCACACTATTCAATCATTTTTTATACTATAAGATAAAGTTCGTTCTCTGTTAGTTCAGCAATAATCACACACAAGTCACAAACAAGCCCGTATGTGTTGTGTTATTAATACAATACGAAGTACAGCAGAATTATTCAACTAAACGGCAAGTAACCAATAAGAGTCATAACAAATAGTGAATAATTGAATGCCAAACGACCAGCCCAAACATGTTTTGTAGCACAAACTGCAGAGTACCAAATGTAGTTGGCCACTGACTTATTTGATTCAGCACAGAAGCATAAACCCAATCTATAAGAAGAAATTAAAAGAAAAAAAAAAAAAAGAGTTTTGGCTAAGCCCCTATAGCCTTTATCCTTCCCACCGGATGTTGAAAGGAGATAAATAAAGCCCCTAAATTTTTGAACTTCTCTTCTGTCTCCTCTGGCTACAAAAATAGAAGTATGCTTTATGTCGACAAAACATATCAGATTACTCAGTCTGATATCCTAAACTCCACACCTAAAACATCTTTCACCATCTCGTATGTCACAAACGCTATCGCAATCGACGGTACAACCTGCAAAGAAAGAACATTTTAACTTCCTTGAGAAAGATTGTTCATCTCCAAAGAAACAAAAGAGTTTTGCAACGAAACAAAGACAAACCTTCACTGAGTTGGGGACCAAACCCTTGTACAATGCTCCAAAGCCTTCATGACGAACTGTTTTTCTAAATGCATCGACCATACCAGTGTATTCAAGCGAAGCCTTGCTTCTCCCTTCGCCTGTCACAACAGAGGAAGCATCTTTCCACCCAACCATTTGCATTCTCCTACGGATCACGTCCAGCGGATAAGCAATTGTTTGACCAACTGTTCCAGCTACTGCACCACAAGTGAGCCTCGTTACAATCGTCAGCTCATTGTTTTCTACTAGACCAAAAGGGTTGTCTTTAACTAGCCAGTCCTTTAGAGACTCATAGACCGCAAAGTTCAAACCCACATATGGAACCTGCATTTTTTAGAAAGGTTTCATGAGATGATAAATTCGTAGCAGTTCGTTTAATTTAAGGGAAAAATATAAGACTTACAACTCCAATCACTGAAGGAAGCCAACCACGGTACAAGGCTCGTGGACCTTCCTCTCGCAGGACAGTTGACAAAGCATGGGCAATTCCTCTATATTGATAAGGAGAATTTGCAGTCTGTGCACATATCCATATTTTCAGAGTTAAAATGATGAGCAATAAGGCTCTGGCAATTACAAAGTTGGGGTACGAAAAGTTACCTGTACAGTAAGCCTCCCACGAACCATATCCATCGGATATGTTGCAGACATGGCTATGATTCCAGCAGTTGCACCAGCTCCAAGCCGTAAAACAGGAGTGAGTTGGGCATTTTCTGCAGAAAATGCCATAAACCCATCATCAACCATAGAATCTTTTAAACAGAGTAATACCGTGCACATATTCTTGTGATAAAATGAATACAACACAGCTCCAAAGGCTTCACTTAGAAACTTAAATTAAACGCAAAAAGCTATAAGTAATACCGTGCAAATATTCTTCAACAGGGAATAATAAAAATCTTATGCTGAAATCAATTTACCATTTCCCGTCTGCTGTCGATACATGTACAGTATTCCCCTGCAAAAGAGAAAGCATAGATTAGATAAAAATGTAAATTGAGTAGAGCCAAGTACGGTGCATTTGTTTAAATCAATTTAACAGAGTAAAAAGAGGTCTTACTTTGAAGCTTGCTCATAGCTGAAAAATTTCACAGCCGAATTTGGGACGATACGAGCACAGTTGGTGCCATTCCCTTTGAACAGTCCACGAAGGCCCTCAGTTCTCCAAATATACTTCAGCCCTTGGACTGTCCCACTGTACTTTATATTATGCGGATTTTGGACCTACATATCAACAATGAATAGAAGTCTCAAATGATTGATATGTCTCAGAACAAAAGCAACCAACGAAAAACAAACCTGAAGTAATATCTTCATCCTTTCCAGAGGTGCAACTGCAGTTCGTGACCTAAGAAAAATAAGAATCCCTCAGTAAGAAATCAATAAAAGAAACAAAATTTCAGCATTGAACGTCTCAACACAGAGACTGAAAGATAAAAGCACCTAGCTGCACTTTCTTTTAGATGACAATCACAAAACGTGACCTAAATCAGGCAAAGATGGCCTCTTTTTGCAACCTATACATTTTCAAACCTTGGGACATACACATGTACCTCTATTTGACTGAACTAACACGGATTTCGATCTCAGGGTAAATAAAGTAAGTGACTGATCTACTACACTTGTCGTCGCAACCAGATCAACATCACTAAAGTTCTGATTTTTAATCTTAACCTACGACGAAACAAACAAAAACACTGAAAAGAGGACAAAATCAATGAGTTCCGAACCTAATTTAACCTTCTCGAACAAATTAGAACGAACCAATGAATAGTCTTACTCTGAACATTTCAAAAGATCTTTCCTTTTTTCCCCCAAATTTTATAAAAAAAATAAAACGGTGAAATGAGATAAACGACTCACACTCCACCAGCAACGCCACCGGCGAAAAGAGACTTGCAGATGCTGAGAACAGCATAACTGGGAGCTTTGACTCCTTCCCTCGCTAACTTCGCTTCCTCCGCCAGATTAACGATCGTAGAAACAGCTGCAGATTCAGTCCTTTTCACATCCTCTGATGCCATCTGATAAAATCAACCAACCCACTCTGTACTCACTGGTAAATCGCCAACCAGTGCAAATAGGCACACCGATACGATTACGATCCCTAAAAGATTTCTTGAAATGTTTTCTAAAAACACAAAATCTTCGATCTCTCAACGACGACCAAAACCCTAACAGAAATCTCCGATTTTAGAGTGAATCGAGAAGAGAGATCAAAGCACAAATCTAACCCCTTTCTCTCTCTCTCTCTTTAGTGTCCCGGCGGCGATGATAAAAGCCAAAAGACACAACCTACTGATTAGAGCCAGAACTATCACGACGACGCCGTTTTAATGGCACCTTTCTGCTGCATAAAATTGCAAACTAACCCTTATACTTAACTACGTTTTGTAAAATAGACCATATACTTCTAAAATGCAAAACAAAATCCTATAATTAATCAAAAATTTGCACGTCAGCGGTGGAGTTGACTATGTGGCGATTGGTAGCCGCCGTTGTGATACTTATATCGTGATTTTTTTAGTTGTAATCAAACGTCACACTATTCGTAATGCATCTCCTAAGTGCTTAAAAGGGTTAAAGTATTTATACATTCTAATTTTATATTTAAGAGATTAAGGATCGTAGTTCAAATATTATACACTCGAGAATCAACATGCTCGTATTATTTAATTGTTGAAGAGATTAGATTGCAGAAAGGAACCAAAAAAAGGTAAGAACTGGAAGTCAAGGGGTATATGCAAACAAAAATGGTAAGTTTGAGGATTTAATTGCAAAGTTTTACTAATGTTGGTATGACCAGCTTGTTATCTTAACGCGCACAACAAAGCGCGTAAGATATACTCTCCACATATATGTAAGGGACGCCACGTAATGATGGAAACAAAACAACTGTTAGTGTTTGATCCGTTTGGTCAGTATGATCCGTTTGTGTCACTAAAAATAAGTAAGTTTTCTCGTAACCACATAAAAAATTGACAAAAAAAAGGCAAATGAATATTTCTAATGATTTTAATTTTAAAAAGACTTTTGCAATAGTCCACATAGTTTAAGATTATTTTTTTGCAGTAATAAAAAAAAGTATTAAAATTTAAATATTGTTGGGCTTAATATGGAAAGAATGGCCAAAGATAAATAATTTTCAATAACATTTTATTTGTGTGAGTATAGCAAAGAGACACTAGCTTTTCACAAGAAGATTAAAAAGGAATGCAAAGGTGCCATCAAAATCTAGTTTCTTGTCTTTTCATAATTTTGAGAGGCCATACCATACCTCAAAATGGAAAACCCACCTAAACGTTAGGTTCACGCCGTTAACATGAAAATATTTATTATTAGCACAAGAAAAAAGAAAAAAAAAGAGAGATCGACATCGAGATTTTATGATTCGACATGGAGTTTTTATTTATTTATGATGATATTAAAATGGGAACAACCATTACTACTTTATTTGAAAACAACACAAGTGGATGTGTCTAAAGTTTATGTCGGACCACAGTTTTGATATATATAAAAAAAAAAGAATCAAATACCGAAAGGCTTATTAGTATAAATAATGGATCAAAATATGCGATAAGACTTTGCACTTTGCAGATCACAAATAAAAAGAAAAGGTTCACCAAGTCAGCTCATACCCAATTACATTCTAAAGCCCATCATCATATAATGGATCTTGATAAGGACACCAAACAGCTCATCTCATATCCACTTACATTTTCCCATATAACCGAGCCTGATAAGGACCCAAACAGCTCGAAGCTACGGGCCTAAACATGCTCGTCTAGTTTAGTTTGTTTATTACAAGTAAAATGGTGATAGTCAACGTTTAGTAATCCCCAAATAGGATATGTCGACGGATTTGTCAAATCTGATAGGTGTTGGCAAGTGGACTCTCTCTCTCTCTCTATGATCTTAAATGATCAGACAGAGGAGAAGACTTTACAGGCTGTATCTTTTTTTTTTTTGTCACGACCAAAACAAGAAAATATATAAATATAAGTCAGAAGACGACTACAATACTATATGCATTGCGAATGCAATCAATATTTACAGTCGAGTCCCACCCGATCTTAACACTTTTTAAATTAAACGTTTACGAGGTTGATTTTATTTTTTCCTATTATTGTTCGTGATGTTTAGATTATATCAGGTTTTATTTTGGATACTAGCTGTTGTATTTTTGTTTAAAAAGAAAAGTTTTGAGAGCACGTCTTTGTAACATGGATACATTAACTCTGTACGTATTATATTTTATTAATGGTGTGGTGTTATCATAGATGTATTAAAACTTGCTTAAGATATTGTAATTTTCATTTCACTAGCAGGCTAGCTAAGTCTGGTTTCGTACAAACACACTCACTCAAGTACGTTAAGTTTACATCAACTAGATAGAATTATAAATAAATAAAAACAACCTGAAAAAACCAACAAAACAGTAAAATTTACAAGTCGTGCTTCGTTATTTGTCATTTATACTAGTAATGTTTTGAATATGAAAAGTAGTAAATAAACAAATAATTGAATACTAATATTATATTGGAAGTTCACATTTTTGGAAATTTCTTATGATATATGAAATTAATATATTTATTTAACTGTCAGGTAAACAGTCGCAGTCATATATATATATATATATTTGTAGTTCTAGAATTTGAACAAGCATAAAAAAGTTGTTAATTATTTATATAGTCGTCGTCTCCTAATCTAACATGTCCTTCCTCCTCCTCCTGAGTCAACGAGACCCGGTCCTCCTCACCGTACAGTCTAATTTTACTGTCACGCGCTTACGTACGCGCTCCTCAAAACATTACTTTTAGAACAACTTTATTAATATGTAAGGTTTTACCAAAATTGAATTTGGTTATTTTTTTTGCTTCGATCGTTTCCTTCCTTTATCATCAATCATCTTCTTCTTCTTCATTCGAATCTCATCATCAAATGATTCTTTTGTCTTTCTTCCCTTAAGATTCCCTGGAAAGCCAAGGAAATCGCGAGGAAAATTTTAAACATTTTTATAAACAGCGTTTAATAATTCTTTAAAACCATCCAGCTCAAGTTTGGTAGCAAGTAAGCACAAACATTTAATCCCATTATTAAGGATTCATCTTTAACTTTGAGAAAGACTTTAAATTCTTATCTGAACTTTCAAAAACCCCTTTTTTAGATAGATTTGGTTGTCTTTGTTTTAACGAGAGAGAGAGATTGAGAAGCTTTTGAGTTTTATTGATTCTCGTGTCATTGAGAAGATCATCTCACCTAACTCGGCGGCGACGACGACGACGACCGACGATATTCTTCGAGGTTCGTTTCATTTTCACCTCTTTAAGCTCTTGAATTCTTCTTTTGGTGTACCGAGAAATGAATACTTTCTCTCTCTGTGATGTTGCCCATGAACTCAAAATTGCTAAAGTTGCAATTTTTCTTTGATTTTTTTCCAGATTTCAGTAGTTTGGTAGTTCTATCTGTTTCATCTGCATAGAGTCATCTGAAACTTTTGTTGCTGGCTTTGAATTTGATCTAAAGTCGAGGAATTGATTTGAATTGCAGTTGAGAAAACCCCTAGAAACAGTCTTCTTCGGGGGTAATCAAAGAAGCTGATGAGGTCACGAGGTGATGATGTCTCTGAAGCAGATGGTAGATCAGATGCTAGTTCTTCTAGAAGCGAAGAAGATACAGGTCTTCAGGAGAAAACCTCAAATTCGCTAAACGGGTCTCAAAGATCTGGGAAAAGTGTGAGAAATGAGGAGCTTGGAGAGCTTCATTACGGATCAGATTCTTCTTCTAAGAACAAGACCAGCAACCCTATTGAGTATACAGAGCAAGAGCGAGCTGAGCTTCTAAGAAGGTTAGATTCTATCAAAGATCATCTCCTTCGTGGTGGTGGTAATGCAGTTGATAGACCTAAAGAACCAGATCAGAATCAGCCATTTCTCAGGCCAATTCATCTCCACGGTCCTAATCCTAATCCTGGTCCTTCTTATTACCACCCATATCCAGAGCCAATTCCGTACCCTGGACCGGTTCATGGAATGTATCCTCAAGGTTATCAAGATCCTTATGGGTTCCAAATCCATAGAAGACCACCTCCAGTTCCAAATCCAAACTGGTATCCTCCTGGTCAGTACCCTAATCAGATGACCCGTCCATATCCTGTAGGTCAATATGTCGAGATTGGTTCTGATATAGTTGAGCCACATTCTTACTATCCAGCTACACCAAGTAGGTACAGTGACCTGCCTCCGTATAGCCCGGTTTCTTCTCACCACCGTGGCGAGAAACTTACAACACAGTACAGTGATATGCCTCCGTATAGCCCTGTTTCTTCTCACCATCGTGGCGAGAAACTCATAGCACCTTACAGTCCACGTGTCAATAACAGTTCAAGTTTTCCTTCTTCGATGGGTTCTCCAGGTCCTCGAGGTGGTTACACAAGGTGGCCAAGTGATCTTGATTCTGAAATGGGTGGTGCTTTTGCTCGTGGGTATGTTAAGAAAGCCGTTTCGGATACTGATTCTCGTCGTTGCCATCCTCTTGCTGGTGGTGCTCCTTTTATAGCTTGTCATAGTTGCTTCGAGCTGCTTTACTTGCCTAAGAAGAAGCTTTTGGCTCAGGAAAGACGACATAAGCTTCAATGTGGCGCTTGTTCTGAAGTTATTAGTTTCACAATTGTCAATAAGAAACTCGTTTTCTCTTTTGGTAATGAGGAAACGAACCCAGTCCCTCAAGAGGTTGAAGATAGAAGCACAACAAACACAGTGGTGGTAGAGGAACTTTCATCTGTTGATTTCAACAACTCAGGTAGCGATTTTCCGCGTAAGGATGAAGAAGAACCAATACAGGAATTTAGGAAACATCAGGATACTGCGCAAAGCATCCAATCTGAATCTCAACAGTCGGATGATGAAGATAGATCAAGCATTTGTAGTGAACAACAACAAAAGGAGGTCAAATCTGTTCGTCGGCGAGCTAAAGGCTCAAATGCGTCTAAACCCGCTTCTTCTGATAATGCCAGTCTACTTGAACTTTTTGAGTATTCTAATGTAAACCGAGCTGCACTCGCTTACGGAATGGCGCAGTTAGGTTATGACAAGCCAGATAAGCAAAAGTCTTTCATGAAAGAGGACTCACTGAAACCGGAATCAGTAGCTACAGAGACAGATGTTTCATACAACGGATACTCTAACACTGAGATCTCTGAAGATTCAAGGTACTCAAACGGAAGAGAAGACAACAACAGACCAAGAAGCAGAAAGGGTAGCGAGTACGGTTCCACAGAGATCACAACGAGGTCCTCTACTGATCGAAATGAAGATGAGATACAGTCATTGGAGGTTTGGGTTAACGGACATCTTATACCGGAAAATCTGGTTAGCAGTGCTGAGAAATTAGCTGGACCAATACAAGCCGGAAAGTATTGGTAATACCATGAACTTGAACATTCATTGTTTCTCTTTTGTTTTTGATTTTTCCCTGTTTCAGTTTCTAATTTGTGTCTCTGGTTCAGGTATGATTACCGAGCTGGGTTCTGGGGCGTGATGAGTAAACCGTGTCTCGGTATAATACCTGTAAGTCCCTTCACAATGTGCTCTCAATATGATTTTTGTAATAGATGAAACATATGAAGAAATGGATGGCTTACTTGTACCTGTTGTTGTTGTTGCAGCCGTTTATTGAAGAGTTTAGCCATCCAATGCCGGATAACTGCGCTGCAGGGAACACAGACGTGTTTGTAAATGGAAGAGAACTTCACAAGCGAGATTTCGAGATACTAATGCGCCGTGGTCTTCCTGAAGACAAGAACCGTTCGTACATTGTAGATATATCAGGAAGAATCCTTGATGGAGATTCAGGGGAAGAACTTAAAAGCCTTGGCAAATTAGCCCCAACGTAAGCAGAAACACAGAACACATCAAAGTGTATTTTTTATGGTCTGAGATTTTGAGATGAAAGTAAGATTCTGATATTTTGTTTTTCCTTGAAAATGTTTGATTAACTTGAAACAGGATTGAGAAGGTGAAGCATGGATTCGGCATGAGAGTTCCAAGATCATTAGCTTCATGAGAGCTCTCCACAAGTAACAGCAACACAACCAAATATGACTCTGCCTCTTGGTTCAATCTTGATATTATTTATTTGTTAAAAAAGAAGAAAAATTGTAAAGTGTGCTTTTTTATTCGCGGAAAAGGTTAGGTTTTTGAATCTCTGATTCAATGATTGTTTTTTGGTTTCTCTTAAAAAAATATTGGGAAAATGTCTGTAATTTTTTTGTTGTTGTTGTTGTTGGTCTTGTACTCTTCTTCTTGTAAGTAGACGACGACGTAGACCCTATTTTTTTGTGAACTCTCCTCACTTGGTGGAACTGAGTTTCTCGGCGCAATCAGAACAGGTAAGGAGAGGGTTGTTAATGTTTATGAAAATATACAAACCGGGTTATCTCGGTGTAAGGTTTGTAACATTTCCCTTCTTTTCTTTTCCTTAAACTGGTTTGTGATTTTCATAATGGGTTAGATTATATGCAGAAGTTACGATTACGATTTACCAACTTTTTATCTTGAAACAAACTTGTCATCTCTTTCATAAGTCTTTTTCTGCTTACCAAACTTGTCATCTCTTTTATAACTCTTTTTCTTTTTCACTGATTCGTCCTTATGTAGTAGTAGACGAGTTTTGCACGTTTCTGAAGTGGTCCTTACACATGGCACGAGAGACTGTAGTAGTAGACTCTTATTATGGCCCATATATCAATATCAATATCAAAAAAGATAGGGAAACTGTTCCTTCTTAAAACAGGGCCTCGTGGTCCTTTGGTTTATTTTCCATGTTTCGATATTTTCGTAACAAAAATACCAAAATAGGAGAGTTAATAGTAGTAAAACCAAAAGATAACTAAATCAGTACTAGCGGCAAGCGAGCATGAGAAAAAGATTGTCCATGGATTTGTGTGTGCTAAGCTCCAAGATTCAAGAAGAGGACCAAGAGGTTGGTATGTGTTGTAACGAAGGGCTGTGGAGAGACACAAACAAAAAAAAATCGTTGGGATAAAATGTGTGAGGACCAAAACTAGGACATCTTCTTCTTATTCCTACTAATATTTAAACAAAAGGACAATGAAACAATATTTTCTCATATTCTGTAATTACAATATTCCTGCGTTCACTTAAAAAGTAAACAGAGAAAATAAAAAACTTTTCTTTAATTTCTTTACATCAAAAGATTCTAAAGCGTTTAACTATCTCCCAAGGTCGAGGGTAAGTATTGAAAAGCTTCAGCAAGGAATTAACTGTTCTCTCCTTCTTCAATGGAACAACAGTTAACATTCGTATTGCTTGATAGCCCAAAAGGCGCGAAGAATGTGGAAACCCTAGACGACGCTTCTTCTTCATCCTCTGTCTCCTCCTCCACTGATCGACGTCATCGAGCCTTCGTCAAGTTCTTCGTTTACTTCTCCTTAGTCGCTCTCGCTTACTATTTCATCATCTCCACTTTCGCCGTCTCTCCAATTCCCCCAACTTTGCCCAAAACTTCTTCCGGAAACGGTAAAGCAATCATCTTTCTTTCGCTGTTCATCATTCATCTCCTATTTTGATCAAAGATTCGAGATTGTTTCCGATTTAAGGTTCTTTGGGTGTTTAATTTTGAAAACCCTAACCTCTAATTACGACATTAATGGAGAAATTTCGAAACTTTATCGAACGAATATTTCTAATTTAGGGTTACTGTGTTGTGTTTACCATGTGTTTGATTAAATGTGTGTGTGAACATTGTTGCAGTTTCATCAGCAGCAAAGTGTGATCTTTTCACTGGAGATTGGGTGCCGGATCCATCTGGTCCTCTGTACACCAATATCTCTTGCCATCACATTCAAGATTTTCAGAATTGTCTATTGAATGGACGGCCAGATGTGAATTATCTCTTCTGGAGATGGAAACCTCGTGATTGTGATCTTCCTCGGTTCAGTGCATCGCAGTTTCTCGATTCTGTGAAGAACAAATGGTGGGCTTTCATCGGTGATTCCATCGCTCGTAACCATGTCCAGTCTCTCATCTGCATTCTCTCTCAGGTATATAAATTCTTGGTTTTGGATCAATGATGTTTCCTTAGACTACAAGTAATCAAGCCTTTCAATTTAAAGGTTGAATTCCGGATTTTGTTATTGCTCAGGTCGAAGAAGTGGAGGAAGTCTATCACGATAAGGAGTTCAGATCCAAGATATGGAGATTCCCTTCTCACAACTTCACGCTATCAGTCATTTGGTCTCCTTTCCTTCTCAAATCCGAAACATCGGGCAACTCGGATATCCAGCTTTACCTTGACCAGCTCGACCACAAATGGACCGCCCAATACCCGAAATTTGATTATGTCGTTATCTCTGGAGGCAAATGGTTCCTGAAAACCACAATATTCCATGAGAACAACAATATCACAGGCTGCCATTACTGCCAAGGCAGAAACAACCTAACCGACCTCGGTTATGATTACTCCTACCGCAAAACCCTTAACCTTCTCCGTGACTTTGTAAGAAACTCAAACCACAAACCGCTTGTTCTGTTCCGAACTACAACGCCTGACCATTTCGAAAACGGAGAGTGGAACACTGGTGGGTATTGCAATAGATCGATGCCGTTTAAGGAAGGTGAGGCTAAAATGAAAACGGTTGATGATGTGATGCGTGATGTTGAGCTTGAGGTGTTTCAGAAATTAGGGAAAAGTTTCGGGTTAGGTTCCAACATTAGACTACTAGACACGACTGGAATGTCTCTTCTCCGTCCAGATGGGCATCCCGGACCGTACCGGCATCCAAATCCGTTTGCTGGAGTCAAGGATACGAGCCATGTTCAGAATGATTGTCTGCATTGGTGCTTACCTGGTCCAATTGATTCATGGAATGATGTGATGGTGGAAACCACCCTTAACCGGGAACGGGAGCTATCCGATTTTTTAGTCGGTTAAAGTACCACGATGTTGCTTGCTTGTATGTAGGCTTGTAGCTAGTTACGTTCTACTTAATATAGCCATTCGTTTTCCCACTTGTTTTAGTGTATATGAAATTTGTAATGGTTCTATACTCCAATACAAACAAAATAAACGATGCAGATTTTTCACAGTAGCGAGGCTCGAGAGGCTTGAGTTTACAAATCTTCTTGTAGAGCCCAGCTAAAGCCCAATAGTTGGGCTTTTAACAGGTCAAACGAATTAAGGAGGCGACGTAGTTCTGTTGAAACAAAAACACACCGTGTCATTCTACTTCACCAGACACAGTCATCCCGCCGTTTTTTTTATCGTCACTAATGACATAAGACTTACGATGAACATTAATAATTCGGTAATTTAAACAAGTTGTGGAACATATCGAAACAAAGATTAACAATTTATTGATCATATTTTATTTATTTGGCTTATTCGGTAGCTATAACAACTATATTGTTTGTTAATTGTTTATATATCTTCGTCGAAATATATTTAAAATTTAAATGAAAATATAATAACATATCTGATTTAAAGTAGTACCAATGCGACAGCTTTATAGTCTTTGGTTCTTTTGATTTTGTGCTACCTTATACTTTTTTTTTGTGATAAAGTATGTTACCTTATACTTGTTCAAACTGACAACATTAACAATTTTTTTAATGTTTTTGCTAAATTCCAACCACTTATCATTCTCCTTGATGTGATTAAAATTTCAGCTTGACAATGCAGAAGCTGAAAGAAATAAATAGTATATACAAAATAATGAGTTATAACTAGGCTTTTTTTCTTAGTTGATTATGATTTAGCTGGGACATATTCTCAAATTAGTAAATCATTACAAAAATGATTATGGGGTATGAGATAAATCCCACTTTCACCTTTTTTCACTCAAACAAATGCTAAAGTCTAATCTATGGATGAATGATTGTATGCCTTTTGATCCTCGCCACGATTGACCCGAAATATTTCCCCAAGTCAATTTTTTTTTTTTTCTCTTTTTTTTTTGGTAATTGAATTAAATCTCTGGCAAATAAAAGAAGATAAAAAAAATAGAAATTGTTATAAAATAAAATAATAACAGAAGATAGCCCAAAAAAAAAAAAAAGAGATCATTGCGGAAGCATTACGTTTGCATTTCATCATATAATCTCACACGTGCGCTCAAGACATCCCACACGCACAAATATTTTGACCCACAATTACAAAAAAAGGCTGGTAATCACTAATTTTCAACAATTTCTCCCGACCCCTCTCCAATAATTGAACATCTTTTTTTTATATATTTATTTCTTTTGGTTTTTCAATTTTTATATTTAATGATATTATAATAATATCATTAAGTACGTGTCAGTGTCACTACTACTATACAAACATTTTTGACATATTATTCCCATTTTTTAACCTACGCTATGTTATGAGATTTTAATTAATAAAAAATTTAGATGATTTTAATAAAATCATAAATTGTATATAAATAAATTATTTTCTTGTTAGAGAATTTGGTCTAGTCTTAGTATTAGTTTTTCTATAGCCTTGTAATAACATAATAATATATTTTTATTAACAATCAAAGATTTTTTTTTTTAATTAAATTAAAAAAAAAATTGTGACTTTATAAAAATTTTAATCTAATATTCCCATATTTATAAAAAATTTAAATGATATTTTATAAAATTAATAGCTAATAACACCAAACTTCAAAAGAATTTAATAAAAATTTTGATCGAATAACAACATATTATATATAGCATTTAAGTCATTAAAAGACTATATAAATCACAAGCCAATAACACCGGCTACATCGTGTATATGAATCTGTCCACAATTAGATGTTTTTTAGTTTACATGCATGAGATTCACAAAGTTTTAATATAACAATAGTTTCTTTCTAAAAAAATTTGTTCCAAGTTTTATGATATATTTTAGATTAACATGTAAAATCAAATGATATGTTCTTTTTTTTTAGTCTAAATAGGTTACTAAAAATATGCATACATGAGAGAACATGGTGTCCACAAGGAACATTCTACAAAACAAAATAATAAAAAAAAAGATAGACAAACTTCTCCTTGCTACACACAAGCTCTCTATATAAAGCCATTAACTCGATACCTCACAAATTACAAATTAAGAAAAGGAGATAATCATCACAAACTACAAACAAAAAAAAAAAGAAAGAAAAAACACAATTCTTGAAGAATCTTTTTGCATCAATGGAAGAAGCAAAAGCTCCTCACGTTGCGATCATACCGAGTCCCGGAATGGGTCACCTTATCCCACTCGTTGAGTTTGCTAAAAGACTCGTTCACCGTCACGGCTTCACCGTGACCTTCTTCATCGGCGGCGAAGGTCCACCGTCGAAAGCTCAGAGAACCGTCCTTGCGTCTCTTCCTTCCTCAATCTCCTCCGTCTTTCTCCCTCCCGTCGATCTCACCGATATCCCGGCGTCGGATGGCATCGAAACTCGGATCACGCTCACCGTGACTCGCTCAAACCCTGAGCTCCGGAAACACTTTAACTCGTTCAAGGCGGAAGGCCGTTTGCCGAAGGCCCTCGTCGTCGACTTGTTCGGCACGGATGCTTTCGACGTCGCCGAGGAATTCCACGTGTCACCTTATATTTTCTACCCATCAACCGCCAACGTTTTGTCGTTTTTTCTGCATTTGCCTAAACTTGACGAAACGGTGTCGTCTGAGTTCAGGGAGTTAACCGAACCGGTTGAGTTTCCTGGATGTGTTCCGCTGACCGGAAAAGATTTTCTTGACCCGGCACAGGACCGGAAGAACGAAGCATACAAGTGGCTTCTCCATAACACCAAGAGGTACAAAGAAGCCGAAGGGATTCTTGTGAATAGTTTCTTCGAGCTAGAGCCAAATGCTCTAAAGGCCTTGCAAGAACCGGGTCTTGATAAACCACCTGTTTATCCGGTTGGTCCGTTGGTTAGCATCGGTCAGCAAGAGTCCAAACAAACCGAAGAGTCCAAGTGTTTGAAGTGGTTGGATAACCAACCGCTCGGTTCGGTTTTGTATGTGTCCTTTGGTAGTGGCGGTACACTCACATTTGAGCAGCTCAATGAGCTTGCTCTCGGTCTTGCGGATAGTGAGCAACGGTTTCTTTGGGTCATACGAACTCCGAGTGGCACTGCTAATTCGTCGTATTTTGATTCACATAGCCGAAACGATCCATTGTCGTTTTTACCACCGGGGTTCTTAGAGCGGACCAAAGACAGAGGTTTTGTGCTCCCTTCTTGGGCTCCGCAAGCTCAAGTCTTAGCCCATCCATCAACGGGAGGGTTTTTGACTCATTGTGGATGGAATTCGAGTCTAGAGGGTATAGTAAGCGGTGTTCCACTTATAGCATGGCCACTATTCGCAGAGCAGAAGATGAATGCTGTTTTGCTGACTGAAGATATCCGTGCGGCACTTAGGGCTCGTGCCGGGGAGGATGGGATAGTGAGAAGAGAAGAGGTGGCTAGAGTGGTAAAAGGGTTGATGGAAGGTGAAGAAGGTAAAGGAGTGAGGAACAAGATGAAGGAACTCAAGGAAGGAGCTTCTAGGGTGTTGAAGGATGATGGATCGTCTACGAAAGCACTCAGTCTTGTGGCCTTAAAGTGGAAATCCCACAAAACAGAGTTAGTGCAAAATGGCAAACACTGAATGTTTTATGCCTAGCGCGGTAATATGGGATTTGTGCAACTGTGTTTGTGTATGTATGTTTTTATTTTATTTACTAGTCTTTGCTTCTGATCTTGTCTAAAAACTTTTATTTGTAAATGTTATTGGCTTTTGATAAAAAAAAAAATGTTAATTTTTAGATGGTGCAAATTGAAATCCGCTCAGAAGAAGATGGTTTGTATTGTTCAAGAAAATCGTCAAAATTCTCAATTTTGTTTTCCATAATCTTCACTATGGTAATCATATGAACAAATGGTATGAAGTGTTTGCTTTTTGTGAAAAGCTTATATAAAAAAAGCAACCCGTTTGTTTAAGATGTAAACAGTAAGACATAGATTTCAACAGTTTTGTTGTAACGTCAAAAGCTTTAGCTCTAGCTGTTTTTTAGCAATTATAGGTCCGTTTCATGTGGTTACATATACGTTACATACAATATCAACACTCGTCACTCGTCACTCATCGATATCAACACTCGTCACTCGTCACTCGTCACTCGTCACTCGTCAAGTCCAATATATGCGTTACAAAATCAAAAACGTATGTTCCGTGATTACGGAGCAAACGTTATTAAAGAGATAAAAACCAAAACAACGTGGATGGAGAAGAATAAAATAAGTGTATGCGTGTGTGGAGTAGGTGAAATAGCGTTTAACGACAAAACAATGCGTGGGGCCTGAAGACACCGTGTCGTTTTATGACTTGTAAAACGACGTCCACTTTTCTTCTTCTTTTTTTGTTTTGTTCTTTTTCGTTTTGAAGTAGGTGATTTGCCACATTAAACGTGTCACCCAGTGTTTTTACGCAGTGAGAATGAGAAATATCCACCAATTCTTTTTACAACTTTTAAGCTTCTAGAATGAAAATCCTATTTGCTTATTTATCATCAACACATAAAATTTAAAATACATAGTTAAGTATTCAATTTGGACCTAAGCATTACGCTTAGCCTTATTTGTTAGAAGAAGTCCAACAATGTTTTCTCCTCTTTGGAAGGCCCAATGGTTCGTAGTCTAAATGGTTCTTGAGATTAATTGTTAAAGAGAGTTTTTTTTTTTTTTTTTGCTTATTACAGAGTTGGTGAAATGAAAAGAAAATGGAAATAATCAGTGAAACTTTACTAGAGAGACATGTAATATATGATCACTTTTCAGTTTTCATGACCCAAAACCTCTCAATTTCTTCAGCTGTTCTTCCTGGGATCCTCCCTGCTATTAATCCCCACCTTTTATTCACCAAATTTAGAAGGAAAAAAAAAACCCATAAATTTTTTAGTGTAAAATAAAGTATTTTAAAAAATAATCATTTAATCAACTTAATCAGTTGAATTTAAATTAAAAGGGTCAAACCTGTCACCGACAAGCTTATGCATTCTACAAACCAAATCTTCCTCTTCTTGACTCATGTTCACGATTTCCCATTCAAGACTACTCACTTCTGTGTCATCACCAATATTCACATTTAAAATTATGAACTAAATGAAATTATAAAACATGGAGATCGAAGTTGTGATCAAGCAACGAGGACGTTTATGTTTTTTTTTTTTGCAGCTTTACCTTCAGAAGAAGAAGTAACAATGGAGCTGGTCTTGGCTTGCTTCGTCCTGCGTTGGTTATCCATATCAACGGTACCGTATTACAAAGAAGAAGAAGAAGAAGACAATAAGTAGTGAGAGACTTTGAGAGATGGAGATAAAAGAGAAGAGAGTGGTCGTTTTATTTGAAGTTTGTACATGAACCAGCCTTCTATTTATAGCAACGAAATCAAGTAACCAACTGGTTTGGTCGGGTTCTTTTAAAAGAATCTATGTTAAAAGAATTTTTAATTTAACTGAATTAATTTTGTTGTCATTAATTAAATTGTTATTGTTACCTATATACATATCTTGCAAGTTGCAACCAGTAAAAAACCACAAGTTTCCGTGACCTTCATTTACTCCGGTGTGATTCCTTGTAACATAGGTCGTATAATTAGAGATCATTAATAAAATTGATTACACACAACAAAAAAGATCACAAACAACCATTATATTTTGAATAAGTCAAAGGTTTTATATATAACAAAAAGAATATGTATATAATATTTATATTACAACTAAGTTTTACTGTTCCCTACAAAAATCCTCTTCTTTTCATATGACAGAAGTCACCTTTTGTTGTCAGTCAAAATCCAATAAGACAAAGACAGTGAACTGTGTACACTAACTACATCGAACCATATGGTTATAAACTCAACGCACTCTTACTGTTGTTGTTCATCAATTCTTTGAAACCAAATAAAAAAGAATCATTAAATTACTACTGTATAATGCAACTACAATTATTTATTAGTGTCATATTAACTTTTTTTTTTTTAATTAATGAACATGACATGACCACATTTATACACTCATATTAACTTTTTTAATTAAGGACCATGAGGACATTTTATACACTCATATTAACTTTTTCGTTAAGGAACAATGACCACATTTATAAAAATGCTCTCACATAAAAACGAATTCGGAATATATGTATTTGTTAAGCACTGAAAAAAGTTGAGTTGAAAGTTTGCTAGCAGAGAAGATTAAATACAGTTTTGCCTCTGTGGATATTCCTTTTTATTCTCTTCGTGGACTTATAATATATAAATGCAGAGGTCTTCTTCTATTATTCTTCTTCTTATGTTTTATTATAACTAGATACATCTAACGACATGAGAAAAAAGTAGTTAGATTTTTATTGTAGTGTTCCCTTGTAAAAACCGAACCAATAAAGCTGTTGTAACCAACACACGACACGTAGCTTATTGTCCGGACCACCTTTTTTTTTGTTTTGTTTTGTTTGTTTGAGAACTTAATTTGCATGATTCGACGATGAAGTATCCCAAGTCCCAACCCATTTCCATCACTTGAGTTTGGGTAGTACTCGTCGTGTGACACTTATTTACTCTTGTGATGGACCAATCTATCTACAATCTCAAAGAGACATGATTGGCGGATCATTTTTTGTTTCAGTTGATGTATAAATTCCCCTTTTTTTTGTGTGTTAACGGTCATAGCTGTTGGAGCCTCGGAGGTATTAAATGTCCAAGTTATTGAAAGTTAAAATGATGAAGAAAAAAATCAGGTTAAGTGACACAAAATTATCCGAGATAACAATTATACACACACACACACACATATTGTAGAGAGAACGGTTGAAAATATGACTATGTTCTACAAACGTATATACTAGAGGATATTGCTTTTGTAGGATCCAATAGCTAAACAATTAGGAAGGAGAGGCGCTGAAACATGTTTTTGTCCTCAAGATTATATATCCTTCAATAGTTCAATGCATCAGCCCCCAATATGGTCGGAAAATATTGGAATACAAACCAATATCCCACATCGGAAGATTAGAAAAAGAAGTTTCTAATATATAAATCAAGTCCAACTCCAATTAGTATGAGGCCTTTTGGGAAGGAGACCAACAAATCCGTGCGGGCTTAAGTGATAGACTCAAAGCGGACAATATCATACTAATCAAAAGTTGGCTTGGCTATAGAAAGATTCCAACAGAAAAATCATCATGGTTTGGTTGTAGTCCAATATGCCTCCAAAAACGAATGAAAAGCAAACGTTTACCATTCATCATTGTGAAGCATGATACCATGATCGATCACGAGTTCTAGAGAGGGATGGCAAAGTATATGGTCAATAAATATGCGTTTGTACGATGGGTAAATTGTGATGGTTTACATTTTTGTTAAATGTTTCGTTTAGTCGGCTATATACATCAGAATATCAGATCAACTAGCTAGGCATCCACCTTTTATTATAAAAACAAGAACTGGTTAGTCAGTTCAAACACTTATTGGATGCCGATTAAGGCATACCACTTTATAAAGATAAACATCGATTCCACAACTAGTTTATGCTTAGGATATATCAAACTTTTCATTACGCCTTTTAAACCTTTTTTTGTTTCAGAGAATCCAAAATTAAGGGGAAGAAAGAGAGAGATCTTTCCAACAAAGATCCCCCATATCACAAGATATTTGCAAATCTCTCTACAACTTTCATTTCGTCCAACAAAACCCCTCTTCTGATCCCCTTTTCAGTTATAACTTATAACTCACACGCGATGACCGACACTTATTTGAACTTGCAACCGATAAAAGAACTCAATGGTGGTATAATGGCAAAAAAACAGAGTCCACTTATCTCAGATTCGACACAAGATAGCATCTAAGTTCGGGAGAAAAGTTAAAAGAGAAAAAGAACAAGTTACAAAGATTCGACCAATTTTGTTCTTCTGTTTAGGAGGTAAAACCAGAATAAGTAAAAAGAGAGACTGCTTATTTTCAGGGCTGCGATGGCATCGGAGAAGATGGAGGCTTCAAGTCAGGGTACTGCGAAAGAGTGAATAAAGACATGAGATTAATAAACTATAACGAAAACACATGTAAAGAACTAGTAAAGCATAAAGCTACTTGTTCAAGGATCAAGGGAGATCCTAACTGTAAGTTCTAATTTATAACTATAAACCGCTTAGAAGTTTCTTCCTTTTCTATCAAAAAGAGCCACGGTAGAAACATTACCGCTGCATATGGAGAGAGAGGTCTTGAATGAGGTTTTGGTTTGGCTTCTGTTTCAGTTGGTTCTGTGATTACTTGTGCAGCGGCGGCTTCCACCGCTGGCTCAGGCTCTGGCTCAGGTACTGATTTATCTACGGTGGTGGTTGTAGCTGCTTCTGCTACTGGTTCAGGTACTGGTTTATCGACAGTAGTGGTGGTTGTAGCTGCTTCTGCTACTGGTTTATCGACAGTAGTGGTGGTTGTAGCTGTAGCTGCTTCTGCTGCAACTGTTGTTGGTGCAGGAAGAGCTTTACTGCTTGTTGATGGAGGAAGAAGAGCCTTTCCTATATCCTGTTTTTCGATGTTAATTATTTATAGAACGGGTTTCATTCTAATGGAGATATGTATCTAAATTAATTACCTTTAACTCATCAACAAGTTCCTTAGGGGCAACCTTTGTGTTCAAAAACTCATCCACCTGTTTTAGAGTTAGCTTTCGGTCCTGTAGAGGATATAGAAAAGAACCATCAAAACATCACCAACTGCGATAAACACATTCAAACTGAATCAGCAGTGAATCTTGATGAAAGAAAAGATGAGAAGAACTTGCCTCAGCAAATAAAAGTTTCTTGCCTGCAAACTGAACTAATGCTGCTGAACCTAGTAATTGGAGTATGGTTTCAATCTGTAAGGGTGATGATAGAGATAAGATTAATTCAGGAACTTTGAGGAGACAAGAAGATGGAGAAAGCAGAATAACACAGAAAAACTGACCTCCGTAAATGCAAAAGCACTTAATCCAGCAGCAGCTGCTACTCCAAGAGCAACTGACACACCATCAGCACTCTCCTGTACATTATGTTAAATCATTTTTCAATGTTTGTTGCAGAAACTTATATTAAATGTATGTAAAATTGGATACTCACACCAAATACACCGCTGATACTATCCGTCAAACTGCTCAAATCAAGACTGAGAGTCTTCTTTGGCTCTATCCAAGGCAAGCTGCTATTCTGTAAACCAGAAAAGTAATGAAAACTGTGAAAAATAAGTCAAATCGAAAGGATTTTTGAAAGAAAACATTGTGGGATAAGAGGAAGAGGGACACACACCAACCAGCCTCTAGGTCCCTCTGCACCATCTTTAATCGCGTAAGCAGATTTGAATCCATTAAGAGCCACCAATTCAGCAACAAGCTCGGAGTTTCCATCAAACCTGGCTTCCCACTCAAAGAGTTAGACTGTATTAACAAAAATGAGTGCAACCTAAAATGCTTTACAATTTCTCTCCAACATTTCCGAATTACGATGATCAAGTTTGAATATTCTTCCAGAAAACAAACAAATACAGGTTCAAAGAGAATTAAGGAATGCTGAGACTATAATTCAGTGATCAAACTACATAAGAAGTTAAATCAATGTAACAAGCCTCAATATTATTAACTTTTAATGATTTTTAAGGTCCCAAGAGCCTTACTTGTCCAGAATGAACAATGTGGTGTTCTCAGGATCTTTAAACTTCAAGGAAAGCTTCTTCAAGAAACCAGGCTTGTCGTCTCCGTTGTAAACAGTTGAAACCGTTTTTTTACCCAAACCCTTAATATTAGGACTGCCCACTTGTCTGACATCAGCAGTGGTTCTTATGTCAAGCAATTGAGCATTATCATCAGTACCCAACTTGGTATAAGCATTCTTAGCAGACTCAACTCCCCAAGCTTTAGGCTTTTTGTTCAAAACCTGAGACAGAACAAACGGAACAGCCAATGCAGCAACTCCACCGGCAATAACAAGAGGATTGTCTGTGACGAAATTGGAAATCCCTTCAATCAGACCATCCGAATCAAAAGATGAAGAAGTGGTCATAGATTGTTGCAGAGCTTCCTCGTACGTCAGGGATTTAGCAGGAGCTGTTGCACTGCTTAGAACAGAGGTTAGAAGAGCCAATCCACCATTGAATCTCTTCAAGAAGCTTTCTTGGGAGATTGGTTTCGGTGATTTCTGTGGAAAGAGGTTAGGGAGCGAGAAGGGCTTTCGTGGTTCTGATCTTTTCTCGGATAAAACTGACATAGGGCTAAAGGTTGCGGTTTTTAGAGCCTCCATGTCTCTCTCTCTCTCCTTCTATACCAAGAATTGCTCTCTCCGTATCATCAAACTTTCAAGAAAGATTGAAGAAGAAGAAGTGGAAGAGAAAGTGTCAAGACAAGCATTGAGCTGTTTCTAGTAAGCTGACGTGGACTGTGTAATCAATCCTAGCCACCGCTTGCTTGACACGTGGCATATTCGGATGAGATACCTCTTGATCATGTTTTGGTGTGAGAGGGGAGCATAGTCACTTACTTACTCCCAAAATGCAAGTCAAATGTGTGGCCACAGAAAATTGAAGATGCTTCAGCAGAATCCTCTGAATATTTACCAAAACACCCTCTATCTAGAACAAAAGTTATAGACTAAAAGCTAACTAAAAAGATTCCTTAGCATTTGATCTTTGATGTAAATGAACACTATGAAACAGAACATAATGCAACGTAAGAACTTACAATAGATCAAAGAAATAATCTAAACCTTGTCCGATTTCCCAGATTGAAATGCCAATACCCCAGAGACGAGCATTCTCAAGCCGTAGAAGGATGGACATTAGTGTAGGATAGAAAACAGCATGCTTGATGTTCTTATCATCTCTATACATGAAAAGATGTTCACCGCTCTCTTTATCCCAATGCAAAGTTGGCTTATGTTTCTGGAGTAACGTAAGGTAATCCCTTCCGGTGATTGCTCCTCCACCTCCTGAATCTTGCCCAAAAGAAAACAGTTAATTCAGTTAGTTTTGAAAGAAAAGCGGGAAGAGAACTAGCTGCTTAATTAAACTTAAATGGTTTATTTATATACATACCTCCAGAGATAACAAAATCGTTGCCATAAAAGTTGATACCAAGAAGCACCTTTCTGGCTAGGGTCGAGTCCATATTGTTTGATGAACCAAGTAGGAGCTTGAGAGTTAAATCTATCCACTTGACAGGAGCATTGGGGCCAGGATTCTGGGGATTTGAGAAATCATAGGTCATAAGAGAGAACCCATCAACCGAATCTTTTAAGAACTGAAGATCATCTGGCCCACAATCGTACATTTGCAGCTTCTCTGAACGAGGCGGACCAACCACATACATGAACTGCATATGTTGCTGGTTATTTCTCGGTGAGGTCGTTGAGTGAAGGGCATCTCCAAGTTGTTTTACGAATTGCAGTGCCTAGAAGATTTATTATAAAAAAAATGCTGCATATGATGACACGATGTATAATGTAAAACCAAAAATCGAAAGCTGTTTTGAAGGAGATTGCAGGGCATACAATTTTCCGCATATCCGGGTCATGCAAAACGCCATAAGCTGCCCACCTTGACCAAGACTCTAACACGATACCATCATATTCCATTTCCCTAGAGGTCAAGGCAAACATGATGACAAGGGAATATTAGAATTAACAAGATATATGTAAAGACTGTCATCCTATTCAGAACATGCACTTTACAGGAATTTCAGACTTTTTGGGGAGAGTGGAGACCCTTACTTGCACTCTGTGACTATAAGATTGATAGCTTTCTCCCTCAGTTTCTTTTTTCTAAGCATCTCACCAGGAATTGCTTCGAGAACAACTCTTGGCACTATCTACACAAGAGGGAGTGAGGGACAAAAAATTCAGACAATCAAAGAAAGGATAAAAAAATTAAGCACCAGCAATGGTTAATACAGAGAAGGAATTTGTTAAACTACCAGCGCATTTCCTCTTGATCGAAGCTCTTGGATCCATCCCTTATCAACATTATGTCTCCCTTCCAAAACCAATCCAGATCCTTGGCTAGTAGAAACAGAAACCGAGAATATCACTACCATTATCTGGAAACCCGGAGATAAATGCAAGCACTAAGAACTCATCAACTGATGTAAACGGTATACCTCTTCAGGTCGTACCATACTGGTGATAAATGTGTAAGCTTTGAGTTAAATATCTTCGCCATATCATAGCCTTTTGAGTTCCTGCACAGCAATTTAGGCATATGAATCCAATCCGTGCTGCAACAGTCTCAAATCTAAAACTGTTTCAATGAAACATACCATGGAGTAATGTACGCTAATACTGGATAATCATAGTGCCTAGTTGTTGAATTCTCTGAGGCCTTAGAATGATCCTGATACAAATTGATACCAAAAATGATGAACATTTTAATCGTAAAGTCATCAGCTTTTCTTCAAATAGATTCCAACTTTTAACGAAACCATGGCACTCACAGTGAGGATTTCTTGGAAACTAATATTAGTTTTAACGATTCCCTTGTGACGTATCGATGTTTCCGTTTGTAAGTCTCGATGATCGAATTTGACTTTGTACACGACAATCGAAACGGCGGGAATCAGGATGAAGAAGATCACGAAAATGGCGATGAGCCTCCGATCTGAATCTGGTTCTTCGACTTGAGGCAGTGACTCGTCACCTTCCTTCCGCCGTTTCAAACTCTCCGTCGCCGACGAACGTCGCCTCCTCGCCATCGAGCTTCTCACCAGTGAAGAAACAGGACTGAAATGACATCGTTTGGGTCTTTAGGAGACTTGTTTTTGGGTTAGTTCAATTCCAGATTTACCCCTGCTTCTGGTAAAATATTACGTTCAAGACCTATAAGAGGATATCAGAGTCAGAGATGCATCAGTCTGTAAGGAGGGTTTTATGATTCTATAAACCCCAATCCAAATCTTCGCGACCAGAAGTAGATTCTTCTGCTGAACCTGTTTCTAGATTGAACCAAAGCGATAAGGTGAGGCTTTTTTTTTTCTCATTTCGAATTTCTTATATTTTGTTCCTCGTAGAAGACTTAGGAGTTCATTTCTTAAATTTACAGGCTTTGAGTCTCAAAAATGGAGCCAAAGCTCCTGCTTTCTGCACATAAACCCTTGTTTGTCTCTTGCAACTCTCCATTCAATGAAAAACCTTATCTTTCTGTCAAATCCCGTTTGCCCATGTCCACAATTCGAGCTGCGAAGTCTCAGTTTATGGGGGAAGGTTTGATTTTGGGGAACAAATATGGGTTTTGGAGCGCTTCGAGGAAGACCCGTGTCGTTGTTGAACCTGTGAGAGCTGCTGTAAAGAGAAGGAAAGAGCTTACTTTTGATAACGTTGTTCAAAGGGACAAGAAACTTAAATTAGTGTTGAACATTAGAAAGATTCTTGTGAGTCAACCTGATAGGATGATGTCTCTTAGAGGTTTGGGTAAGTACAGGAGAGATTTGGGTTTGAAGAAGCGTCGTCGGTTTATAGCTCTGCTTAGGAAATATCCTGGTGTGTTTGAGATAGTTGAAGAAGGAGCATATTCATTGAGGTTCAAGATGACATCAGAGGCTGAAAGGCTCTATCTTGAGGAAATGAGGATTAGGAATGAGCTTGAAGATGTACTAGTTGTTAAGTTGAGGAAATTGGTGATGATGTCAATTGATAAGCGGATATTATTGGAGAAACTTTCTCATTTGAGGACTGATTTAGGGCTTCCTTTAGAATTCCGCGATACAATTTGCCAGCGTTACCCACAATATTTCCGTGTGGTTCCTACTCCTAGAGGTCCGGCTTTAGAGTTGACTCACTGGGATCCTGAGCTTGCAGTGTCAGCTGCTGAGTTATCCGAGGAGGATAATAGGACTAGAGAATCAGAAGAGAGAAATTTGATTATTGATAGACCTCCTAAGTTCAATAGGGTTAAGCTACCAAGGGGTCTCAATCTTTCAAAGAGTGAGACGAGGAAGATAAGTCAGTTCCGTGACATGCCGTATATATCTCCTTACAAGGATTTCTCCCACTTGAGGTCGGGAACACTCGAGAAAGAAAAGCATGCTTGTGGGGTTATACATGAGCTTTTAAGCTTAACGACTGAGAAAAGAACTTTGGTGGATCACTTGACTCATTTCCGTGAGGAATTCAGATTCTCGCAACAGCTAAGAGGAATGCTTATAAGGCATCCTGATCTTTTCTACGTATCTTTAAAGGGGGAAAGAGATTCAGTTTTCTTAAGAGATGCTTACAGGAACTCTGAATTAATCGATAAAGATCCTTTAACTCTTGTGAAAGAAAAAATGCGTGCACTTGTCTCTGTACCAAGATTCCCAAGAAGAGGAGGACCCAGGAAAGACGAAGAAGGAAGAGACGAACAGATAGATGGAAGCGATGCAGAGGGTGAGGACGAAGAAGAAAGTGATGCTGAAGAATGGTCTGATGTTGATAATTACTTAGAAGGTGCGGATGGTGGCAATGATGATGATGGTGATTGGACTGATGACGAAGGAGAAGAAGATGTGCCTCCTAACTTTGATGATGATGATGAAGATGAAGAAGATAGCGTGAAGATTGGATTGAGTCCTTCAAGTAGAAAACAAAGTAGTCCTAGAAAGAAGGAAGAGAAAGTACTTACTCCTGTGTTCCCTGATGGTACTCCAAGAGAAAAGTGGTAGAGATCATTACAGATTAGTTCCATGGAAAATGTTTTTTACTTATCTTGTATCATTCTTGATGATGGACACTAATAGCTCAAGTTTATGTATGTTGTTGCTTTTGTTGTAAGAATACTTGAGAATGATGTTAATCTTTCTCAACTTTTTGTAGCGCTTAGATGAGTAATTTGCTTTCTTCTGCAGTGATAAATCTTCGAAACATATAAAACGCTGCGTTTTTGAGTTCTTAGTGAATTAAAACTGAGTAAAGTCTTATCCGGAAACTGTGAAGTGAACAAAATGGAGAACCTTTCTTCAGTTACGTTCCGCCATTGTTACAGCTCCTTGTTTTTTCATCAGCAACAGCGAAGATATATAATTTATCATTCTTCGGCTCGTTGTTCACTGGACATCAAGCATGCGTCGTTCGAATCTATACCAATCTCAAATACTCTGGAACCGTCGTCTTCAAGTTGGGATTTTTATCCGTTGAAGGAGCTCAATGGATGCAAAAATCTGGTTTCTGTTAAAGCTACCCATGCTCGGATGATGAAGTTATTCGATCGATTCGAATTGGAGTTCATCGCCAAGTGCTTGATCACTCGTTACCTTGAATTCGGAGAATTTGGGTATGCTAGTTCTGTTTTCTTCCTGGGTTTCCCGAGGATTCAAGTTTCATGGTGGGATTTATTGGAAGAGATCGATCATTTCGGAATAGAAAAGTACAAGGTTTTAGAAGAATTTGTTCAGCTACAGAACAAAGGAGTAAATTTCGATGGAGTAGTTCTCGCAATGGTTTTGAGAATTTGTGCTATGTTAATGTATAGGTTACTGGGTTTAACTATCCATGGCGGTTTGATCAAGAGAGGACTCGAATGTTCAGACACACGCGTAGCTTCTGCATTGATGGGATTCTATGGAAGATGTGTGAGTTTGGATATTGCTAGCAAGATATTCGATGAAATGCCTAAAAGAGATGATCTTGCATGGAACGAGATCGTAATGGTAAACTTGCGGGGTGGGAACTGGGAAAAGTCTGTGAAATTTTTCAGAGAGATGCAGTTTTCTGGTGCAAAAGCTTATGATAGTACAATGGTTAAGCTTTTGCAGGTTTGTAGCAACGAACAATGTTTTGCGGAAGGGAGACAGATTCATGGGTATGTTCTGAGACTTGGATTTGAATCAAACGTGTCAATATGTAACTCCTTGATTATCATGTACTCAAGGAACGGCAAGCTTGAATCATCTAGAGAAGTCTTTAATTTAATGAAAGAACGGAATTTGTCTTCCTGGAACTCGATTGTGTCGAGTTATACGAGATTTGGTTATGTTGATGATGCTATGCGTCTCCTGGAAGAAATGGAGACATATGATCTGAAACCAGATATAGTGACCTGGAACTCTCTTCTGTCAGGTTATGCTTTTATAGGCTTATCCAGGAATGCCTTTGGGATATTAAAGAGACTGCAAATTGCTGGTCTGAAGCCAAACACGAGCTCAATAAGTAGTCTTCTTCAAGCTGTTGCTGAACCGCGGCTTCTTAAACTTGGAAAAGCGATGCACGGATATGTAATAAGAAATCAGCTTTGGTACGATGTATATGTAGAAACTACATTGATCGACATGTATATTAAAACTGACTGCTTGCATTACGCCCGGATGGTTTTTGATATGATGGATGAGAAGAACATTGTTGGTTGGAATTCACTCATCTCTGGACATTCATACGCCGGTCTGCTAAAAGATGCTGAAGCTTTGATGAGTAGAATGGAGAAGGAAGGGATCAAACCTGATGCTGTTACATGGAACAATCTGGTTTCAGGGTATGCGAATTGGGGCAAAACAGATAAAGCTTTGGCTGTGATAGGGAAGATGAAGGAGAACGGTGTGATACCCAACGTGCTATCATGGACAGCCATTTTGTCCGGATGTTCCAAAAATGGAAACTTCAGGAATGCTCTCAAAGTTTTCACTAAAATGCAGGAAGAAGGTGTCAGTCCAAACACAGCCACTATATCCAGCTTGCTTAGGATATTAGGTTGCTTAAGTCTACTACAGAGTGGCAAAGAAGTTCACAGCTTCTGTTTGAGGAACAATTTGATCCACGATGCATATGTAGCAACTGCACTAGTAGATATGTATGCAAAATCAGCAGATCTGCAAAGCGCGACTGAGATTTTCTGCGGCATTAAGAACAAACCGCTAGCTTCTTGGAACTGTATGATCATGGGATATGCTATGTTTGGGCGGGAAGAAGAAGGGATTGCTATTTTCACTGCAATGCTTGAAGCAGGCATTGAACCGGATGCCATAACATTCACCTCTGTCTTGTCTGTCTGTAAGAACTCAGGTCTTGTCCGTGAAGGGTGGAAATACTTTGATCTTATGAGGTCTCAGTATGGTGTTGTCCCGACTATCGAACACTGCACTTGCATGGTTGAGATGCTGGGGAAGTCGGGTTATCTTGATGAAGCCTGGGATTTCATTCACACGATGCCATTAAAACCCGACGCAACTATTTGGGGTGCATTTCTTTCATCCTGTAAAATCCACAGAGACCTAGAACTCGCTGAAGTCGCGTGGAAGAGGCTACAAGTGCTGGAACCACACAATTCAGCTAACTACATGATAATGATAAACTTGTACAGTAGTTTGAACAGATGGGAAGATGTTGAACACAGACGGAACTCGATGAGGATTCACAGGGTGAGAATCCAGGATCTGTGGAGCTGGATACAGATCGATCACAAGGTCCACGTCTTCTATGCAGAAGGAAAAGCACATCCTAATGAAGGAGAGATATACTTTGAGCTGTACAAATTGGTTTCTGAGATGAGAAAGTCAGGTTATGTGCCGGACACAAGCTGTATACACCAAGACGTAAGTGAATCAGAGAAAGAGACACTGCTAATGGGACATACAGAGAAGTTAGCAATGACCTATGGCCTCATCAAGAAGAAAGGCATATCTCCTATAAGAGTGGTCAAAAACACAAATATATGTTCTGATTGCCACACTGTAGCCAAATACATATCGGTTTTGAGACATCGTGCGATTGTTTTACAAGAGGGGACCCGAGTTCACCATTTCAGAGACGGAAAATGTTCATGCAACGACTCTTGGTGATAGTATAGATACAATAGCTCTGTTTTTTTTTTTCTTACAATGGTGCGTAAATACAGACTCCATCCAACAAACAACAGACAACAAATTACATCAAAACTTTTACCACAGGCTCGAAAGGGCCTATGGAGGTGATCTGAACAAAGAAGCGAGACCGCGTGTGCTTCTATATAGATGACCAGACTAATGAATCTCATAATGGTAGATTCTAAACTCACTGAATCTTTCTTCCCTTCACTGAGTTTGTAAGTGCGACACATTGAGCCATATCTTCAAAGGGTGCTGTATGATTCTTCTCTCGTATCTTCAATGGTTGCTGTGTGACTCTTCTCTCTGTATCCGTTGGAAATATTTCAAAATGTGGCGATGGAATTGGTTATGTTTTGAGCAGCCAGTCTTTCAGAGACACAAGCCAAGGATTTGAGGTTACACTTTATGAGTGATTCCACAAAGTAACATGTATCATCTTTGGTATTGCCTTGAGGAACATCCACAACAAAAGATTCAATTACCATAGTTCCTGGCGTCCCATCGATCATCTCAGGATGTACAGTCACGATCGAAGAGTAATTCTGCAGGGGGGAAAAAACCATTGTAAGAACCTTGATAAATGTTTCTGAATCTGTAAAAAGCTATGAGATTGGGGGATTAATTCACCTTAAGTCTGTGATCACCACCAATGATGTTGATACCGAGGATGTGTTCTTCATCATCAAGCTGTTCCAATCTCTCGGTACTGGTGGTCGCAGGAAGACCAGATCTGACATCTACTTCTCTGAGACTCCCGATCTCAGGATCACCATGAACAGTACATCTGCTTATAAATGGTTTGTATTTCTGCGGCTGGTCAAATCTCCGCACAAGTGACCAAACCTGAGTCATTTATATACGCCATCATTAGCTTTCAAACTAAAAGAGACGAACAAGTCAACTGAAATCGGAACCCTAAATCCGGACCGGAGAATGGAAATAAGTAAAAAATTTAAATCGAGAAATTTACAAAGAATAATAGAAATATCATGAACCGTAAAAACAGAGAGGGTAAGAGAGAATTGAAAAGCGTACAAGATGAACAGGAGCTTTAATGTACTTGACGAGAACAGAGGTACACTGGTCCTCTCTGCAATTATGACGATGATGCAACCGTAAGGACTGCGCCGTCACGAGAGATCCGTACATCTCTGTATCATCTCCTCCGATGATCTCCATCCCTAATCTTCTTTCCCTTTCCAGTGAATCTATCTGGTTGGAGAATGGATAAAATAGAAACTAATAGGGTAAAGTTTTGATTTTTATTTTCTTTTTCTTGTGGTTGGTTGGTTAGGCAAAAAAATCAACGAACACACCGACATATATTAATTCACCAACGGATTTACGATGAACCGACAAAATCCTTAAATAGACTTACGTGTCTTTTTCTTATTGGTTTTTCGTCTAACTTTTTGGATTAGCTATTGACTTTGAAGCACGTGTATCTCTTCTCTCGTCTCCAGCCAAATAAGCTTCCCAATTTTTGTGACAACAATGAATTATCCCTATCATCTTCTCTAAAAAGTAAAAAGTAGATATAAAAGAAGAATCTTATTAGGAATGATGTCAGCATGAGATCACATTAGAAACAGAGTCACACACACTGCTACAACACGGAACGTATACGAAGTGATGTTACCATAATTTGCCGACGAGTCAATTCTATACACTCTTGACACAATTTGCCAGCAAAATTCATTATCCAAAAACATGAAACTCTGTTTTCACTTGCGAGTGCTTCTACCAATTTTACTTGTTCCACACCACCGTCTTTATCACGGCAAACGCCTTTATCATATTTGCTTTAGCCGTCTCCATTGTGGCATCTGCTTCTTGCACCATCTCAGCAGCCATAGCCGCCGTTTCTCCAGCTTTGGTTGCCATAGCCGCCACTTTTTCCAACATTGTTTCAACCTCTGCCACCATTTTTAACGCTCTTTCCGATGCGCCCTTGGCGTCATCATTCATCACAGATGCCCTTTCAACCATTGCTGACACCTCCTTCACCATAGCTACAGAGAATTATCACCAAGCGTTTTTGTTAAGAGTGGGGTTTTAGTTTTAAAACATTGGCAAAACAGAGAATTTGTCTTTTTTTCTTTTAAAACAAACCTCTAGCTTTCTCACGTTCTTCCTCTATTCGTTCCTTGATCTCCACGGCTGTGATGAAATCCCCAAAAGTTGGCTCGTTACACACAAAACAGTTATTGTTCTCAGTGTGATGCTGCATCATTACACAAACAACAAGGAAGTTAGGCCAAACCAGTCACGAAGATCGAGAAATGTTGTAAAGCAAAATATGACCTTTAGAGCACACTTCTCGCAGAAGTAATGGTTGCAATTGGTCACAACAGGATCCAAGAATGGTCTCTTGCAAATGGAACAATCTAAGGGCAATGGATCATCCTCTTCCTCTGTTGGCTCAAAGTCAGCTTCAAGATTTCTCGATGTTTGTTTCTTGTCTTTCTTCTTTAAGTTCTCTAATCTGGAACCTTCAACTTCGCCTGCATCAAGACTTCTTTTCTTTAAGTTCTTAGTCACGTCACCTTGTGGAGAGTTTGTTTCTTGCTCAGCAAGTCGAGATTCTTGCACAGCCGACGTTTTAGGTTCAGAAGAATCTGACATTCTAGCTCCGATTAACAAGTCTGTAAATACCAAAATACACAACAGGATTTAGGATGATTACTTCTGAACCAAAAAAACAACGGACTCTAATCTTCTTACCAAACTCGTTTTGAATAAGAAAACAAGAAACGCAAAACGAAACGTACAAACAGAGAGAAGAAGACATGCGAATAAAAAAGGCCAAAGAGAAAACTAACCTCGCTTTCAAAATAAACCAGTGATTATCGGAAAACTACGACCACCGATGGTGAACACTGCCGACGTCTTCCGATTGCGAGAGGAGGTACCGTACGCTGAGAAGAAGATTAAAAGAAAGAGAGAAAGAACAGTTATTAATTGGGGACACTGAACAGTTTAGTTTAAGGCTTTAAGCAGGTAGGTTCGATTTGAATAAAGAATTGGGCCTAACAGGCTTTCATTAAGGGTAGGCCCATTAGATGTTTTGGGCTCAAACCTAGTTTGACTTTTAAAACTGAACGAAAATGTTTTTATTTTTATTATTATGTTTTTAAATTCCCTCTCGTTTGTCCTATAGTAAAATGCTTCACAATTTCGAAGAAACTGCCCTGACAGTGAGAAAGAGAGTCTCCATTAACCAGCGCCATGCCAAGCTTGACGAAACGTAGTTTGACTGACTCCGCCATAAAAATAGTCCAGAGAATTTTAATAAGTTCCTTCTAGACTTTTCCGATTTTGTAGTTCACCGGAAAATTCGTACTGTACAGTTTTCCTTAATCGCTTTATGATCAGTTTACTTCGTCGTTCTGGTAAGTTTCGTATCGTAGATAAGAACGATATCAATGTTTTATTTCTAGTTCCGTTTCTTTTTCTTCTTCTTCTTCTCCGTTTGTCTTTTTTGTTGTTGTCTCTGTAACGGTCTTCGTTGGGATTACAAATTAAAGTAATCAAATCGATATGTTACTATCTCTTTCGTCTTCAGTTATTCTTGTCTGCTTTGATTCCCAAATTTTAATTGAGCACCATGGGATGAAGATTTGAAAGTTATCTTTAATCGGATCCCTAAATTTATGTTTCAGGATCCGACGAAGAGTAAGTAGCAAATTCTCTGACTTATGGCTTTTGGCCGCGACAATCGTGTAAGGTTGTTCTTTATGTTTTACTCAGCTTCAGTCTTGTCTTAATTTTGTTTAGAATCATTAATTTCACTCATGATTTTCAGAAAAAAAATCTCAGAAAAAATGTTGTTTTGTTTTAGGTTCAGAGATTGGAATTCAGAAGGATCATCATTAACGACAGAGTATGGTTACGGAAGAAGAGCTAGCCCATCTCTAAACGCAGTTTTGAAGAATGTTCGTAGAGGTTTTGAGAAAGGTTCAGATAAATTCAGGACTTTTAAGAAACCCTTAAGTTTTGCTTCACATAAGAGAGATTCTACTACACAGAAGACCATCATAAACCCACAAGGCTCTTTTCTCCAGAACTGGAACAAAATCTTCCTTTTTGCTTCGGTGATTGCTTTGGCCATTGATCCTTTGTATTTCTATATTCCCATTGTTGATGGAGAGAGGCACTGCCTTAATTTGCACCACAACTTGGAGATAGCTGCTAGTGTGCTTCGAACTTTTATAGATGCCTTCTACATCATTCACATTGTGTTTCAGTTTAGAACTGCTTATATCTCTCCTTCTTCCCGGGTTTTCGGAAGAGGCGAGTTGGTAGATGATCCCAAAGCAATAGCCATCAAGTACCTCTCCTCCTACTTCATCATCGATGTTCTTTCCATCCTTCCACTCCCACAGGTAAATGACTAGCTACTTGATTCCTTTAGTTGCTACATATTGGCTTTATTAATAATCTTCTCTTGTTTCTTCTGCAGCTTGTAGTCTTAGCTGTTATCCCCAGTATCAACAAGCCGATCTCTTTGATAACTAAGGACTATCTGGTTTCTGTCATATTTACTCAATACATTCCCAGGATTATTCGTATTTATCCACTTTACAGTGAAGTTACAAGAACATCTGGCATAGTTACTGAAACAGCTTGGGCTGGAGCTGCTTGGAACCTGTCTCTCTATATGTTAGCCAGTCATGTGAGTTTCAAATTCATCAGACTACAGAATCTTTATAAATACACAGGCGTCCCAAGGGTTGATCGAGTTTATCTGATGACTTTACTTTCTCTAGGTGTTTGGAGCCTTATGGTATTTGATATCAGTGGAACGAGAAGACAGATGCTGGCGTGAAGCTTGCGAGAAGAGACCAGAAGTGTGTACCTTTAGATTTCTATACTGCGATAAAAACAGTACTGTTAGAAACGATTTCTTGACTACCTCGTGCCCGTTTACCAACCCTGATGATATAACAAATTCAACGGTCTTCAACTTTGGCATCTTTACCGATGCTTTAAAGAGTGGGATTGTTGAATCAGATGATTTCTGGAAGAAGTTCTTCTACTGCTTCTGGTGGGGTCTGCGTAATTTAAGGTTTGTAACTCTCTTTTTAGATAGCAAAATTCTATGTTTTGAGGATCCATGTGAACACACTTGATGGATGGCTAAGATATGATGAGAAATGCTTCTTTAGTTGCATCTTTAGACAGGTATATCAAACACTAATCTGATAACTTGGTTTTTCTTGTTGCAGTGCATTGGGACAAAATCTCAATACGAGCAAATTCGTTGGGGAAATCATCTTTGCTGTATCAATATGCATATCTGGACTAGTCTTATTCGCACTACTTATCGGCAATATGCAGGTAAGGAGAAATCGCTTTACCTTACCTTCAACACACATTTAAGCCACAGAGAAGACAAAAACACTACTGATGATTCCAATTCCCATTACAGAAATACTTGGAGTCGACAACAGTTAGGGAAGAGGAGATGAGAGTGAGAAAAAGAGATGCAGAGCAGTGGATGTCTCACCGGATGTTACCTGATGACCTGAGGAAACGTATCAGAAGGTATGAACAATATAAATGGCAAGAAACTAGAGGAGTCGAAGAAGAAAACCTTCTTCGTAATCTTCCCAAAGACCTCAGGAGAGACATCAAACGCCATTTTTGCCTCGATCTCCTCAAGAAAGTATGTGCTTCTTAGCTTCTCTCTTCGATCATCCAATTGATATTACATCAAAAATAATGTTTTGATCGATGAAAATAATGAATATATAGGTACCTCTGTTTGAGATAATGGATGAGCAATTGTTAGATGCCGTGTGCGACAAGCTAAAACCCGTGCTCTACACTGAAAACAGCTATGCGATTAGAGAAGGAGACCCAGTGGAGGAGATGCTTTTTGTTATGAGAGGAAAACTGATGAGCGCCACCACAAACGGTGGCCGTACTGGCTTCTTTAATGCCGTGTACCTCAAGGCTAGTGACTTTTGCGGCGAAGATCTTCTCACTTGGGCATTGGATCCTCAGTCTTCGTCTCATTTCCCGATCTCGACCAGAACAGTTCAAGCTTTAACCGAAGTAGAAGCCTTTGCTCTTGCAGCAGATGATCTCAAGCTTGTGGCTTCGCAATTCAGACGACTGCATAGCAAACAGCTTCAACATACTTTCAGGTTTGGTCTCTTTTGACCTATCTCTGTTTTATCCTTATTCCGGTTCTGTTTTTTAATTCGGTTTTGACCATTTTAAATATATTGTTAGGTTTTATTCGGTACAATGGAAAACATGGGGAGCGTCTTTCATTCAAGCGGCATGGCGGAGACACTGCCGGAGGAAACTGGCCAGGTCATTAACCGCAGAAGAAGACCGATTCCAAAACGCAATCGCCCAACGCAAACGCGAACGTGAACGTGATGCAGCCTCTTCGTCGAGCCTGGTTGCAACGTTATATGCGTCGCGGTTCGCTTCAAACGCGCTTCGCAATCTGCGTACTAACAACCTGCCTATGCTCCCTCCTAAACCATCCGAGCCAGATTTCAGTGCCAATGATCTTGGGGACCCTTGAAAATACTCTTTACACATGTCCCAGGACTCAGCCACTTGTATACGTCATCAACATTAAAGTTTAAACTACAGTAAATTTACTGAAATAGGAGGTTCAATAGCCTTAAATTTTATTTATCAAACTAATTTTGGAGTAAATATTTCAAATTTTCTCTAAAAATGGCTGATTCGTTCATGTGTACTTTATAAGTTATCCAACATGCAGGTCGGTGTTTACGTTCTTCTAACGATCAAATATAATATATAGCAAATCATAACCTTAAAAAAACAAAACAAAAAGTACAGAAAGAAAGAAATCTATACTATTAATTGGGAAGGACAACTTGAAGCCAAACAGACCCAATTTTAAAAAAAAAATTTCATAAAATATATTTCAGTTGCCAAACAAAACTAATGACAGCGAAAATGTTTTAATAAATAAATAAATAATAAAAAACAGAAACTACCTATAGTTATGGATCATACTAATTTTGTTGCCAAAAAAGTGGAAAATTAAATTCAAAAATCTCCATGTATATAACATATTTAACATTTTTAGATATTTTTAAACAATAATTTAATATTTAATAAAATCTAATCTATAGTATCTTTTATTTGGTTTAATGATTTTATTCAAGTGTTTATGTTATTTGTATTTGGTATAACTCTTATGATATGATATATATTTATTTTGCGTTACAAAAATCATCATATATATTTTTTTATTTTATATTGATGTTTTAGGAAAAATAAAAGAAAAATAAATATGTTATATATTTTACAATAGCATAAAATATGGAGAAATATTCAACAAAATTGATATTATCTTTAAAAATTTTTAAAATGACAAAGTCTTAAATAAATAATTAAAATGTTTAAATAAAAAAAATCTTTAAAAAATCAATAATTATTTTTTTTCAAAAATCAATCGAATAAATATTTTGTATCACATACAATCTCTTATTTTCAAAATCTTCATATTGAAAATGTTTTTCGAAAATACAGCAAAAAATATATTTATATATTTCCTTGAAATATACTTAAAAAACCAATATAGCATGTGACCAAAAATAAAATCATCAAATAAACATTTTTTATTATTAACATCAATTTAATAATATAATGATGTTAACTAATATGCAATTAACTAATATGCAATTAGCATTTAATAGTTTTAAGTAAGTTCAGGAAATCATATCACACGATTATTATATTTTCCATATAATATAACATTGCCAATCCACAAAAAGAATTAAACAGTTAATGGAATAAAATAGTTATTTGAATTTTCATTACTTAGTAAAATATTTAATATATTTTTTGTTCAATTGATTTATTTCTTTTTGAAGATTTAAACAAAGATAAGTTCGTGGTTTATAAATGTGACTCTTTGCTTACATTTCTTCAAATTTTACGGTAATACAAAATAAAACATTATACTCTAATTATAAGCTGTACGTTTCTACAACCTAATAATTAACGGTATTGTTTTTTTAAATGTTGTTAATTACAGGCAATATAATGTTGTTTTTTAAAAAAATATATGTAAATGATGCCATTTATAAAAAAATATATATATATAATTTTATCTTAGAAGGAAAGAACGAGCACAAAAAGAAACGGTTAATTCAAAAAAAAAGAATTATATAACTATTTCTCATCAAAAACAAGATGATATAAAAAATTTGGAAACTTAAATTCAAGTTCAACTTTTAAATATCAAATGACGGGTATCATACATGAATATGAAATTTAAATAGCAAAAGTAAGTTTCAAATTACTTAAATATTTCAAATATCGGGACAAGAAATAACGAATACAGAAAGAGAACGAGTAATTTAATTAGTTAAATACAAGCTATATAATGTTGGTTTTTTAAAAAAATGTAAATTATTTCATTTATATATAAAAAAATATGATATTATCTTAGAGAGAACGAACGGGAACAAAAAGGGAATGGGTAATTCAAAAAAAAAAATATCTAAACTATTTCTCATCAAAAACAAGCCTATATAAAAAATTTGGAAACTTAAATTTAATTTTAACTTTCAAATATCAAATGACGGGTATGATACAAGAATATGAAATTTTAATAGTAAAAGTAAGTTTCACTTAAAAATTTCAAATATTGGGACAAGAAATAACGGAAAGGGAACGGGTAATTTAGAAAATAAAAAATTATTATCTTAACTAATTCTAATAATATACAAAAGGGAATTATGGGTAACGGGCAAGCTGAAGACATACTATTTATTCATGTGGGTGGACCAAAATATTTCAATTTGTTGTAGGACATGCATAGTGAACGGGTTTGACTGTCCTGATATCTATATTTATGTTATTTTATTCAAAAGTTTTAATGTTTTTCATTAGTTTATGTGATGTGATAGTTCACAAATTTAATTGATTTCTAATTTATCAGTCATTTAGTTCACACTCGATCCGAGTCTTATATCATGTCGATTAAAATATTAAAAACTTTATGATAAACATAGTTTTTGCAACCAATCCCGCACGTACGTGCGAGTCCATCCCTAGTCTTAATTAAAATACCAAACTCTGATCTGGTTTAGGTCCTCCTAATTAGGAAGGATCAAAGATTTGACCAGCGAACAAAACAGTTCCGGTTTTGTCTTCTCTAATCATGAAGAAAAATGGATGATCAGCCACAAAATCTATCCGAAGAGGAGTATGCCTCCGAGAGCAGAGGCTAACTTTATTCCCCACCATATAAGTAGCAGCCGCAGCTTCAGTACCTTTTTCATCGATTTCAACCAAAGCTTTTTGGTATAGTGACACACCAAGGTCAAAGTCGAAAACGCTAGAAGCTTTAAACCCGAATTCAATCTTAAATTTTGGAATTCTGAAATCACCAACTTCAACTGTCCAACTCGGAATGTGATTGTCCAAGAATCCATCAGTAGATGTCATCTTCTCCACAAGGTTATCCAATCCATCATTCTCGTCGGGGAGATAGATATACATTGAGAATTGGCGGCTTGTATCATTATCGCCTTGTCGGTATGGCAGTCTAAGGACCTTAAAACCATTGTAAACCCCAATATATTGTCTTTCATAGCTTTTCATGAAAGGCACATGTACTTGTTTGCCATTGACAAGGTGAAAAGGCTTTCGTTTCGTCATTGACTTGTTGAATTTTTCTTCCCAGGCTCCTTTGAAGTACAATGCGTTTCCATAAATCCAGATGGTTTCGTCTGTAACTGATCCATGAGGAAGAACACTTTTGATGAGACCATTCGTGTGACGTGAAGCCCAAGAATTCACCTCCATACGCACTTCTTCGGCCTTCAAAACAACAAAAACCATAATCACAAAATCCACAACCAAAACCGAACCAAAGAACACATATATACAGATTAGAATTGAAGCAGACATTGAATAAGATATGTAGCTTTCTCGCTCTAGGCACTCTGTTGTACAGTTTCAAACCGCTCTAGCTTGACCTAATTTAACTAAAGCAGATTCTAAACCTAAAATATATTAAAACTAGAAATACTAAATCAGAAACTAACCTTGGATCGGAAATCAACTTGAGAAAAAGTAGCCTTGAAGAAATTCTCAAAGAGATCTTTCCACTCGGGATTACACGAGAACGATTTCTCTATCCACACTCCATTAACCGCCGAGATTTTTGGCCCACCTCTTTTGCTTCCGTCGACAAGGATGACGGAAGCAATCTCGCGGAAGACGGCGTTGAGCTCGTCCGTGGAAGAAGACTTAAGAAAGGAGAGGATGAATGATCTTAGTGTTTCAGTTTCGGTGGTAGCAGCGGTCATGGTGAGGACGGAGTTGATCAATGCCGGAGAGAAGACCAAGTTAGAGTGTTTGGCTACAGCAGATATTACTTTCCCAACAAGTAACAGAGCAACGTCGTTTTGCTTCTTCATCGCTTCTTGCAAATCCATCTTTTGCTTTTTCTTCCTCTTCCTCTTTGAGAGAGAGGCCTCTACCGTGGTAAGTTCTTGGTTCTTCCTTTTCAGATCCATCTTTTAATATTTTTTATTTTTATTTTGTTCTGAGCATACATGTGTAATATATATGTCTATATAGAAAATATAAAAGATGCCCTAGTTTTCTAATCAATATAGAAGAACTAGGGTTTGGTTCATCGTCGAATTATTAAATTTACTCGGCATTGATATAGTAGATAGATTTGGGAAATTAAAAGGCCTTTTAGTCATAAAGCCCATAAGTGGATGAGAAGATATTTTAAGCCCACCAACAAGTAATGTTAATTACGGCTTCGTGTCTTTCAATTCAAGCGGCATGGCGGAGACACTGCCGGAGGAAACTAGCCAGGTCATTAACCGCAGAAGAAGACCGATTCCGAAACGCAATCGCCCAACGCAAACGCGATGCAGCGTTTTCGTCGAGCCTGGTTGCTACTTAGAATTGTGGGGCTATTTTTTGCAGCAAAAGACATGGCTATATACTGATTAGATGAGTTATATAGGAGGTTCAATATATAACCTTAAATTTTTATTATCTAAAAAATTATGGAGTAAATATTTCAAATTTCTCTAAAAATGGCTGATTCGTTCATATATGTGTACTTTATAAGTTATCCAACATGCAGGTAGGTGTTTACGTTCTTCTAACGATACAAATATAATATAGCAAATCATAACAATACCAAAGTCTGATCTGGTTTAGGTCGGTCCTAAGCAGAGGAAGATTCGGAAGGATCGAAGATTTGACCAGCGAACAAAACAGTTCCGGTTTTGTCTTCTCTAATCATGAAGAAAAATGGATGATCTGCCACAAAATCTGTCGGAGGAGGAGTATACCTCCGAGCGAGGGAAAGTTTATTATTCCCCATTGTAGTAGCAGCCGCAGCTTCAGTACCTTTTTCATCGATTTCAACCAAAGCTTTTTGGTATAATGACACACCAAGCTCAAAGTCGAAAACGCTAGAAGCTTTAAACCCAAATTCAATCTTAAATTTTGGAATTCTGAAATCACCAACTTCAACTGTCCAGCTCGGAATGTGATTGTCCAAGAATCCATCAGTAGATGTCATCTTCTCCACAAGGTTATCCAATCCATCATTCTCGTCGGGGAGATATAAATACATTGTGAACTGGCGCCTTGTATCATTATCGCCTTGTCGGTATGGCAGTCTAAGGACCTTGAAACCATTGTAAACCCCAATATATTGTCTTTCATAGCTTTGCATGAAAGGTACATGTACTTGTTTGCCATTGACAAGGTGAAAAGGCTTTCGTTTCGTCATTGACTTGTGGAATTTGTCTTCCCAGGCTCCTTTGAAGTACAATGCGTTTCCATAAATCCAGATAGTTTCGCTTGTAACTGATCCTTGAGGAAGAATGTTTTTGATGAGACCATTGGTATGACGTGAAGCCCAAGAATTCACCTCCATACGCACTTCTTCGGCCTTCAAAACAACAGAAACCATAATCACATGAACCACAACCAAAACCGAACCAAAGACCACATATATACATATTAGAAGCAGACATCGAATAAGATATGTAGGTTTCAAACAGCTCTAGTTTTACCTAATTTAACTAAAGCTGATTCTAAACTAAAAATATATTAAAACTAGAAAAATCAAATAAGAAACTAACCTTGGATCGGAAATCAACTTGAGAAAAATCAGCCTTGAAGAAATTCTCAAAGAGATCTTTCCACTCGGAACTACACGAGAGCGATTGCTCTCTCCACACTCCATTAGCCGCCGCGATTTTTGGCCCACCTCTTTTGCTTCCGTCGACAAGGATGACTGAAGCGATTTCGCCGAAGACGGCGTTGAGCTCGTCGGTGGAAGTAGACTTAAGAAAGGAGAGGATGAAGGATTTTAGTGTTTCATTATCGGTGGCAGCAGCGTTCATGGTGAGAACGGAGTTGATCGATGCCGGAGAAAAGACCAAGTTAGAGTTTTTGGCTGCGGCAGAGATTACTTTCCCAGCAAGGAACAGAGCAACGTCGTTCTGCTTCTTCATCGCTTCTTGCAAATCCATCTTTTGCTTTTTCTTCCTCTTCCTCTTTGAGAGAGAGGCCTCTGCCGTGATAAGTTCTTGGTTCTTCCTTTTTAAATCCATCTTTTAATTTTTGTTCTTTTGTTCTGAGCATGCATGTGTTATGTATAAATACAAATTTATGAGATGCCCTAGTTTTCTTTCTTTTTTTTTGGTCAAACGCCCTAGTTTTCTATTCAAGATAAAAGCCCTTTAAGTTACAAAGCCCATGCATTATTTGGTCAAAGCCCATGGTGAAAGCCCATGTTAAAAGCCCTTTTTTGGGTCAAACGCCCTAGTTTGCTAGGATTTGGTGCATCCTCGAATTATTTATTTACTCGACCATTTGGAAAATTAAAAGCCCTTTCAATCACAAAGCCCATAAGTGGACAAGAAGATATTTTAAGCCCATCAACAAGTAATATTAATTAGGGCTTCGTGTCTTCCAATTTTTTCCCTTTTTTCTCTCTCTCATCTTCTCCAGAAATCGAAACTTCATCATCTTCTTCTTCTTCGTCTAAGCTTTATCGAAATCGAGATGGCGGATCAGAGCTCTAAGCCGTTGCAGTTTTTCGTCAGACTACTCGACGGAAAATCACTAGCCCTAACTTTCTCCTCTCCATTAGCATATGGAGATCAGATCAAGCAACGGATCTTCGAGCACACGAAGATTCCGACGCATCTACAGCGATTGATATGCGGAGGCTACCAGATCTCCGACGAATCATCGGTTTCTCTCCCTGACGCCACCGTGAATCTCGTCTTTTCCCTACGTGGAGGTAAAGGAGGATTCGGATCGTTGCTTCGTGGTGCGGGGAACAAAGCTGGACAGAAGAAGACAAACAACTTCGATGCGTGTAGGGATATGAGCGGACGGAGGTTGAGGCATGTGAACGCTGAGAAGAGGCTTGAGGAGTGGAAGGAAGGGGAAGAAGATAGGAAGCTTGAGAAATTGGCTCATGAGTATCTGAAGAAGCAGGCGAATAAAGTTAAACAAGGTGTTGGTAATGGAGCTACGCAGAAGTATGTTAAGAAGTATAAGGAAGAATCTGATAAGTGTATTGAGGCGGTTGAATTGGCTTTGAAAGAATCTTTTCAGAATGGGAAGAGGAAAGGGAAGATGTTTGCAGAATCTGATAAATCCAAACGACTTAAGATATGGTATGAACTCTCTTTCATCTTTCTAATATATCTGTGCTTCAAAGATATCAACTCTTGTTAGGTTGATTCTGTGTTTTAATAGTTTAGGTTATGAATGCCGTTAACTTTTTTTGATTGATGCTGATGGTGGAGTTTTTAGATTCAGTAGTTTCTGTAAACATTTTAATAGCTGGTGAGGTAATTTTGTTACGTGGGTTGTTTATATCTCTGTTCTTGTCATTGAATGATGATTTTATTTTTTTTCAGGAAGGGAAAGAGAGCTATTGATGATAGTGACAGTGATGATTGCAGCGACGAGGAAGACGAGAAATCTGATGAAAGCTCAGATTCGGTTATGACTGAAGATCACAATGGTGATTCTTCTGGTAAATCATCATGCAATAGCGGTTCAGAGGAAGAGAATGACATTGTAGTGCCCCAAAGTTCAGATGTAGTAAAGGGAGAGATCACCGCTGTTCAAGCGATTAACAGAGAGAAGATTGATGATTTACCTATTACTGTTGCTGCTGCTGCAATGGGTCATACTGAAAAGGAGGATAAGTTAAGTGGAGACGCCGAGAAGAAGAATCTGGTCGAGGTAGCTGTTAAGAATCAAGGCAATGATTCTGATGTAAAGACAGGAGGAGCTGCTGGGGAAACAGAGTCTGTTAGTGCAGTGTGTTGCACACCTGTTAAACCGCCTGTTAAACCGCTTAACTTTGATGATTTCAGTTCAGCAACAGATATGGAGGTATGTATTTATACGCAAATTCAAAATGATGTCTTTGATTACAATATGTGTTACATAGTTCATAATTCATATGTTGCATCAATCATACCACCAAACCTATCTTTGAATCCATCCGTGTTCTCTGGTTTCAGGTTTTAGGAATGGATAGATTAAAGACTGAGCTTCAGTCACGTGGACTGAAATGCGGAGGGACATTGCAAGAGCGTGCTGCGAGGCTCTTCTTACTTAAATCAACACCACTCGATAAACTCCCAAAGAAATTGCTGGCCAAGAAATGATGAAGAACTTGCAACTCCAAAAAAAAACTACTACACTTTTGTTGTCATCTGTTTGTAGTACAATAACACAACCCACATGTGTAATATCAGCTGTAATTTATACTAATCTACCAAGATTATCACTTTTCGCAATCATTCTCCTCTTTTTATTCATTTTTCAACTTCTCTGCATTTGATTGTTTCTCTGTATTAATAGAATGGTCCAAGTGACAATTATGGATTATGTCCTCGTCCGTTGACAAAATTCTGTAAGTAGAGAAGAGTTAACTTTAGAGTTTAAACAAAACAGAGGGAGTCTTTGACATATTATATTCTCTGATTGAATACAACAACACGAATCTTCCCAATGTGGCACATAAATACAGGTCTCTTGTCCGAACCAGAATATGTAAAGCAACATTATTGGAACCTGCAAGTCGCTAATTATATAGTTTATGCGTGGACCATACGTGGTAACAAAAGCCCACACAACTGTGTTTATAAACCTATTTTACATTTGCTCCGACTCTACTATTTTGAGGTAGAGGGAGAATCTTACTTTCTATGTTGCAACACGTAAAATGTGAAGGAAAGTTTTATGGATCCAATAATGTTGCGTGTGAGTTTTGTCCTGTAACAACAAATCAAAAAAGAAGGTTGCTCAGATTTAATCATTGAGGACAAACCAAGTCATACAATGCGATTTTGATGTTCAATTTGAAGAACAAACCTTGTCTTCTGTTAGGCATCACTGTGTCATGGTGTTTTACATCAGCTCTTTTGCATCTCTTATGGCTGAGCTCGCAGCATAAAGCGCTATTTTCTTAAGCTGCAATGCAGTGGGAAGATAAGTGAAAAGAGGTTAAGCTGAAACTAGATATTTTCATCTTCCAAAATGCTCCAGTTCCAATATGATTCATAATATTCAAAGATTACAGAATTATACTGAAGTGCACCTCCAACTTATCTTCGCTAGATCTGTGGTCTTTTGGTAATCTTCGGAACTCATGTGTTAGCCTAAGGCATTCTTCAACGCTTTCAGGAGCCACAAAGTCTAATGCCACCTTTATGCAAGACTGGAATACAGTTTGGCATTTATGACATTAACATTTCAAATTCATAAACTGTAGAAGCTTTTAATTGCTTTTTGCGGAAAGAAAAAACAGTTAATGAGCAAATTCAGACGCTTAACAGAAGGTACAAATTCTTGATTCATAAAGATGATATGTTGCATACCTGTTTATTTCTCACTTGGTGAGGACAACCTGCAGGTATGAAAACAGCTTCGCCTAGGTGTTGCTCAAAGGTCCATGGTTCTATATCTGCATATGAAATCACATATATCAAACGTAGCAGAGAAGGTAAGTCAGCTTGTAAAGCTTCATATAGTACAGAGTACAGACCAGAATCTTACCAAATTCTTCCTTTAGCTGTTTCTTCTGTCTTTCACTCAGGAACATAGTCTGGTCATGAATTGCGTGAATCACCTGAAATTAACAAAGTGCCACAAAATTTAGATTTCTCATTGCACTCATGACTATATCAAATACAAATCATTCACAAGAGATATATTCGAGTATACATACGTTGTTCACTGGTTCATTATTGGTGTGACAAAACTCATGCTGGTGCCTTTTCAAAAACTGGATAAGTTTTGGAACATCCTCCCTTCGAAAGATATCCCAGACAGCACCACCATGCACAGCCTCTGACCTCTCATTGGTATTGCCATCAGTTTCTTTTGAAGCATCCAGTTTCTGCTCTTGTATGGATTTAGCACTTGTATTCTCAGTCTCCAAACAGATGTCATTTTGATTCTCATCAGCAATAAATTCGTTTGTCAGCGTTACATCCAGTTTCTGATCATGATCTGACTCCATCGCAGTAGTGCAAGAATTTAAACTAGAAGACCTTTCCATCGGATCAGCTCTTTCGTTGGTAGTACAGTCACCTGAAAATTAAGACATCTTCAGTAATGTGTCTATTAAACACAAATGGAGGGAGCGTCTTACAGTACCATTTGCAACATCTATTTGATCAACTCTTTGGGAGCCCATCGGTCTTAAACTGCTACTTGATTGTTCTTCTTTAGCTGCCTTGTCCATAAAACCCTGTTTATCTTCATTTTTTTCTATCAGTGATTGGTCTTCAAGTTTGGTAGCTTCTGTCCCTTGACCACCATATTGTTTATGCAACTTGGTTTCTGCATATTTTTCCTGCTGTACTTTTATGTAGTCGTATACATGAGGAAGTATTTCCACTCTAGCTGTGTGTGTCAGCACGTTGACCTAATTCGAGTTCATAGAAGAATTAATCTCACAAGTAAAAGTAAGAGAGTATGATTACTCTCTAATCAGAGTAAAATCACCTCAGAAAGTACAATTTCATGGTTTAGGTAGGTTTATGTCTATGAATAATTAAGAAAGTAGGATAAAGAATTGGTGCACATACCGCGTCAGAAATATCACAATGTAGCTTTGTCACTGAATCTCCTCTACCAAGCTCATCAGGGAAACCATATGCAATGTATGTCTTGGGTCCAAGATCTGGCTTCAAGGATTTTTCTGGAAGTCTTGTAGCGAGATTTAGGATACCAGATTTTGGGTCAGTGTAATCAAAAAAGGGCAATGCAGCAATAAACTCAGCATTGTGCCTTGGAAGGCGCTGTTCAAATAAAGTTGATGGAGGCCAATCCTTTAATTTCAACATTTCTGGCCAACCGTTCCAATGTGTGCGGCCTTTTAAGTAGCCTTCAAAAAACTGATGAATATTTATTTCAACCTACAAGAGAAAGGGATGGTAATGAGTATACTTCTTAAAAGAAAAATGCATCAAGTATAAAAACACATAGAATGGGTTTGACTGACCTCACACCAGTCCAAGCAATCCAAAGCTCTCACGCTTTTCGCCTCCTCTTTACATTTAACCTTTGGATCTATTTCCCTACAAGCCCTCCACATAACCATCGGTTCCCAACTTAGTCCAGATGTCTTCTCGAGAACATTTCTGACTATCACAGGTTCTGCCCTCATCCAGTGCGACTGAAAATGAGCAATATCCTCTTCAGTTAGATCAACAGCATTTGGTGTGTATAAGAAGTTATCATGAGCATTCTTCCTAAACGCCGCCTGCCTTCTAGTAGAATCAGCATTAATAGTGCATACGGAGCATTCATGAGAAATATTCACATCCGATGGCCTAAACTGCAGAGTAACTTCCTCTGCATCTGTTATCATTTTTTTAACCCAGTCAGTTTTGCATAAGCGTCTCAACTCAAGTGTTGAAGTACCACAACCACCACACTCTTTCGGAGGGCATGGAATGTTTCCGCTTGAACTAAGCTTCCAGTTAGAGAAATCCACTGGAACTCCAAATTCATATTCAGTATTTATTCCCTCTTGATTATAGAATCCCTCTCTTAGTTCCTTGCAGCAAGAAAGACATATATCACATGCACATTTTGGGTTCGGGCAGCTTCTATGAAAATTGGCAATTGATGTGCGGCAGAGATCACTGGCGTACATTGATGAAGAGATTGTAAGCAACGAAGGAAATAGGTTGTAAACAAAGAATGTAACAGAGAGTTAAAATTCAAAGAAACAGATTACAAATGTGTTTCTATAGATGGCTAACCAAAAGGTTGTCATGTTTATTGAATATAAGGAGAACTAATGATACCCAAATGTATACTAAAAAGGTATATAACTCTTGCTACCTCGGGCATATGAGACTGGTAATGATGAAAACACCTCTGTGCTCACTGATTCACATGTGAGCTTATATGAGTTCAAATGAAAATACAAGAAAACGGAAAAATGTAGAAAGATTATGATCACCTACACATCAAGTCAATCTACACCAAATCATTCCTCTTTATTATTCTACTGATTTAACAATTTGATTGCTATAAGTGATGCCTACTCAATAATAACCTTGTCCACAGAAGCAGAGGTCTGAGATTGGCATCTTGAAGTAGGATCAATGAACCTTTCTCTGGAGGTAGTCTTTTGTGGATATATTTGATTGCAACTTGTCTTGCCTGAATTAGTTCCAAAGTCTGAAGCTTTGTTACTGAGACCACTATATCTTATCGGATGGAGGGCGGACCATCATACGCTTAAAAGACACCAAGACCATCTCATGGTCTAAAGTGTTTTAGATCAGTAAAAACTCTCCCCTCACTTCTTCACATGTGAAGATTATTTAAAATCAAATGACAAGATCATAACCTCATCAGTCACCCTACCAATCAAACAACCCTAGTTATTCCCCCAAATCATTCCTTTTTTATTGTTCTACGGCAGAGTAACTTCCTCTACATCTATTATTCTTTTAGATGAAAAAAAAACAGCCAAGCAGTAAGGGAAAAGAAGAAAGCAAAGGAGACCACCGAGATATGAAAAATTACCAGTAAATGCGTTCACTTAGATCAAGTTTGCACCTAGTAATATCAGATTCTGTAACAGGGATTCCTAGAATAAAACAGGTTCGTGCGTGAGTGAATAGTAGAAACAGGAACAAATGGAGAGGACAGCACAAGTGAAGAAGAGTGAAGACATACCTCTAATTGTTGTTTCAATCTCTAGTTCACGGTTCTGCTCAGTATAAATATCCTTTAGAACTGGGAGAACTTTATATAGTAAGTACTGCAACTGCTTGAACTTGACATTTGTATCTTTTTCAGTTCGAGGCTGAGATTCGTAAAAATAGAAATAAAAATCCAAGATCGCATCCAAGTAGAATCACAAGAAAATAACAGTGGTCTCAAGCTAGCCCGCCCTTACCTTGACAACCAAAGGCAAACGTAAACAAGCTCTGCAATTGCAATTCTTCATACAGAAGGGACAAGCAGCTCTAACTTGTTCATCAGTTCTATCTGAATACCTATTGAGATTCATTCAAGATAGCTAGTTGAAATCAAAACTCTCCTGACACTGCTGTTGATTATTGTATTATATAGTGAGCAAGCAGTAAGTAGTTACCATCTCTTGATGCAGTCATAGCAATACTTCTTGTTACACTCTGAACAGAAGATGAGATCAGTCTCACTCGTCAAGTTCTTACAATGATGACACGTCAATCCCCCAATCTTTCTGGTTCCATCACACTTAATAAAATCCTGAAAACAAACAAAAACATATTATTCTCATTACAATTCCTCTTTCAATTCTCACCATAGCTAGAAAATCATATAATCTCCAAATACAAGTAACCTTATGGGGAGCAGACATGTCTCCTTGAACAGATTGATTTGAAAATGAAACCTCTCCGTCATCAATTTTTCTTCTTCCCCTTCCTCTCCCTCTCCCTCTCCCTCTCCCTCTTCCTCTTCCCCTTCCTCTTCCTCTTCCTCTCCCGATTGGGCCTTTGGAGACAACATCATTCTCTTCAGATCTCACGTCGTCGAGTAACTCGTCGGAGTCTCCTGATCTAATCCGCTTCCCGTTCCTTTCCTCCATACTCGATCCGCGGCAAAGAAGCGAGCGACCACAACAGAAGTGTTTATTATTTCACTGAGCTATCGATCGGCATCGCTGCTAGTGCTTTGCATTGGGAGGATCATAAAGGTCAAAGGGGAAGGTGACGTGGCAGAAATCCAGATGTTCATACGGCTTTAAAGTCTGATCGGATGGCTACCTCGTAATCCGTACGTTATTAACTAAGTACAGTATAATAACTAAGATGTTTCCTTACTTTTTATGAGTTTTGACTTTTTTACCTTCGTTTTCTTTTTACCACATTTAACTAGAGCTGTCAGTTACTGTTAGGGCCCGCGGATTAAAACCCCAATCCGCTTTAAAAATTTTGCAGTCTAACTAAAATCTATTTGTCTATTTAAATATTTAACTTAATTTTTAAAGATAATATTTCATATTTATGACTCTATGTCTCTACTATGTTTATTTGTGTTTTGTCGATACATTAGAAGATTTTTTAAAAGTTTTTTGGTTTTGATATAGGAGATATACAAAAGTTTCTCTAATTGCTTATTAATTTTATTATTATACTTTTTTGTATATTGGTAGAAATATGATTTGTGTGATATAAGGCTTGATTTTTTTTCTTTTTAATAAAACATTAAATGGGTCTGTAGTGTGGTAATTTTTAATTAGTAACACTTGTCACTAGTGACTTGTTATTTGTTCTTATAAGTTGTATACACTAATAATCAACCTAAAATAATCTTTTAAATGAAATAATTAGAAAATTTTAATTTTTACTACTTATAGTATTAATTAAATTAATTTTAATTTGTTTTGTTCTTATTAAATAAAAGACCGCGGGTTGAATCGCATATTCGCATAAATGAAGCTGGTTGGATTAGAAATCTGAATTTTATGACTGCAGATCAAAGCGAGCGACCCGCTAAAACCCGCATAAAGCATCGCGCTTAGGCTGAAAATCCGCGAACTAATCCTAATTCACAGCTCTACATTTAACCAAGTTTTTCAAAAAACGGTTAAATGGTTTTGTTTCAACTTTTTAACACTCTTAAATGGGTTTTGTCTTGGCCTTTTGGGTCAGACAATTCATGGGCCATTTTTCATATTTTTTTTTCTCGTTTCCTTAACCCTTATTATAAAATTACTATGGCACTAACTTTTTCATGATATATGTAGTGTAGTGTGTAACCAACTGGGCCTTAACTGGGCTTCTAATGATATATAATTTCTCATGGTATATATGATTCCTTAATATCAATTGCTATAGCAAAATGGTTCTATGGTCTAGCGGTTAGGACATTGGACTCTGAATCCAGTAACCCGAGTTCAATTCTCGGTAGAACCTTCTTTTATTTTTCTCCAACTCCGGCCACGCTCTTTCCCCGGCGATTTATGAATGAACCCTAATTATATCGCCGGCCAGCAACAAGTTAGCTTCTACGCCAACTCTTTCTTTTTTTTTTTTTTTTGGGGAATGCAGAATCCATTGCTTGATTCTGGTGAAACAATGGAGATGGCCACTGTACAGAAAATCGAGGAAACAGTGAAGGGTATACTCAGAGAAGCTGATATGGACCAAATGACCGAGTTCAAGCTCCGAATCGACGCTTCTGCTAAACTTGGTTTCGACTTATCTGGGACGAATCACAAGAAGCTAGTCAGAGACGTCATGGAGGCTTTTTTGTTATCGGCTCCCGGTGAAGCCCCCGTTGAGGAGACGGTGGCTCCGGCGCAGAATGAGACAGGTTCTGGTGTTGCCGCTTCCGTTGGTGGTGAAGATGAACGCTTTATTTGTAAGGTTGCCACTTTGCTTATTTTTCTGCTCTAGGTTTAATTCACCGTATAGAGTAAAGACTTATGATCATCTTGATCTTGAATTTCAATTATCACTGTACAAACTCAGGCTAATCACTTTCGAGTTAACCTCTGTGGGAGAGAAGCTCTGTTATATTCAAGTAGTGATGTTTTTTTCTGGAAATTGGTTGTCTTAAACTGTAGTTATCGGAGAAGCGAAATGCAACGGTTCAAAAGTACAGAGGCCAAGCATTTCTATCCATTGGTTCTCAGGAAAATGGAAAGGCTTTTAGAGGTAATCTGAAACACACTTGATTCTGAATGCGATAAGTACTTTTGATTGGTTTCAGGAAGCTAGTTTTGGTTCTTGTTGATTTGTATTGTTAGTGTTTCCACTGCTAGATGTTTCTATAAGATTTGATCTTTTGCTCTTTTAAGGTTCTCTAATGGGGTTATGCAAAACATTTCATTCCTCTGCCTATATCCGTACTTACAACATTATCTTATTGACTTCTTGCTGCAACTGCTGTGCTGAAAAAGCTTTCATGTTTCTTCTCTATCAGGAGTACATTTGTCAACTAACCAATGGTCTGTGATCAAGAAGAATTTCTCAGCAATAGAAGAATGTATTAAGCATTGCCAATCAAAATCAAAGTATGAATATTACCTTATTACTATAAAGATTCATGTTCCTTATCATTGTTCTCAGTGTTTATCCTCACAAACATCATTGTGGTACTTTACGGTCTAGGTAGCAATGTAGGCCACTTATCTTGCTATTAAACATTATGCAGATCTGATACAACACAAAATGGAGATACTTCTGAGGCTGTGGATAAGAACAGCTCTCACGGGGTTTCTCTTATCAAGACTTCACGATTTGATGGGAAGGGTTATCATTCCTGGGGATTACAGATGGAACTCTTTTTGAAGCAATTTAATCTCACTTATGTACTCTCTGAACCTTGTCCCGGTATTGGTAGCTCTCTAGGCTCTGAAACCAACCCCAGCGAAATAACTCAAGCTGATGCTAAGAGAAGAAAATGGTTGAGAGATGATTACCTGTGCTACAAATACTTGTTGAACTCCTTGTCTGATCATCTATACCGTCAATACTCGGAGAAATTCAAGCATGCCAAAGAATTGTGGGACGAGTTAAAGTGGGTCTACCAGTGCGAGGAAACCAATTCAAAGAGGTCACAAGTCAGAAAGTACATTGAATTCAAAATGGTGGAAGAGAGGCCGATACTCGAGCAATTTCAAATGTTTAACAAGATTGCGGACTCCATAGTGAGTGCTGGTATGTTTCTTGATGAGACATTTCATGTGAGTACCATCATCTCCAAGTTTCCCCCGTCGTGGAGAGGCTTCTGCACCAGGTTAATGGAAGAGGAGTTTTTACCAGTCTGGATGTTAATGGAACGAGTAAAAGCTGAGGAAGAGCTCCGCAGAAATGGAGCACAAGGGGTTACATATAGGCCAGCCGCAGGCTCCTCTCAGATGGAAAGGAGACCTTGTCTAGGAACAACACATCGAGCATCCCAGAACATAGGTTGGAAGAGGAAAGACCCCGAGAGAGACGGGAGAGTCATCATCGTCTGTGACAACTGTGGGAAGAAAGGACATCTCGCAAAGCATTGCTGGGGTAATAAATCTGATGATAGAGCTTCCGGGAAACCAAACAGGATTAACTCTTCAGTCCCTGCACCTGTGGATTCAGAGGCTCAAGCATCAACCAACGATGATGATAAAGTGTAGATGATTAGTGAAGTCAGAATGTTTAAGTTTCTGGATTGAATGAGAGTAAAGTTCATTTCAGGAGGATCAGCCTCATCTTTATCACATTAAGTCATCAGCCAACCAAACCCTTCACAGATATTCTTAGAATACTGATGATTCAGAATTCAGAAGCAGTTCTTCAGTACCTTTGTTTGTCTAATTGTCTCAGCTTATTCATATGTCTGGCCTGATGATAGTAGATTTATAACTTTATATATAGTTCAGGACACTGAATTGTATAAAGGGATTACAGAGAGATGGAAAATATATTAGGTATGGCCTGATTTAATGTAAAGATAACTTTTTAATGAATGAGAATTTTTTTTTAAAAACTACTTCTTAAATCTTATTTGGAAAGAACAGAAATCTAGAAGAAGAATTGTTCAAAACCTGATTTTCATACAAATACAGCTCTTGATTACTCAGTAGACCAACACCAATTGAGATCACATCACATGCTTAACAAATCTTTTAGAATTCACGACCAAAAATCACACTGATACATTATGATGTAAACCTCTAAAGCAATAGAAAATTTCCAATTTTATTTTGTCTTTTACACACTTAATTTACCGAGGGTTCAACTCAGTAATTGTAACAGTATTCAGAGACGCAGTACTACTTGTGTGATTGTTGTCTCTCGACGATGGTTCTACAACTCCTGAGTAGAAAGCGGGTTGCAAGGGTCTCGGTAAAGTGAAAGAATTTGCATTGAGCATTGCAACAACAGATGCCATCGTTGGTCTACTCCCTGGACTCTCCTGGACACACAACAAGCCAATGTGGATGCATTTCTTGATCTCATCACTTAGACCTCTTTTTCAATCAAACTTGGATCCACAATGTTCAACACTTCTCCTTCTCTCCAGCTTTTCCACACCTATTTACATGTAAAGACGATATATGAGTTGAAGAAATGTCTAAGTCTAGAGTAAAAAAAGATAAAACAATGATATTTTCACTTACATAGCTAAGGAGGAATAGTGAGCTTTGTTCTTGTGGAGACCAATTGTTTTTCTTACCTTTAATGATCTCAAGGACTAGTACACCGAAGCTAAACACGTCAGTTTTCACTGAGAACTGCCCACTCATTGCATACTCTGGAGCCATGTAACCGCTGCAACCACGAAATAATTCTATGTTTTTTTGAATTCTTTTTTAAAGAATTGATAAAACTACTACATAAGGATACTTTTTATTTTGGCAGCTTACTAAGTTCCTGCAACTCTGCTTGTAAACATGGTCTGACTAGTTTGGTCCGTATTAAACAACTTTGCCATTCCAAAATCCGCGATTTTCGGATTCATTGCATCGTCCAAAAGAACATTACTGGCTTTCATATCTCGATGAATAATTTTGAAACGAGAATCTTCATGGAGATAAAGAAGACCTCGAGCAACACCTGAGATGATCCTATAACGTGTTCCCCAATCCAAGATCGTTCTCCTATTGGAATCTGAGAAAGAATAAAATTTGGATCATTCACTATATAAGTAATTAAAGATTGAGACGTTTGTGTTAAGGTACCAAATATGAACTTTTCGAGGCTTGTGTTCTTGAAGAACTCATAGATGAGAAGTCGTTCTTCTCCTTCCAAACAGAAACCTAAAAGCCTAACAAGATTACGATGTTGAAGTTTCGCGACCAATGAGACTTCGTTTACGAACTCATTGTCTCCTTGTCCTGATTTCATTGACAATCTTTTCACAGCTATCTCTTCTCCAGAATCGAGAACACCCTGGTGATTATTAAAACATACGTAAGAGAGATCTAATCATCTAATCACCCAAAAGAGTGTAACTAAATTCATAAACATAGTAAAGATCAGTTAATCAATCTTGTAACCTTATAAACTGCACCGAAGCCACCTTCTCCAAGATGGTTGTTTGGAGAGAAGTCATTAGTTGCTAATCTCACGGTATCAAAGTCAAGTTGCAATAATTGTGCATCTTTTAACTTAGGGTCTTGGACAAATGTGCCTGATTCAAAAGGCAATAAAACCAACTTAAGGGTCTATCGAGAATCTAGTTTTTCAACCTTGTAGACAAAAACAAAAAGTTCAACCTTTATGTCTCTGTTTTTGCTTTCTTCTATTCCTTGTCAGAAAGAAGTAAAGAGAGACTACGATTACGACAAAGCCTATAACAGAGCAACCAGTGCCCATAATGATTTTTACTTTGTAATTAATTCCTGCCAAAACAAAACTGTTAGGAACAAGAAAGTAGTTGAAGATTAAAAAAGCTAATAATAAACGCAGCTTCTATACAAGTAGCCAAATTCAGAGTGCTCTGTATTCGCATAAATTTTCAATAAACATATTAGAGATAACTTGAGGAGCAAGCCGCATCTCAGTTCAATAACACATATTGCTCCTCAAGTTATCTCTAATAAAAGTTATAAAACACGCCATTTTCTGTAATCTCAATTTTAGGTTACAAAGTTTGATAAACTCAGTACTCTGTTTTTTGAGTACTATGTTTGATCACCAAGGTAGTTTAGTACTCTGTTTTTATTTTTTAGGTCTAACAGATTATACAAGGTTTTCAAATCAGACTCATACTGGGATTTGACTAACCTCTCGCTCTAAGCCTCAGGCAAGGATTGATGTATCCGTCTCCGTGGTAACCCTCAAGACATGAGCACCGGTGTCCTGCATATCCATCGGGGGTGTCAACATGTGCACAGGTTGTGTTCTGTGCGCAAGGGTTGTTTTTGCAATCTCCCTTTAGCCACCAACCTAACCGAACCCGTTCAACCTCCATCGCTACCCCTGTATTCACACCTACAGAATCGAAAGCTATGGAAGAAAACAACAAACTGCAAGTGCTTTTCCTCAATTCCTCCATACTGAAAAACCTAGCTGGATAGGTCGATCTAGTATCTAAAGAAACACAGTTTATATTTCCCGTGGAACCACAGCTGTTCAGTTTAAGCACATTCTCCCAGTACACTCGACCTACCGTGCAACCGGTTTTAAACACACATTCCTCCATCAAGAAATTATTCTCCGACGTCGGTGCGAAATGCGCGCCGAAAAGCGGAGTCATGTCTTCTATCTTCCGAGTACAATTGTGTGGAAAGCCGACGAATATACTGTTGTCCGTCACGTTTTGGACGGAAAACTCTCCGATCTCCGCTCTTTGATCCACCGCAGAGCAATTGAATCGAATCGGGCAACCAGAAGAAAAACCAAAAGGGATATGGCAGAGTCAATCTACCGCATATTCCGTTACAAGTTTCGGAAGAAGAAACTCGTCGGAGAAACACGATTATGATCAATACCAAACTCAACTTATGAGAAATCATCACTATCATAGTTGAATGTTGATTGAATCGATCTCAACATTAATCACCTTCCTGTAAGACACAAGCTGAAACCTCACATTAATGGCCACCGTGATGATTAATTAATCACCTTCTTCCTCTATGCGCTTTCTCTTCGTCTGCTAGCATCTCTTTGTTAATCCGAGAAATAGCTTTGAAGTTATCAGTTCTCCGGCCAAGAAGTCAATGTTGATGAAGAAATCATCCGTTCCATTTTTTAATGAGTCTTTTGGGGTTTTGAATTAGTCCCATTTAGCCGACAAAAAAAAAAAAAAAGAATTAGTCCCATTTGTTGAAACAATCTCCTAGATTGTAGGAGTCAAGTCAACTAGTTACTCTATTATTCAATCTCCGTTTCCATTAGAAGATATTTGTTGTAGCTGTGTTATTAGATATGGCTATAGGACCTTTTTCATGTAGTTCTGTTGCTTGTAGTGGTAGACTATTTGTTGCTGTAAGTTTTTCGTTATAGGTATTGTATGATCAAATTCTAGATGCTAAAAACTCAGCATTGATTTTGGAATGAGGAGCACTCAAACTCAAATATAATTGATGTAGAGAGAATGAAACAAGAAGATCACTTCTTCAAGTTTAAGAACTATTTATGATGCTAATTTACTGGGCGTGATTATTGAGCAGCACAGCGTCCTTCAAAACGTTCTTTATTAGTTGAATGCTGTTATTTATTTCACATAATCTAAGAAGATTAGCATTCATCTTTGGGCCGAGTGTCATGGCCCAATAAGCTCTACCTACTCTCCAACAGTGTCTAATTTCCATGATTTTGGTATCCATATCAGCTGTTTAAGGACATTTATTCACAGAATGTGAAGGTATCTTTATCAATTGTTACTGGCTTTTTTTTTTTTCAATCTCTAATTTGAAATTATTGGCTTTGGGACATATTCTTGAATCTAAATTGATCAAAGTTCTTTTTTCCACTTTTATGTCCCTCTTTTTTCTTCTTATAATTCAAATGAGATTCCTCTTTTATATGATCTGTCTTGATTCCCTCCAGTTACGTTCTTTGTGTTTTTGAATCTGATAAGTGGAGAGGAGGGATAACAAAGGAGACTGGACATGGAAGAAAGTTCCAAAACAAAGTGGCTCAGAGTCTGAGGATAAAATCTTTAAATGTTCTTTGGAACCTTCACTTTCATTTCTTTAACACTTTTTGTTTCTTGACTATGCTCTTTCAAATCGACTCCGTTACATTACAAAACTGTCTTTTGGGCCTTTGTGCTCTCTCTTAATTTTCTCTTGTTATATTACTCGTTTCTTTGTCAGAAGTCAGAACAACAACAATATCTATGCAAAATTATAAAACAGGTTTTTATAAAAATATCTATAATCTTTATAAACGCAATTTCATTATTTCTATATATTTGTTTGGGCAGAAATGTTGTCTTGATTGAATCAAGCTTCCTTTCTTAGAAAACAGAAAGAAAAAAAGAAAGAAATGCATCTCCTCTTACAACGTACTTTTAATTGAAACTAGCAAATTTAAAAGTAAACTAAAGCTTTAAGGCACATGCACATGTTGGTATGCAATTAACGTGAAAGCATGCATGTGTATAAGTATTTTTAACCAATATGTATTAGATATTTAGATGTGTCTCATACATTGATTTTGCTTTGTTCGTAATCTTTTTTTTTTTCTGTGCAATAATGCATAAATAAGTTAGCCAGCTTGCAGATTGCAATTTGACTGCGAAATTTCCCCACTTCCATAACTATCTATATTGTATGTGACATCAAATCATTTCATTATGACGAGCGAACTCTTTTGACACATATCTTTGTCAAGTTTACTCTGCTTTTATTTTATTTGGTCGCCTGTTTTGCTTGAAAAGGTCAAGAAACGCTTTACTCATTCCGATATTGATTAGTATTACAAAAAAAACTTTAAGTTGGATACATTTTACCAAATGTACATTACCACTGCTTTTCATCATTCAATTGCTTTGGAGTTTGGAGATAAGTCAAATACAGTGACGATTAACTAATTCCCTAAACGATGTATCTAACATTTTCTTATAGCCTAAAACCACATCAAGCTAGCTTATTTGGTGTTACTTTCCTTATTTTCTTTGGACCCCATTGTGTTCTTGTCCTGTCAAGAACCACTTCAAGACATCTCTGGTCTGTCACATTAAATTACTCATCACGAGTAGTTTTAAACTAGCTACCATTTCGATAGACATGTATCCATGTTTAAAAGTACCCAAAAAGAAGGGTGACTTGTTGGAGGGTTTGAAAAGTTGATGGAGCTCCAAAGAGAAGTTCTCCAAGTGGCTCATGTTTCTTCAGGTTACTTAGCTTTCATGATCCCTTCTTCTCATTAATAATATCTTTTGTTGGTTCCCTATTTTTTCTCGTTACCGGAAAGTTACATGTTACGTTGTTTCTTTCTTTGCCACGCCTGATTTGAATTAAAGGCTCTCGACTGACCAAAACATACAAACCCGACTTTTGCTAAAGCATATACCTATAGTCACTTTCCGGCGACTTTTCTTTTTATTTTCTTTTTCTCTTTGTTGAAACCATAACAAATTTCTAGAAAATATACAAGAAATTCTTACTTGGAAAAATATATAATTAAATACCACATTGGTAAACTAAAATATATATATTTTGTTTGTTTTAAAAAAAAATACAGACAGTAATTTATGTGTTATATGTTTTCTTTTCAACTTTGTTTTATTTTTTCTCTTTGGCTCTCAACTTGTTTCTTTATGATAAAAGACATATATTTTCTTTGTTGTTCCTAATCTTTATTGTCTTTAATTTTGAAAATGCCCTTATTTTACTTAATTTGTTGAATTAAATACTTCTTTTTATTGCCCTTTAATATGATCCCTGACTCCCAAATCTACACGAAACACTAGGAATAGAGAGAAATTTAAAATACCACAGATAAAGACAGAGCATAGAAACACTTGTAGACATATAAAACACACACACCTCATTGGAAAGAAGAGCAAAGAGAGAGAGAGAAAGATCCAACTTCCACAATAGAACCATGGAAGCTGAAAAAGAAACTGAACAAGAAGGAAACATGACAGCAATGAAACTACCGACGTTACCAATAAAACCCAACACTCATAGCCACTCTATGTCCTCACCTATTCACAGTTCCATAGCAGCTTCAGTCCCATTCAGCTGGGAAGAAGAGCCTGGCAAACCCAAGAAACACTCTTCTTCTTCATCTTCATCTTCATCTTCTTCTTCTTCTTCATCCTCTTCCTCACCATTAACTTCTTATTCGTCATCTTCTCTTCAAACCCACAAGTCCTTGGAGCTACCACCAAGGCTACTCACGATTGAAAAAGATGGAGGATTAGTTACGAAACTGCAATCTCCCATCACAGTCTTTGATGGACCTTATAGCATCACGAGATCAAAAAGGATGGATTCACCTTCCTTTAGGATGATGGTGAAAAACAGTGGTGACTGTTATGGTTCTTTCAGGAGTGACATGAATGGTGATTTAGAGGATGTAGAAGAAGACTTTAAGCAGCAGGACACGAGGAGTGACTCTGTGGCTGTTGTGAAGAAAAGAGGGAGATTAGGGTTTTTTGGGTTTAGGAGGAGGAGAGCACTGAAGGGGAAAACAGAGTTTGGTAGAGGTAGTTATGTGTTTCCATCTTCCGAAGACAGAGAGAGTGAATATGGCAGAAACGAAGAAGAAGAAGGAAAAGAAGACAAAAGCTTTGGTTATGTCGATGTTGATGGTATTGGTAGCAGCCAAAGCAGCAGGTTTTGTGAAGCCAAGATCTCAAGCATTAGCAGAACAGGGAGCTTCTCTACTCTTCCTGCACCATCTCCTACTTCTTCAAAGTCTCACTTTTGGGTAAGTCCTCTGTTTTATGTTCTGTTTCTACATATTACTTGTAAAGTCGCAACAAATGTTCGAAAAATCAGTAGGATGGAGTCGACTAGATCATATGATTAGCGTTACTAGATTTGCAGAAATTATTCTTGAAAAATAATGGATGGGACGCTCTTTGTGATTTGTGTGTATACTATATAATAGTGTTTATATACATACATATGTGAATAATTATATCCTAAAAATATTAGCACTTAACATTGTTTTGTTGTGGTTGGGATCAGACGAATGTGTATGCAGGACTAAAGCAAGTGGTTCCATGGAAGAACAAGAAGACTACAGTTTGAGATTATGCCCCTATCAAAGATTTCTGAAAGACACAACACCAAAAATCAAGAAAGCTTCTCTTGTTTCTACAAAGTTTCTTCAAACTTATATTTATGATTTTCTTTTTCAATATTTCCAAGAAAATGACATGACCAATTAAACTAAAATCATTATGAAGCCTAGTTTATTTTTTTCATGCTTGTTGATGTTGTTGTGCTTGTAATGTTTGAATATTCTTGAAACTTTTGTAAAAAGAAACAGAAAATCTTACGATGGATATATGATCATGGTCCAAAGGGAAATTTTATTAGAACTTAACACGAAGTGTTTATTATTGAAATTATACAAATACTATTATTTAATTTGATAAGTTACTTAGAAAGCGACACGAAGAGAACGAGGACCAAAAATTACATTTTTTTTTGGTTAGTTCAAAGATTTCAAGAAGCATTCAAGAAAATTGAAATGATCTTTATACATTTTACTAGTTTTAAACGACACCGTTTCGTCATAGTAATCCATGTGAACAGCTGAATCCCCTACACGTGTCAGTTAGAGTTATTTGACGGATGGTGGAGAATTATTTGATATCCACGCAGCCACATGTTCTCGGTCATCCCTTTGGAATTGAGAAGGCCCCAAACAAGCAATTTGACGTTATGGTACTTTCCATATTTGGGCTAATTTAAACATTCATTTGGCCCACTCTAAGCCCGTTGATATGTTGTAAATTGTAAACAAAGCAAAAATATTAATTTCGATTCTAGGGCTATTGCTTAATTCTATCACTCATTGTTTGACAAAAAAAAAAAAAAACTATGAACTATCTTTTGCAGTGCTTAATTACATGATTCACGTATCTTTTTTTTTTTAATTAAGGTTTTAAACTTTAAGTGCTACACTTTACAATTTAAGGTTTTAGCTAGTTAGATGAATAGTTGTATACTCTAATTGTTTTAACCTCCAATTGAAATGGAAATATCAATATATGTACTGTTGTATGCTAAATATCAACTACTTGATGATGATATAACCTTTTTTTTTTGTCAATCGATGATGATATAACCATGTATTAAAAAAAGAGAGAGAATTAAAAGATAGTCAAAACAAACACACCACTAAAATGCCCATAAAAGTGAAACCCAACACTTCTAAACTTTAGCCTCAAAATTATTCTCTCTCTCTCTCTCTCTCTATCTCTAAGTCATCTCTTTGAACATCAAGGTCAGTTCATCTTCTTCCCTTTTTCTCTTATCTCCTTGTTTCTTCTGCAAATTATACTTTCTCTATTTCTTTTTTTCCTTTTTAACTTTCTTTTGCTTTTTGATTTATGTGTTTATTAGGGTTTCTTTTTCTTTATTTCTTACTTTTCAAAGGGTTTACTTCTTTCCACCTTCTGATTTCTTTGAAAATTTTGTCCCTTATTTAAAAGTTATGTCTGGCTTTTTAGAGATCAGCTCCTATAACACCTTTTTATTAGTTTCTTGCTCGATCCATACGTTAGAAAGTGATTCTTTGTTCCTACTCTCTCAGATCCTTTATTGATTGATCTATATCGCCAGTATAGTACTACACATAGTTCCATGTATATAAATCTCTAATCTATGCATAGTTGGTTCATGGACTTCAACTTTTTATTTTCTTTCAATGATTAAGTTTTATTCATTTATTTGTTTGTGGTTACTTTTTTATAAGTTCTACTTTTGTTATCATGCTTTTATATGCTTCATTCAATGGGTTGATCATACATGCTTATCACAGGGATTTATTATAAACTGTAATTGAAGCTCACATCATGGACCATCATCAGTATCATCACCATGATCATGATCAATACCAACATCAGATGACGATTACTAACGATATCCCCTATAACACCATCGTCACAACACAACCACCACCACCTACAACAACAACAACAACAGCAACCACAATGATAATGGATGATGAGAAGAAGTTGATGACGACGATGAGCACCAGGCCACAAGAACCAAGAAACTGTCCAAGATGCAACTCAAGCAACACCAAGTTTTGTTATTACAACAACTACAGCTTAGCACAGCCTAGGTACTTGTGTAAGTCTTGTCGGAGATATTGGACTGAAGGTGGTTCTCTCCGTAACGTCCCCGTAGGCGGAGGTTCAAGAAAGAACAAGAAGCTTCCGTTACTACTTCCAAATTCCTCTACTTCTTCTTCCACCAAGAATCTCCCAGATCTCAACCCTCCTTTTGTCTTTACATCATCACCATCAAACCCTAGCAAGACCCATGATGATAATAATGAGCTCAGCCTCTCATTCTCTTCCCCTATGCAAGACAAGCGAGCTCAAGGGCACTACGGTCATTACACCGAACAAGTTGTGCCGGGAGGGCAGAACGGTCTTTTCCAAGCTCCTATGGGAATGATTCAGTTTCGTCAAGAATATGATGATCATGACAACCAAAAAAAGAATCTTGGGTTTTCACTAGACAGGAACGAGGAAGAGATTGGAAACCATGATAACTTCGTTGTTAACGGAGGAGGAAGTAAGATGATGTATCCTTATGGAGGTTACGAAGACCATCATCAACATGTGAGACACGATGATGGTAATAAGAAGAGAGAAGGTGGTTCAAGCAATGAGCTATGGAGTGGAATCATCCTAGGTGGTGATAGTGGTGGACCAACATGGTGATATGATGATCATATTCATATCGTCAAAAGGACAAGATAATAAAAGACAAAAACAAATAGTTAACGAGTAAAAATAATATGTACTGATTAGATTTGGAATTTTCAGACCCGGAAGAGTCGCCTTGGGAGGAGCATGATGATTCTTCTTTCCACTTTTTATAAATTCCTCTGTTCACTTTCTTTGTCTTTTGTCTGATGGAGCCACTTATTTGGCTTTTAGTTTGTTTCTTTAGGACCCTTCTTTAAGTTTTAACACATAAAATGTCTAGTGCCTATTATTGTATATATATAGTCTTACATCATATCATATCATGCATCTTTTTGTTTGATAGAGATGATGAATCAATTAGGTTTATGTATTAAAGTAATTTTCCGGTGATTCACGTTAATAAGTACGTGAGACATTTTGACTTTTCTTTAAATTTTGAGACTATATTTTTTTTCTTTAACTTCGCGTAAACATGCATATGGTCCGAAGTAAACTTGGCAACAATCGTCTGAATAGAAGATATAGATCATATTTATACACGGATGAGTAGTTTAGTTTCTAGATCCAACATGGCTGCGATTTAGCTGCTCAGTTCAGTTTATGTGAGACTTATCTCGAAAGCAAAGTCTATTTAGGAGACTAATATAGTTAAGGAGTTCCACTGTCCACAAACAAGAATTGCGTATTGAATACAACACGACCTTTAATATTAAATCATCTGCAATGTAACATAGTATTCTTATTAAAAAAAGACACGACAACATACCTGCTCCAACTAAAGACTATTCCATTCACAAATCGTTTTCTTTAATAACCCACTGAGATTCTCTATTTCTATTTGATTTACTTTGTTTTTTTTTCTCATGAGAAGACCAAAGACGACCCCTGTCTTTTTTTGCATTTTAATCTTTAACTAAACAGAAACAGAAATATTTTTAAAATTTTAGTTTTAATATTATATAGTACTTATTCAACTATTTTCACAAAAAAAAATAGTGGCATAAATAGTTAATATATTTTGTTAAAATTTAACCTTTTACAAAATGGTTAGCTCTATATAACTTTTTACAAACAAATGAAAAAAAATAAATCACGAGGAACATATGAAGACAAAACGTACGTACGTGAAAGCATAAGGAATATATATTGAGGCAGCTAGCGTAGTTTGATTAAGACCAGAGCAGCAAGTTGGTGTAGTGATGCAGAGGAGACTGGAGAGCGATTGATACAAAAGCATACGATATCAAGAATCTCAGTATACTAGTGGCCGGCTGGTACGTAATACTATAGATAAGGTATAAACTCGTTTGATTTTGGGTTTCGGCCTTCGGGTTCGCTTCCACGTACAGGTCCTTTGTATAAAAATGTCGAGCTAGTTTGGGGAACTCTTTCGACGTCGTTATAGCTCTCTACACTTCAAGAGTTTTACGAACAGCATACTGGACTTTTAATGTGTGACATGTTCAAATTAGCTGGCTCATTTTGTGTACTAAAGCCTCCTGATTATAGTTTTAATTAAGGCCCAAGAAAGCCATCTAACTAACATAATACTGAACATAGAAAGCTTTTTATGGCTTTGCCTCGCCGATAAAATATAAAAGCATCTCTCAAAATATAAGAGATTCAAGATTTGGATAATGAGATTAGACTAAAAAAAAAAGGTAAGCCTGCACTGTTGGATTTATTTTAGCCTATTAAGGTAGGGCTAGTGGGCCTTATAAGAATAATCCAACGCCCAAAGAGATATGCACCGGCGCCACTGCCACGTAGTTAATTCTTATGATTCTAGCTACTAGCTTATGGTTGTGGAGTTATTAATGTATTTGCATAAGTCAGATTAGCGAACGACTCTCATTTAATGAAAGGAAAAAAAATTATCGACTTGTCAATATGAGAGATTTTTAGAGATTGTTAAAAATAATTTTAAATTATTAATCAAAAATAATAACTACATCTTCTTCATTTTTCTAAATATGTTTTTGAAACAATATAAAAATAATCAAAATTTCAAATGCGAAATGAACAAAAAGTAGAAGAAAGAGAGTTGGAGACAAAAGGAAGTAACGAGATAATCATATAGTAGGACGTATGACTTTTTTATGCCACTAAAAAATGTTGTGTCAGCAAAATCCGAAATAATGCATGAGAAGTTGAGAACATAAGTCAAGACCTTATTTAGTATCCATAATCACATTGAAAAATCTTCCTATTTTTTATATCTAACTTAAAACATAAATAGGGTTATTTGCAAAAAGTGAAAACAATGTTTTGATTGGTGTAAATTATTATTAATTTATTATACGGTCATTCGATATAATGGTGAATAGAACAAAATAAAAGTTTCCTATCATATAATGCAATCAACATTTGCATGCCGAAGGTATGAGTTTTTTCGTTTGCGCAATATAAAACAAAATCTTTATATATTATAAACAAAGTTTATTTCAATCATGACCTAACTCCAACACGATATAGATATTTAAAAACTAATTCGATGACGATAAGACCAAAAAAGAAAAGTAAAAACCGCTCTTCTTATCAAATCACCCAACAAAGAAAGGTGATAAGCTGAAGGGCACTTCATACATACATCTTCACAAGACCCAATAGGGATACCCGAAGAAGCTCAAGTTGTATAAATTTTTCTTCTTTGTACTCTTCGATTCATTTCGGACCGCACAAATATGATTTTTTAAATAAACATATAAATAAAAATCTTGTTTAGTGATAATATATATAAGTGCCTCCACTTAGGGCAAAGATAATATTTTGATAAAGTAGGTCTCTTATAATTTGGGGCACACTTAGTGACCTAAATTAAAGTTAGGTTATGTCAAATTTTCTTCTTATTGGTTTGTGTGTTTATATATGACTATAGTACCTCTCAAGAATTGTAACTTTTGATATGGACATTATTAAAAGGTAGTGCAAGTCAAACGTGCCACTTTCATATATAATAACTTGCTGCATGTATTATATAGTGATTTGAATTCGAACTTTGTTGCATGGAAAAAACAGAATAATTAATAATAATGCAACCAAGACTAGTAAAGTTATTTCGTCATACAGTGAATTCTCTAATGAGAGAAAGGAATATGCGAAGGCCTTTATTTGCTTACGACAATCCACTTTTCATGTAACGTGAAATTATGTACGTACGTACGTACGCAATACACACGCAAACGCTTATATATGTTTGATATCACTGAGTGGCTATGCATCAGTAGTGCATGTAATAGCTAGTAATCTAATTTGTTTGATTCTAATTGATGTTTATTTTATAATTTTGTTTATTCCTTATGTTATTCGAAATGAAAAAACTTAATACCGTGTAAAGAGCTAGCTAACATTTTGGTTGGTGGAACTTGAGTAATGAACCACTCAATCATAGATTCATAATTCGATACCAATCAAATTTATGATGAGTTAGTCTATATATAAACAAAATGATCGATTATGAGTATTTTATATGAAAATGAACTTGCAATATAACTATAGCACAAGATAGGTTTGATTATAGATTTATACATAAACACTAAAAACCAAAAAATGGGTAAAAATATTGGATCGTTTTAAAATGAGTAATTGATGTATATAAATCGAAACTTCTATATCTTGGGATATTAAATTTTATGACGTTGCAGTGAAATGGATGGATGTACGAAGGCAGGTTTCAACATCAGTACTTATGCGATGACGACTTTGTAGCACAAAAATTTAACTAATTATATAAGATTTCAATTAGGCCACTTCATAGCTTTTTTTTGTTTGCACATCAAAGTGGGAGAGAGTGATCAATAATATATATATTAGCACATTAACAAATAATATTAGTTCATCACTTCAAAAAAAAAAACTTCAAGAACTTTGGGAAATAGTATATACCCTCTATATATGTAACACTCCAAATTGCCATTGTTCATAAGAAACACACATTCAAAACATTCTTAACCAAAACATTCATAACCAAAACATTCATCTTTGTTTGGAGGTTTTGGGTTAACAGTTTAAGATTCAAGTTCTTGGGTATAATAAGATGGCATCACAAGAAGCAGGGAAACTAGAGTGGAGGATAAGTGTAGACAATGGGACAACAGAGAGATTGGTTCCTCGAGCGGGACTAAGTGAAAGGATTTTCCTTTGGCTAAAGGATTTGGTAATGAAGGTTATCGTGGAGCGAATCACAAGTTTTATGAGGAAAGCTTGGAGGATTGGGGCAGATGATCCGGCCAAAGTGGTACATTGTCTGAAAGTAGGACTTGCACTTTCATTAGTCTCAATCTTTTATTACATGAGACCTTTGTATGATGGTGTTGGAGGAAATGCTATGTGGGCTATCATGACTGTTGTCGTTGTCTTCGAGTCCACTGTTGGTACGTAAACTAAATTGGCATTCAAAAGTTTGCAATCTTCTTCTTTTTATAACGAGTAAAATTGACCTTATAACGTATGTATATGTGTCTGTGTATCTCCATGTACAACAGGAGCAACTTTCTCCAAATGTGTAAACAGAGTTGTGGCAACTATATTAGCTGGATCACTAGGCATTGCTGTTCATTGGGTCGCCACTCAAGCAGGGGAAGCTGAAGTTTTTGTGATTGGATGCTCTGTTTTCATCTTTGGTAATGGCCAAACCCCTAAAAATGATCAGTCTTTTATCGTACATAACACAAAAGAGGATCCATCTTTATTAAATTCCTCTTTGTGGGTTTGATCCTTGCAGCTTTCACAGCTACTTACTCGCGGTTTGTGCCGTCATTCAAATCCAGATTCGACTATGGAGCAATGATTTTTATCCTCACATTTAGCCTTGTCTCAGTAGGCGGTTACAGAGTAGATAAGTTGGTTGATATGGCTCAGCAAAGAGTATCAACTATTGCAATTGGAACATCTATCTGCATTATCATTACTGTCTTCTTCTGTCCCATTTGGGCAGGATCTCAGCTTCACCGTCTTATTGAACGTAACCTTGGAAAACTTGCTGATTCATTAGACGGTAAGGGGATTAGATGACCAAATTTTTTATGAAAGGTTCAGCATTAGCAAGTGCGCTGATTATTATTAAAACTGCAGGCTGTGTAGAACAGTACTTCAAGGAGAACGAAGTCTCGACGAATAGAAATGAAGATGAAGACACTAACTTGAAATTGCAAGGATTCAAATGTGTGCTAAACTCTAAGGGAACAGAGGAAGCCATGGTAAGTTAACAGATTATCTATGGGGATAACGAAAAAAGTATTATCTGATGTTTATTCACTTTCCGGTTCTTTTTTGTTTTTCTAATGTTTCAGGCGAATCTAGCCAGATGGGAACCTGCACATGGAAGCTTTAACTTCCGGCATCCATGGAAGCTATACGTGAAGATAGGGGCTGCTATGCGCAGATGTGCTTATTGCCTTGAGAATCTTAGTATCTGCATCAACTATGAAACAGAGGTAACCTTATAATTTTTATCGTAGTTTTGAAAGAACTAACTTTTAGAGGTTGTGAAACTAAAACTAGTGTCTTCTGCTTCCACAGGCAACTGACCAGGTTAAGAAGCATTTCGGGGATGCTTGTATGAAACTGAGCTCAGCTTCTTCAAAAATCTTAAGAGAATTAATGGAAATGATAAAGAACACGAGAAAATCATCAAAGATGGATTTCCTGGTGTTTGATATGAACTCTGCAGTACAAGAGCTTCAAGAAACGTTGAAAACTGTTCCAATTGAGACAAACAAACCTGAAGAAGTTCCAAGTGAAGAGGAAAACAAAGGAGAAAATGAAGATAAAACCATGTCGATGAGCCTACATGAAGTCCTTCCAGTTGCCACTTTGGTTTCGTTGTTAATCGAAAACGCAGCTAGAATTCAAACAACCGTGGAAGCAGTCAATGAACTGGCGAATCTTGCAGATTTCGAACAAGATTCAAAAAAGAAAACAAGAGACAACAAAACTAAACAACCACCTCTGAGTTCCTAAAGCACTTTCAATTACATATCGAAAACTCAACATACATGAAGATTTTAAGCGGAGTTTTCATGTATATATAAGCCATGTAGTATATGAAATTTGCTTCGATCCGTAACAGAAGTTTTATCCGGCATGGTTTTAAGGCCAACAAAAGCAAGTCATAGAATCAATTATTGACAATGCTGAAATCCAAAATGAATCTAGAGAATCTTTATACAATGTCACAATAACAAACAAGAAATGACATCGAGGGTAAACTACGATCATGACTAAGCATTAGCCAGTCTTATGTACTTTTCCACGAACATAATAGAATCTATGTTCATTTGGAAACGCTGGAGTCAAAAGCTTTCCTTTTCCTCTTGAGGGTTTTAAAGCCAAGGTTCAGAGCCAAATCCTCAACGGGAACCTTGATGACGTCGTTTCTAACACCGATATCAGTAGCATACCTGCTCATGCAATACATCCCAGCAGTGACAGTTGCTACACCAACAGGATTAGGGATCAACAATGCGAGAGGTGAAGAGAGGAGTGCAGCTAGAGGAGCACCAAGAATGGAGCTAGCTTGACCGCTTCTTCCAACCCCGTTCTTATCCAGAATGAGCAGCCCTGTCTTGCAGTAGAGAGCAAAATCTTCACAGTTATTTTGGAAGATGTCGTAGTTACCAAATCCGTTTTGGAGAAGGTGCATTGCTCTGTGGATGACTGTTTGAAGAGGGTCAGATGGAGCGGTTGTGCAAGTCCCACCACGTAATCTGGAGAGGAAAATCGATGAGCTGACTCCATATTCGAAACGGTAGAGTGAACCCTTCTTGAGGAAGCAGTCAAGGCAAGAAAGAACTACTCCACTCTTTGGTTGTTTGTATCCACAGTCAGGAAATGTAGGGCAAGGGGCCTCTGAAGACACATTAACCTCTGAAACTGAAGAAGACGAGGACGGAGAAGAAGAAGAAGCAGCGAGTGTGGAAGATACCAAGCTTTGCTCAGGTTTGAAATGAACCACTTTGCAACCACCAACAAATACGCCTACAAATGTGGAAGATTCAGAAGAAAACAAAATGGTTTCATTCAGTTGAAATGTCAACAAAAGCAATCACAATCTATTTGCTACCACCATTGACCAAGAGTGAAACCAAAGAAAACAGAAGAAGAGACCCTACAAAGATCCGTTGCTATAAAGTCAATAACTTCGGCATGAGGAGAAAAACCAAACAGAGATTAAAGATGACAAAGCTAAAGACTGTTTCTTTCTTCCTCTGTACAATGAATGATGAAAAACCTAAAATTGAGGAAAAATGATGATTCACACAAAATGCATCAAAACCCAATTGATGATGATATCATAAAAGGAAGAACCAAAGCACCGTGGTGAGAATAGGCGAAGACGGCTCGGTAAGTGTAGATGTGATCACCAGGTTTAAGCTCGTCTCTCTCAACCTTGTTCGTGATTACACCCATTGCTTCGTTTCTCTCTCTCTCTAAAAAAATATTAATACTAAAGCTTCCTCCTTTGCTTCTGGAAATTGCGGTAAGAAGGAAGGAGATTCTCACGTCAGCGGCGGAGATATGATTCGACGATCAAAACTGTAGCCACTGTCGAGAACCAATGATGACGTTACGGAATCTTTTGACGGCGTCAACTGTTAGATGACGACGAGTACGATCGCTATGGTTGGTAATGGGCTTTGGCAACATATGATGTTAAATTAGCTGTTCATGAATCTGCTCTACGGCCCAAAAACCAAAATTTGGCACTGTCACATGTAAATTTGTTTAGTTTAGCTAATCGAACCTATAGTTAATTAAACTCATTGACATCTATTTTCATTGATTAAATATGAATATGCACAAGGCATCTAATTCGCTCAAGGGAATATGTATAAATAATCAATGATTGTAAAACTTTAATCATCATAAAGCTATCTTGTTGGTTATATAGTTTGTTAGAAGTGAGTATATTATAAAAACATATATAGAAAGAGAGAGCGTGGTAGTAGTGGAGGTAGAGAGGAGGCAGATGCAATAATGGAAGAAACTTCGAGGAACATCACTTTTTTATTTATCGGATATAAAAGGAATAATTAATGGGTGGGTGTGGTACAATAAGGTATATAGGCCGTATAGGCTGCAAATTTTCAGACAGGCACTCTTACTGACAGATGTTTCAATGGTTGTTCAAAGTCTTAAATCATTTGACTTTTTGCTTTGATTAGTTTACTAAGGGGGTGTTATTCAATCTTGTATTTTAATTGATTTGTATGTATTTCAAAATCTAGCGTTATTTAATGATGTATTTTAAAAACCACAATAAAATCTGCTGTTATTGGATTTAACATTTGGTGGATGTATTTTAAAGGACTTTAAAACCAGCGTTATTCAATTTTTAATGGATTTTATTTGATTTAAGATTTTAATGTATTTTACATCTAAAACACGTACAAATGCAATCCTAACATTTTTCAAAGTATTTCATCTCTTTTCAGACCAAAGTAAAATCTTCTCGACATCACTCTCCCAAACCTAACCGAGTCGATCACCTTCACCCACAAACCCAACAACATTTGGATGTCTGCTACCTATCTACAATGCTCTTCCGCCGGTGAACAGAGCCGAAGCAGAGAATGAGTTGGGTTAAGTGAGCTAGGTTGAAGGGACATGGATAACCTGGAAAACAAACCGAGAGAGATTGGTTAGATAGGTTGTTAACCTCTGAAAATGATTACATTTACAGTGAATTAAAACTATCTAACTCAACGAAGAGAGAGAGAGAGAGAGAGAGTGAGAGAGAGAGAGAGAGAGAGAGAGAGAGAGAGAGAGAGAGAGAGAGAGAGAGAGAGAGAGAGAGAGAGTAGAGAGA